GTCACAATCAAAGTTGGAAGCTGCAAAGAGTTCGAAGCAGAAATACAAGCGCAGACTGGATGAGAGGAATAACGAACTTGAAATCCTAATCAACGAGAACTCAGATCTCCATCACCAGGTCGGCGACCAGACGCGCCAATTGGGTGCGCTCAAGAAGGGCAAGGAGAAGCTGGTTGAGGAGCTATCGAAGAAGGAGAAGTACATCGGAGAGCTCGGGTCATCTTCAGACAATCGCATAAGATCCCTAAACTCGGCGTACGATGGTTTGAAGAAGAGGTTCGAAGAGCAGCAACAGCAACACCGACAGTTAGACGGTAAACACGACAAGGCTGTTCGCCTCGAGGCCGAGCTAGAGAGGAAGATGACTGAGATTGAAGAGATGCGACATCATCAAGACGAGTATGCGGCTTCATACAATGCATTGGAGAAAGAGGTGCAAAGCTTGCGGGATGATAAGAGGGCGTTTGAGAAACTGGTTGCCACGCTGCAAGAGAAAATCAGACATTTGGACGTCCTAGAGGAGTGGGAGGAGCCGAACGAGCTCAACAGGACTACCTCGCCACGTCACATCACTATCCAGGACGGCCCTTACGATACTGCACCCTCTAGCCCCATCTCTTCTCATGCGAGGAGTTCTATTGGCCACGTTAGCGTGCAGTTTGAAAGGCCACAGACGAGCGCCAGCACCGTCTCCCACGAGGAAGATCTTGACTCGTGGGCGATGCAAGTCGAGAAGATACGTATGCAACGCAATGATGCGGCAGTCCAACTCAAAGGCATGAAGAAGTCGCGACACAACCTCAAGAAAACTCTGAGGGACACCGATGCGCAACTCCACCGGTTAGAGAAGGAAACGAAGACGTGAGTGTCCCATGGAAGGATCACGCAATAGAATGAATGACTAACAAACCTCCAGCAAACGACCCCAGAACCTTCTCCGAAAGAAGAGTCGTCCAATGACTCCTAATCCTCTTATTACTGACCAAGCCCGCACCTCACCATCCCCGCGCATTGGCTCTTCATCCCCCCAAACACCCACTCGCCAAACCACCTCGAACACATTCTTCTCGCCTCGAACCACTATGAGCGCCAACTCACGGCACAGCACATATATTGCTCCTATCAATCCCGATAAGGGAGCTACACCTTCGACGCCTGAACGTCCCAAGACCAGTCATAGTCTGCGCAACAGGCTGAGCTATCGCCCTACGACTAGTGTTGGTGATGAACATGCGGGCGTGTCGCCTAGGGGGCATGGACACGTGAGAAGGTGGAGTTCTGGGTTGCGGAGTTTGTTTCATAAGGATGCGTGATACCTCTGTTTTCGTCTTTGATGTTTTGTTCTTTTCAGTCAATTGTCTCTTTCCACTTCGTGCTCTGCCCATGTTCTTTCTCCGTATAGTGTTTTTCTTTCCATTGCTGTTGTTTTCGTTGTTCTACTTCTTGTACACCGGTTATCGTTTCGTCTTTCAGGGTGTTTCTGTGCGTTTGAGATTGGATGGGTCGACTCTCACGGGTCAGGTATTCTGGTTACCAACGGTTCTATGGGAGGTCTCTAGCGTCGCTTTTACATTTGTACAAGAAGTCATGAGGCATTTAGTCATAATCCGTTTCCTTTCTCTCAATCTCATCAACGCCTTCTATCTCGGATGTATTTTAAGCCGACACCAGGGCTAATTCCGATAGCGTATATCTGCCTCGCATAGCCACATTCTAGTTCGCCACTTTTGAGAATCATGGAAAGTCTGATCGCTAGTACTTATTGACGTAAATAACTAAGCGAGCCGTGGAAATGATGAGTATGGCCTGCCACTGGGGCCTTCACCAACATCTTTGACCCACCAAGCCCAAGCTATGTAAGACATTGTTTGTTTCTTGGTCCTTTATTGCTGTCTATATGTATCATGTGGAAATAGAAAAGACCACCCTCGCTGAAGCACGACAGCTGCATGGTTCACCTTTCGCCTGACGAACAGATGTCCATCTTGGGCTTTCGCAAACCTTGGAAGCCTGCACCCACAAAACTACAACCCCACTTCAACGATTGGACCGACGTATGTCTTCTTGCCTCTGAAAAAGTACCAGGCGATAGCGAAGATTACTGTCCCCCCAAATGTGACAGAACTAAAGTTCATCGATTGTGCATCGACCTCCACAGAGCCTGGCCAGAAAGAGAAGAACCACAGTACGAATAGGTACACGCATGCAAACAGATTATTGGCAACACCGAATGCGCCGGGAACCTTCCAAGGCCCCCACTGCAGTGTATCCGGTCCCACCATGGCAGCCTGTGGATTGTGCGGGCTGATGCCTTTGAGACGGCGCCAAAGAAGCAAGGCGCAGACGATGAAGTATGAGGCGTAGAGCCCACCGATGCTGAGGTTGACGATGTTGCTGAAAGCAACGAACGAGCCAAGTGCGATGAAGGATAGAAGTACCGAGATCCCGGCCGTGATCATGATTGTATTGACGGGTATGAATGTGCGGGGGTTGAGCTGTCAGCGTTAATATAGCCATACTAGAATAGTCAAAAGAGAGGCATTCACCTTGGTAACTTGAGCGGAAAATGGCAGGGCATTATCTCTCGCGAATGACCACATCTGTCGAGAAGTGGCAGCCATCAGGCCGACTAGACAGCAGACACCCAGAGTCCACATGATCATAGCCATGGTCGCAGCCCCGGCAGCAGACCCGGTGCCCTTCAAGAAGACGTATAGGTAGGGATACCCAAGCGTCGCTGAAGACTCCAGTACATCATCCAAGTCTCCAAGACAGAAAAGATACGCAATCAACATTGCTAGGCCCAGCGTACCATTCAACAATACACTGATCTGGATGGCTCGCGGTACCACCTTTGACGCATTCTTGACTTCTTCGGCCATCTGTCAGGAATTAGTACGCTGACGGGCAACCAGCTGAACGACGACTTACGTGAACACATGAATCGACACCTGCAATGGTTAGCACTAAGGCCTAACAGGTCTTACGAAGAACTTCGCTTACCAACAAGTGCGAAGACTGATGATGGTAGTCCAACCATGAAAGAAAGCGCTTGTGTCGACCAACCTCCGGTGTTGACGAATGTGGTGAAGATTGAGGCATCGCTATGAGGAGCAAGATACACAAGTGGAATCAAGATTGCGAAGAAGCCTAGTAAATGCAGTATCAAGATCAGTCCTTCGAAATGTGCGAGGGTTTTGCTTCCAACAGTGTTGATGACGACTGCAAATGCAAGCACGGCCCAACCCAGCAGCATTGCTTGATATGGCTTTGGCGAGTAAGCAGAGTCGCACATCAGAATTGTGCTTTGCAGAATAGTTCCTGCGAGGTATGCTGAAGAAGCGGTGGTGGCCTGCCAGCCGATGAGTGTTACCCATCCAGTGATGTAGCTTGAAAACTTTCTGTATGACGGTGGGGCCAACATGGCGACCCAACTAAGAACGCATCAGCTATGAAGGTCCATAAGATCGGGTCACTTACTGGTACTGCCCACCTGCGGTGGGTGCCATCGAAGACAACTCTGACAAGACCGTATAGATGGAGATGGAACCAATCCATATAAGGATGTAGCCCCAGAAGACACCCGCAGGACCACCATTCAGCAGACTAGGAGTGGAAACTTGGAGTATACCTTCCCAGGTCACCAACACGGTACATGACTGTAATGGTAAAGATTTATAGTCAGTGTATGCCTCTGTTCATCCCATGCACTCAAAACTTACGAAGCCCAATATTTGCATGAAGCCGAAGTTACGCTTTAATGCTGGCTTCTTGCCCAGTCGCATAAGGTCCATGTCATCTCGAGTGTAACCATCGTGGCCAGCTTCTTCGACGGCAGAAGCGACTGCTTCAGCCTTCGACCGATTGCCAAGTTCCATGGCTTCAGGTGAAGTATTCACAGAAACAAGCCTACCACAAGAGATAGTGATGAACACTGTGATGAATGCGAAGAAAACAAAATATGATCTCAGCCTCTTAAAGTCGCTGTGATTAGTGGCGTTGCGTTCATACGTCGGTTATGCGAAGATTCATCCAGATTGTTTCGCTAGACGAATCGAGCAGGTTACATGCTGTGCCGCAACTTGTGCCGCATGAGAAGCCGCAGGGTGTCTTGATAACGGAGTTTCCATGATGATTAGATCTTCCGTTCTTGTGCAGAACCCACCTATCGACAAAGTGATGTGAAACCCAGGTTCGTAATTTTGTTTGCATACCGAGAAGACTTCGAAAAGTCGTTCACACATGTAGTGTACTGCGTGAGCTGTCGTAGACTTCCCTACTCCTTCCAGCTCAACAATATAACCCCCACCTCAATGCGACGATCTTGACTCGATACGCATCCTGCGGGATTCGGGTGGAATTGGCCCTAGATACCGCGGACGCTACCGTCCCGAGCGGTACCTAGTGTTGGCTGCGCCCAGAGTAGCCGCTATGGTCATACAAAGATCCCATCCTCTTCACCAGAAGCCTCGTACCGCCGCCTGCCGTCTTGCTTCGTGACCGCAAGTTGTGAAGGTGTCCGTGTCCTCTGATTTCCGTCTGATTGGTGCTCCAAGATGACACATCTGCACGAATGAGGCGTAGGCGTCTTAAGCGACCTATGACACCGTGCCAAGCATATGATATGCTTGTCACGAACGCGCAAGCTTGTCCGTATGCTAAGAACAGACAGACAACTCCCCTTACGTACTCGACATCCTGCCTGTTGCCCAGTCATGCAGGTTTACAAAAGAAGTCGGAAGATTCACCTACATCCGTGGGGGTGATGCCAGTTGTGTGGACATAGGAACGCCTCTATGGAAGAGTGACATGAGATGCGAGCAGGATCATGTTATGACACTGGCATCATCCGTGGACACCATGTGATTTGGGAATGTTGGAATGAGGCACAGAGATAACGGCAACAGGGAGTTGTCCCCTATGTGCTGAACTATATCCTGAGATCACGCTGCTCCAACAATTAGACCATCAGTGCCACCACTGGGATCAGCATTTCTAGCATGTTTTCTAAGCGCAAAGCTATGGACGCTGGAAAGCGTCCTGCATTCCACGAAGGCCATGCAGCACCGTTGATTCAGATTCTGGCATGGCTCTTTCTCGTCTTCTCGATATTAGCTGTTACAGCGCAGTTTGCCACCAAGAAAGCTATGGCTCGGCAATTTGTACGAGCTGACTTCGTACTGTTAGCCGCTTTGGTAAGTGCTTGAGAAGAAGGGTGACAAGTTTTCTCACTGACAGACACCGTCACAGGTTCTGTCCGTAGGACAGGCAGCTACACTTCTTAGTCCTGCTGGTCAGCCTATCGGGAATCTACAGGCTGGTCTCTCACCAGATCAAATTGACGGAGCCTGGAAGGTGAATAATGTGAAGTCATTAAAATGTACCACTGACAATTTTAGGCTTTGTTCAGCAGCGAGATATTGAGCGTGCTTACCATCATTACCGTCAAAGGCTCACTGCTCGTCTCTCTTGGGTCAGTGACACCGGTCGCTGGACACCAGATGATGATGCGCGCAACGGGCGTTCTGACGCTGTTATGGGGATTGAGTGCTGTCTTTCTCTTCGCCTTCCAGTGTCCATCACCACAGCGATGGGACATTACGAACCCAAAATGTATGGATATCGTGAGTTCGACCGGTAGTTCTGTATAGCTCGTATCCCGAATTGACTCACTTCAGTGCGCCATACGAACGTACAACGCTGTCATGAATATCACGACTGACCTTGCGCTTGCAATTGTACCGACACTGATGGTACTACCGCTGCAGATTACATCGGAGAAACGCCTGACACTCGTCACTGGCTTTTGGTCACGCATAGTGTAAGCCACATCCCCGTTACATCCTTTTGCCACCGAGCTTGCGCTGACATGGAAATCTCGTAGTGTCGTATTCGCCTCCGCTGCTCAGATCGGATATATCCATAGCCTACCCCCACAAAGCGACCTTCTTCACTCGATCTGGCGCATCGTCGTATGCGGACAAGTAGCTCAAGTCGCTAGCATCATGACCACAACGATCCCCTTCCTGAAACCTTTTATGATGAGCCTCGACTCGGGCCTCTGGAGCGCCAACCATGCTGGTGTTGCTACTACGTCAAGCTATGCATCTGCAGTTCGTACAGGCCATTTGTCGAGCTATGTCAAGATTGCCAGTCAACAGAGTCGAGATCCATCGATCGTGAAAGGAGACAAGGATATCGATATCTGGGTACGCAAGGAAATAGTGGTAAAGAGAGAACCGAGTATCGAGCTGCGAGATATCGGAGGGATTGGAAGATAACTACAAAAGAAGGGTCTCTTTTGTTACAGTACCTTCAACTATTCATTGCGAGCAGGTTTAGTGTCCCATTATCTCAGAAAGTTCGTTGGACTCCAAATCATCTTGCTGTATGTTTTTGGCGTGAATCTCTCATTCACCTTCACTCCCACGCAGCACGCTTAGACGTCCCGCGTAGTCCACCTGACTCTTTCCTCATCGAGAGCAGTGACGTAGCGTCAACAACGCGCTCTCACCTCGCAAGCCAAAAACTCTTTCCACGACTATACCTCCCACCTTCCTTCTCTAACCATACCACCTCAACCAATACCCGAACGTCACCATGAGGCTCAACGCCATCATCCTCGTTACTGGTCTTCTAGCTTTTGCAAATGCTGATCTAGTCGCCCGCAAGGACATTGATTACAACAAAGGCGCTCCCGATTCACACGGCGTTATTGGCAAGGCTGGTGACGACGCATGCGTAGCACTGGGCTGTGACGCCAGCTTGCCAGCTTGCCTCGAGCAGTGCGCGCCAGGATTGCATTGCGAAGATTATTGCGCGTGGTACTTGCACTCTAACCCAGAATCAATCTGTCGTCAACAGGGTATGTGAACAGCAAAAGGCTTTCGACGCTTCCAATTATGCTAACAGTAAGACAGGATGCGTCAAGGCTCCTCAAGACTGCGACAAGTGGGAGCTTACTGAATGTGACACAGCATCTGCTGGTTCCGCGATCGCCGATTCAGATAGCATTGCTGTGGGCGACCAACAGTCTCCTCCGATCGACCATTGTCAAGTCTGCCGGGCCGCTGTCTACACGTGTGGACAGAACTGCCGCGGTGACAAGGCTTGCGAAACAACATGTAGTTGTCCCGTCACCAACCAGGATAGCTGTCACAAGTGCTCGACTACCACCTGTTCTACCACTGCTCAAGCAGCAGACACCAATGACTCCGAGTCACCCCCAATCGACCATTGCCAAGTCTGCCGGTCCGCTATCTACGCCTGTCAACAAAACTGCAATGGTGACCAGGCATGCAAGACAGCGTGCCTATGTCCTAGCACTGAGCGGGAAAGCTGCAGCAAGTGTCAGTCCTTCAATTGTCCGAGCTCTTAGAGTCAGGCGGCCGTCGATATTCCTTCGTTATGAGCGGCCATTGGAGCACCTCGTTTAGAGTGGAAAGTTCAACTGAAACAAGGCATATCGATGTCCAGTAGAAGTGATCCTGTAGGAGGGAGGCGTTCGGCAGTGTGTACATCCTCATAGGCCCAATATTGGATGGTAAATTTCTTTCCGACGTTGTTTCCATCTTTCACACGTGTATGACCAGTGCCCAGCCGGGTATATGTGCATTCGCTCCTAGAAGATTCAACGGCATGTGGCAGGATTGCGGTGAGGCTAATTCGTATCGATGCGTGGGCAGACCGCAATGCAGGTACAGACAGCGTCTTGAAATGTCTGATTAAGCTTTGCCAATGTTGCCTTAGCGCAACATGCGAAGCACTTGTGTTCATAGTGGCTTCCGGGCATAGACAACGGTTCCAGGTAAGTATGCGTGAGCGCGGTAGCTCTTCAGCTCCTTGCGCATCTGCGCTAGATGCACTTGTGCTCGTGCAACGGACCACTAGAGTTGTTCAGTAATGCCCACGATAAGCTCGTCGTTAATACTCACACCTCCGACCTGTGTCAACAATCGCAGCATGAAGCCTTCGACCCCGTCCATCAACCGCAATTGGTTCCATCGTCCGATATTCTTGAGATCCTTATCCTTTGGCCAGCCGTTCATAGGCCATTTATACTCCATGACCGTCACATCCACAAAACCGGCTCGTTTGATCCTCTCGGCACTCTCTTCCCATATGGTAAAGGTCTTGCCGAAACGATCGCCCATCTCAACAACAACCTTCCCCCACGTATGGTAGAAGTGATCTGGACCCATTGTGTCATCGTCGGATATAGGGCACACTGAGTGCTCGACGATCTCTATCCAGCCACCAGGTTTGGTATGTCGGTAGGCTTGCTGGAAGAAGAAGTCCCAGTCTGGTATGCAACCGAAGAGTTCGCGAATGTGTATGAAGTCGAAGTGGTTCGGCGGAAATGTCCACTCGAGCGAGACATCGTCGATTTCAAAGTGACAGTTGGGTGGGACCCATTCGGGTTGTATGGGAGAAAGGTCGGTACCGGTCACGATCGCAGAAGGATATTGGTCTGCCATGTCCTGAGACTGTCAGTATGAAGCAATACTGCAAGCGAGGTATGTCCTACAATCGCCCATATGCCAGTACCTGTACCGCAGTCTAGTATTGTCTGTGGGTTTTGTAGAGGCGCAAGGTGCAATTTCTGGTCAAGCGTCAAGAGATACATGTGGTGAGCGAAATCCAATATCTCCTTGGCGAGCTCATCGTTCGGTCCCCAGTATGCGCCGTCTCGGTACGCGTGGTACTGCCGTCCATTCTCAATACGATGGTTAAGAATGGATGACGCGAGCGAATTCGTCTCGTCGCCAAGGAGACTTCCACTGTCGAAGGCTGAGTCTGAAGAAAAGCCAGCCTCATCTTCGTTGTTGGGTGGTGAGGGCTCGGAATCCGTCGACAAATGGTGGTGTTCAGGGGCTGGTTGTTGCGGGTATGGCGACGTCGAGCCGTCGCCGAGATGTATGGCACTATCTTGATGATGCATGCCGATGCCCTCGGATGGCTTTTGCGACGACGAAGATGCCATGGCTGCGCGATTCGCGGGTGAGGTATGGTGGTGTGGAGAATCAAAGCCTCAAAGCCCGGAAACCAACAGGTTACATATTGGTAACTCTGGTGCCGATGTACTGGGAATTTGCTGGTGCTGACTCTGGTCCCTCTTTGGTGGCTTTGTCAATGGGCGAGGGGTCTCTGAGAAAGTGGAGCTGTGCAGCGATGGCGTCGCCGCCGCGTCCGCGCAGCATCCCCGAGCAGATCAAGCGGATCGGTCTGCTCCTCCGGCTACTGCTATTCGTGCATACGCTTCCACAACGCGCGCCAAAAGCATCGTTGATGCATCGCATGCATGTCAGTTGAGCGGTTCAGGGTAAGCGAGATCATTGCTTCTCTTTGCCGATGTTGCACGAACAATCTGGTCTCCGGAGGCAGTAAGTCGATATTAAACATAACAACTACCTCCAGAAGCTGTATATAGGTGTATACGTCCCGCATCAGATGGGCTGAATGTCGTGGTAAACGACATGATGGGGCGACATTCAGCTCACCGTTCATGTCCTATTCGGCCCGTTCTGGGCCGCAGCGTGCGTTAAAGGTGGGTGGGCCGAGCGGCCTTCCACTGTGGAGACTCGAACTTAGTTGTAGAGAATGCGAAGAACAGGTTGAGAGATGACCCAAACATCGCTGATCTCTGGCTATTTGCTATGAAAAAATCAACTACTGACGGCGAAGCGCGTGCGGCGCAGTTGCCCATTCTCGTAATTGGCTCTGGTAAGCGACGCGTACGCCGCATACCTGCGCATGGTCTCACTCATTCGCAGGAACCTCTGGACTCGCACTCGCTCAAGGCCTTCGCAAAGTACGTACTCGTCTGTGTAACGTAACGTAGATAGTAGCCTTATCGGAGAACCAGGCGAATATTCCGTGTATCGTCTTCGAGAAGAATGGCGCAAAGCATGGCGAGCGCGACTGGAACATGGGCCTTCATTGGGGTGCACCAGCATTGAAAAGCCTCATGCCAGACGGCTGGTGGGATCGCATCCAGAGTGTTTCCGTCGACCCGAACGTGCCCACAAAGGAGCAGGATACGCTGAAGTGGCTGCGAGGCGACACCGGAGATCTGGTCGCAGCCATTACCTTCGGGCCTTTCTACCGCCTACGAAGGAGCAAGTTGCGCGACATGTTAATGCAAGGCCTTGACATACAGTTCGACAAGCGCTTACAAGACGTCTCATATGCAAACGACAATCAATCAGTCACAGTATATTTCGCCGATGGCACAACGGCAACTGGAAGCATGTTGGTAGGTGCTGATGGAGCTCGCTCTTCGACCAGACAGATTCTATTGGGTCGCGAATTGGGTGCCATCAACCACATACCATATGCTGCCACTTTTGTTCAGTGTAAGTTTACCGTGGAACAAGCTCTCTTCTTGAGGTCTTTTCACCCGCTGTACCTAGCATGCGCGCATCCCAATAACAACTTTGCTTTCTTTGGCATGCATGACGCACCGGATGCAGATGATCCGTCGTCCTGGACGTTCTTCTACTATATCTCGTGGAAAAGTAGTTTGGAAGAGCAGGAGGCGACCAAGAATTGGACTGGTGCTCAGCGACTGGCACAACAGAAGGAATTCGCCAAAGAGTTCTGCGACCCGTGGAGGAGTGCGCTTGAGTGGACACCAGATGGCACTCCCGTGTGGTATCTGGGGCTCAGTGACTGGGACCCTGGAATGGAAGGCCATCGTTGGGATAACCACCACGGCTTAGTTACCATGATTGGCGACGCTGTTCATCCAATGACCTACCAGAGAGGGCAAGGCCTCAATCATTCGGTCACAGACGCTGGAAAGCTGCATGAATCCATCACTAAGATTCAAGCTGGCGAGGATAGAAAAGCCGTGATAGATGCATTTGAAGAGGAGATGATTAGGCGTGGGGGTGGAGAGGTTAGAGACGGTACGGCGAATACAATGATGCTTCATGATTGGGAACGCGTGAGGCAGAGTCCTCTTTTTACAAAGGGTATGAAAAAGGTCGATGCTTAGCGGAGGACAGCTTCGGCATGCTCTTTCCTTCAACCCACGGTTTCTCCGTCTGCCATACGAACGAACAATTTCATGCATGGCCCTTTATTAGCCTCACCCCAAATCCCTGGTATATCGATATTGCGATTGATGCAGCTATGTGATTAATAATGCCCTGTCAAAACTTGGATATGCATATGCATTACGGTGCTGTGCTGACTGTTGGTTTCGCTTTAGCGCCAATTTGGGCATTCAGTACTCACGATTACCAGCATCGCGTATAACACCAACACTTCTTTACTACTTTAGCATTATGCGATAATTTCATATCGCGATGCTGAATTCACTGCAGTCTTTTGTGATACTGTTGGTGTTGTCTCGGTGAATTATGGACCCCTCATCTGGCGTTCAGAGATGCCTCGGATAACATTGTCCAAACAACATGACGTCGGCCATCCTCGGTCCTGGCCACAGCGCGATTCCATGTCAACGCTTGACATATACTATCTTTACAGCCTTTGCAGCTGACATTGCGACGCGTTGCTTCATCACTCTTAACACAGCTCGACCAATCTTACCTCGCTTTCAAGTTCCGAAGGCCTCAGCACATCAGCGATGACCTCCCCTTCCGAGTTCCACGGCTGGCTAGGCCACGATAAGAATGCTGCGCAGGGCAACATGACCTGGTCGTCCTTCAAACCCAAACCGTTCAACGACATAGATATCGATATCAAAGTCTCCCATTGTGGTATCTGCGGCACCGACATACACACTCTGCGATCTGGCTGGGGCGCGACACACTATCCCGTATGCGTCGGTCACGAAATCGTAGGTAATGTTGTACGAGTTGGGGACAAAGTGAAGAACCTGAACTTGGGCGACAGGGTTGGCGTAGGCGCACAAGCTTTCAGTTGCTTGAAGGACGACTGCGAGGAATGTAGCGCAGGCATCGAACAGCATTGTACCAAGATGGTTGGCACATACAATGCCAAGTACCCGGATGGAAGCTGGAGCATGGGTGGATATGCAGACTATGTTCGCGTCCCAGCGCATTTCGCCATTAGAATACCAGCTGGGATAAAGAGCGAAGATGCAGCGCCCATGATGTGCGGCGGCATCACAGTCTATGCGCCGCTGAAGAACAACGGCGCAGGCCCTGGGAAAAAGGTGGGAATCGTAGGCCTAGGGGGCTTGGGGCATTTTGGCGTCTTGTTTGCGAAAGCTTTAGGCTGCGAAAAGGTCGTAGCGATAAGCCGACGAAGGAACAAAGTCGACGATGCAAAGGCCATGGGCGCAACAGACTATATTGCCACGTCTGAAGACGATAAGTGGGCGCGCAACCATAGCCGGACTCTAGACCTTATCATTAGTACGGTATCCTCTCCAGACATGCCTCTTGAGTCATACCTTCGCCTCCTTCGCACGGGTGGATCCTTCATACAAGTCGGCGCGCCCGAAGACAAACTCCCTCAAATCGCTGCATTTGGTCTCATTGGTAAAGGGTGCAAGATTGGAGGTAGCCAGATCGGCAGCCCCAAGGAGATAGAGGAGATGTTAAAATTCGCTGCTGACAAGGGGGTTAAGCCATGGGTGCAAAAGCGCAACATGAAGGACGCGAATAAGAGTGTGGTTGACATGGAGGAGGGACATGCGCGTTATCGTTATGTTCTCGTAAATGCCGATCATGGAGACAGGGCGAAGATGTGAGCGTATTAGGGTTGTCACGTCATCTAGGCGAGCATATACCATCCACGAATCAAGCCAGCACATCAACTCTACTATCGACTTGCTCAAACACAAATCTTGCCAGACGATCCGAGGTTGCTGACGCTGGCGTTTGCTTCACGAACCTACACTGTCTCGGAGATCCTCGTCTTCTTCGCAAGTCCTCTTGTAATGTCTTACACCAGACAGGTTGATTCACGATGCGCGTCAAGCCAGTGCTGTACTACCACCATTGCCTCATTGTGCACGCAGTGAAAGTGATTCCGCATTTCTTGGGTCATGCGTGAGACGAATCTCCTCCGCTGCTTCAAACCCTTACCCCCATGCCTTCGTTCTCACTGGCTCAGATCTCAGGGCCACCCAAGGTTCCACGTATGCGCGAACCAAACACGTTGAGTCGCACAGTAAAAGCTTGCGCGACACTCTTTACGTCGTTCATTTGGGCACCAATGATGTCTTGGTTTACGAAGAAAGCACCCAAGGCGCTTATCATTGGCATGCACCTAACGCGCGATGAGGTCCAAATCCTCATACAAGCCTGCCAAGAGCTCGAAGGCTCCATGACCCGTCAGAAAGAAGAGATGGAAGCCCTCCCAAAGATCAAAGGAAGCGATCATGCGCGCCGCGCCATGAAGACGATTCTAGAGCGTCACCGCCGTATCTACGACCGACTGGATAACCTCACCATTCGCCTACGCAATAACCACTCGGAAGGGTCATTTAGGTTAGAACTCGAAGAACTTGCAAGGATTATGGCGCGTCAGCGGTTACTCTGGGATGAGCACTCAGCACGGTTGGAACTGAGCTGGAAGGTCGTCTCAGAGCGATACTGGCCACTGATAGCGGATAGCTATGCGATCCTCTTCGAAATTCTCAGTAGCTTCAAACAAACCCTCAACAGCAGTTGGCTAAACGACGCACTCTGGTCTAACGAGGCGATGAAGCGGAACCGCTGCATTTGCCATAAGTCCCTCAAATCGGCACTCAAGGGCTCTTCCCTTAGCAAGCCAAAGTCAAAGGACAAACATGTCGTTTTCGAAGAGACATACCATTCGCGCATGTTTAGCCAAAAAGATGCGCCCAAGGAGGTGAGCGAGGCGCACGCGAATGCTGAGTGGCATGGGTATGGGCGCGGCACTGATTTCGAAGGGAAGCTTGCCAGTGACGGAAAACATTCCGCGAAGCATTATCAGACCAGGGTGCATAAGAAGAAGACAGACATGCGGATTGCGGTGCCTCATCGGGGATCAATAAGGAGTGCCGAGATTAGCGATAGAGAGAAGCGGCAGGAAGCACAGAGGAGAGAAATGCAACCGGTATTTGAGCGATCGAAAGTAGAGACGGGGCGAAGAATGACAGGAACCAGGATGTTCTTTGACAATTTGCAGGAGACGAGAATGTTTGTCCCACTTTGAAGAGCGAGATCTGAGGATGAGATAGGCGTCGATGGATTTCTTTGACATGGAGGTAGACGTTCAAGCTAGTAATTAAACCTCAGCGATGAAGTAATGTACCAGTACCGATGTCCCATCCTCATCAGATCACCTACTCCAGATCGGTCCAGTCATCCTTTCTACGGAGCGCCTTTCCAAGTTCCTTGACTGCATCACCCAGCGGCTTCTTGATTTGCCGTTGATACACCGCCACGACATCCCGTACACCCTGAACATCTACCATCCCGTTCTCCCGTCTCCCATCTACCATTACCTTATTCAATTCCATGAACGCTTCAAGAAGAACCTGCACCGGCCCTTGAGCATTTCCAAACCGCTCTAATACCTTGATACCGTTTTGAAGGACGAACTGACCACGCGTGGTGAATTCGTTAATTATCTCTTTACGCTTCTTCTGAGACGCAACACCCATGTCGTGGAAGCTCTTGATCTGAGCATCAATATCGGATTCGAGTTGCTTTAGCGTCCCCAAAGTCTGTTCAGTGTCTTTGCGTGTTAGGACGGTACTGTAGATACGAGATACCTGACGAGCGCGCCTAAGCTCTTGTTGCAAACGACGCTTCCTGGAGGCTTCAGTTTCGAGCTCGTTGTCGGATTCAGGTGGTGTAGAGTCCTGGACAGCGGCAGAGAAGCGACCGTGACCGAGCAGAAAGGAAGTAAAGCCTGGCATGTTGGACTGTTGCGAGGTTGATTTGGTTTATGTGATGGTTGAAGAAGTTTGGTACTTGTGGTGGTGATGATAAAAGTGAACGGTGACGACAAAATGTTCTGTGATGTTGAAAGGTGGTAGAGATATAGGCATCAAGATTCAAAATGCTGCAATATCTGGTCTTTAATTTAGTAGTAGGGATCTTACATGGCGCACAAACACGCCTGCCCTCAAGTCACAGGGGCTTCTGTATTCACAGGGGAGTTTGCTAGAACCTGCACAATTACATCAATGGAGTTGCAATCACGTTTGTTTCACTAGCAGCACAGAATTCGCGTAGACAAGTGAGAACGTACAGTGCGTGCAGGAACATTCTTGTCCTTCCGCGACGGATGGAACGCTTGTAATATTATGAATACCCACAAGGAGCAAGACAATGCGTCATGACAAGTGTTGCAAGTGTTCGCCGACCGGTTTTGATCAGACCCAACAGTCTAGTGGTAGTGTTCCATACTTGCCTTTTCAAAGCAACTCCAGACTTTTGCTGCGAAGCCAAGCCGAACAAGGTTTCAGATCAAATGCCGATGTTTCCCGATCCAGCATGCTTGTTGTGCTTCGTCGAGGTGGGAGTAGAGCAATTTAGACAAAGCTATCTGCGGGCAAAGGTGTACCAATCTGAGTGCGGTCGCAGGTCGCTTTCACCGTATCATCCAAACGGTCCAGGTAGTGATCCAGAGTCCCATTGGGGTACTATCGAAGGCGATCCTCTGTCCGAGAAGTCAGCTTCAAAGGCCTGTAACCATCTTGTTAATCTTTTCCAACTCACGCATTTTGTTCAGCTCGTCCAGAATCAACTGGAGCTCTTCCTCGTCCATGTTCAGCGAGGGAATGAGCGTGGTGGCTTCCTCGGCGGTATCCGGAGTCAGCGTTCCTAACACTGTTGTCAGTACAGCGCTTCCTCTCTTCTGGCTCATGTATTACCCAGCAGCGCCTTCTCGACGACGGAGATTTCGGGGTGGGCATCGAAGAGGGCAGCAATGGAGTGCAGGCTGTCTTCTTCCTTGTACCGGGCGAAGTTGTCGAGGTAATCGAGAAACTGCGTGATGGTTCTGCTGCAGTCAGCACCGGCCTTTGACCCTGCAGCTTGTGCGCAACGACTCACATGCTGTCGTTGTATATCCTGTCGCGCAGCGGGTTGTTCTCGGGGTCCTTCTTCTTTCGTGCCTCGTGGACGGCTGTGACGACGGCGCGCGCTTCAGAGACGGACAGAGCATGGACATCTTCAAAGTCGCCCAGCTTGATCTCAGAGCCCATCTCCTCCTCTTGTTGCACCGGGGGCTTTGGGCGCGAGACCAGCCTTGGGGCCTTAAACACAGGCGGCTCCTGCCTCTGGGTCGGCGCATTTTCCGACTCTCCTTCCATGGTGAAGGTCGGCAGTGAGTGGTATGACGCGGTTGGGGTGAGTGGTTTAGAGGTCTTTGTTTTGGATGCAACGGGTTATGGCGGCCCGGGTGGTGAGTGAGCTCGGTCCTGCTAGTGAAAGCGACGAAGCTGGCGTATGCGTGAGGGTGAGAGACGGTTCGGGCAGTAGCGACGGGCGTACCTTGCAGTCGCGAGCAACAGGCTGGACTGGGTGAAAGTCGCGACTGTCGAGATCTCGAACGCCAAGGCCCAAGGACGCTAGCATGTCAGCCATGAACCTTGAAACAGGCGGCTTGAACAGCCTTCCCCGCTGACTTCCATCGGGTGCCTAATGCTCAAGGAATAGCCTGCCATGTGCCGAGGATGCTGTGGGAAATAACTCGTGTGTGCGTGTGTGCGTGCAGACGACGTAGTGCGTTTTGTGAAGGCTGCGTGCGTATCGCGTATGGCTAGCTGTATACGCAGCCGAGGACAGAACAGGTGCATAACATGCCATCTAATGCCGGCTTTCTTCAAGGTTAAACTAAGCTCAAGGGGTCGATGCTGCTGCCGGGCATGCTCATGTGCATCGCAATCAGCTTTTCACCAAAGCGGCTTAGCCCGTTCACCGACATGCGTCCACTCCTCGAACATTGACCACAGCCGCAGTGACACAGGAACAACCACCAGCCTCACACCACACGACGCCTCCTGCGAATCTTCCGCCAAGCACACAGTGGTTGCGCTTCTTCGAGTTGCATGTTCATTGTCGTTCAATCCCTCTACTTGCCCTACCCGCCCTGACCGCGTTTCATCCACCGCTCAGGGTCCTCGTCCTATGCCCCCCATAGCACGTCGGGCCTAATTCACCACCACGCCTCCCTCCTCCGCGGCGGCCGCATGCCGAATGAGTTGCTTTTGCGCCCATTGTACATAGCATCCCTTACATCCACCACACCCGACCGAGCCAGCAGCTGCGCATCCAGACACAGAGCGCGCTCGCCAACGCACCGCCGCCGCCCTTCGACCCTTGGCCACCTGCCCGGATAGATCCACCCGCGACTCGACACCCCTCTCGTCGCCAGCACCGCCTGCACGACACCGTACACCGTACCGCGATACCTGCCCTCAGGCCTTCTGTACGCACCCTCGCCTCTCTGTCACGCGCCCCTCACACCTCGGCTCCCACACGAACCTGTCACGTACCCTGCATCACAGAGCACGACTACCGAAGCTGGCGTAATTGGACATGGGAACACCGGCGGAGGGACCGCCTCCGATGGATAATCAGGGCGCCCAGTCACAGTACACTGCCTACGACCCGCGCAATGGTGGCCTCTCGAGGCGAGCCACCGACGAGGCCGCATCCTCGTCCAACAGTCTTGCACCCTATGACCGCACCAACTATCCCCTGCGATCGTCGACCGACCCTGGGGAGCAAAACCAGGCCGCCCCGAAACCAAAGCGTAGCGGCAAGATCTGTGGCAAGTGCGGAGAAGGACTGACTGGACAGTTTGTGCGGGCTTTGGGCGATACGTACCATCTGGAATGCTTTACCTGTCACGTAAGACACCCATGTTGTTTCTTGGAATGGAGGAATCGGGCGCTTGCGTGTCTTTGTGCCCTGCAGTGGCTGGACTTGGCGCATTGCTGTTCAGAGTGGACTGCTTCCAATATTTTTGAGCGCTTGATTTCTCCATGTAGCTTTATTGATCATCTTGCTGACCTGCGTCTAGGACTGCGGCAAAATTGTTGCATCCAAGTTCTTCCCCGTTCCTGACAAGCCCCCCGGGCAGTACCCTCTCTGCGAGACAGACTATTTTCGACGGCTCGACCTCCTTTGCTTCGAATGTGGGCAAGCCCTGCGTGGCTCATACATCACAGCGCTCGACCGCAAATACCACATTGAGCACTTTACCTGCTCCGTATGTCCCACAGTGTTCGGCGCATCCGACAGCTACTACGAGCACGAGGGAAGCGTCTACTGTCACTACCACTACTCCACCAAGTTCGCTCAACGGTGCAACGGCTGTCAGACATCGATTTTGAAACAATTCGTTGAAATCTTCCGAAATGGGCAGAATCAGCATTGGCATCCGGAATGCTATATGATTCACAAATACTGGAATGTCAGGCTACATTCCACAGGCCAACCAGTCATCGAGCGGTTGCAAGATGCCGATGGCGACGCGACCGACGAGGTGCGCGAGAGTGTGCGCCAACAGGAGGAAGAGATCGAAGCTAAAGTCAATTGGATCTGGAAGACCCTGTCGGCTTTCGAGGAAAAGTCCGCGACGTGCATCTCCGACATGCTGCTCCATGTCAGTAACGGAGCTTACGTTGACGGCGTCATGGCAGCTAAGAAGTTCATCGTGCACGTTGAACTGCTTTTTGCGGCTGCAGATGCGCTCGACGCGCAGTTAATCGTCAGGACGCCCAAGGGACTGACCTACTCCCGCGAATCGAAGCTACTCTGTAAGAAAGTGGTAGCCTTCTTTGCGCTTCTTACCCAGTCCCAAGGTACCGGCGTTCGACGACTGGGCGTGACCCAAGAACTGTTGTCACTGGTCACTGGGTTGGCCCACTACCTAAAGCTCCTCATTCGCATATGTCTGCAGGGTTCTCTAAAATTAGAGCGCGAAACCCGGAGCTCGACCGGTTTGACCAACTTCCTTACCCAAGTCAACTCACTCGATGCACGGTTGGAAGATGAGGCCCAAAGGGACCAGGCCGCTGAGTCCGCCCGGCTTGTCCCAAGATGGGCCGACGCATGTCCCATTTGCGATGCACAGGTCGAAGACAAGTGTTTACATCTAAACAACATGTCGTACAACTACAGCTGTATGGTGTGCCGTGGGTGCAATGCTGACCTGCGCCATGACACTCAAAATGCCTATTGGAGTAAATCCAAGCGAAGTATTTTCTGTCCAGCATGTGCCACAGCGCAGCCAGACGCTGAGAATGGCTTCGAGCAAGTAACCAAACTGCGTCAATATGTACATCTACTGAATGTAGCGCATGCGCGCCTCATGGCGACTTTGCGATCCAGTGGCGCACTGCCACATACTTCAGGTAAGAAGAACTCTCCTACAGATCACACTGTCACCACTCATCTTGACACCTCGACTCAGATTTCTGGAGCCGCTTCCGAGATTACATTCGTCCCACTAATGACTTGTAGATGATCCTAACCTGACAGGCTATGATTCCACACAAGGACATCGCCTTGGGGATGATCCACCTCACTTACGACCCGACAATCGCTCCAAGTCGTATGGAGGGACATCAGCGACAGATAGTCAAAACAGCAACAATGCCGCGTATGAGCAATCCATGTCTGATATCAAGCGCCTAAGATCAACGCGACTTGACAAGCATCTTTCCAATACCATGAAACGTGCGCGCCAATCGCGAATCATTGACGGTCCGGAGGGTCTCGGTTCTGGTGGAGACGGACAGCTTCCAGGAGGCATGCAAATCGTCCAGGAACGCGAAATTACGAACGAGGCTGACGCTGTAACACTCGCCGTAAACTCTCTTGCCCTGGATGATATCGCACGTATGGCCGCTTTGGAACAGCAACGAGAGCAGCGTCCGAATGCATTCCGTGCCGGCGGAAGCGCACTACTAGGACGGGATGACCAGCCGAGGCTACAGAACGGCCATCGTCGTGATTTCTCTGGGGGTCAGGAACTCCAACAGATATCAGAAGGCCGCTCGCGAACCTACTTTTCAGAACTTTCGCCGCTTGAGTACTTCAAGCTGAAGGGTCTTGCGGTGCTTCAGCTTGGACTTTTGCTCGACGACAACCAGTACAACCAAGGCGATCTTCTAGATCTCATCGAATCGAAGAAAAACAACTTCTGGGGCAAAATTGGGTTCGGCAAAGCGTTCAAGGCCGACAAAAGCAAACCGAAGAAGGGCGTTACAGGAGTCGAGAAGCCGGTTTCCGACAAAGCAACCTTCAGACAATCGCTCGAGTACCTCGTCGAAAAATATGGCGATGAGTGCACGGAAGGGGTAGGACCGGGCGCTCTCAAGGTTCCAGCTTTGCTTCAGGATTGTATTACCGCGATGAGAAGTATGGATATGTCCATTGAGGGTGTGTTCAGGAAGAACGGTAACCTCAAGGCTCTGCGCGAGCTTGAGGAGGAAATCGATGCCAATGGTGTTCAAAAGGTCGACCTCAACACTAAGAACCCAGTCATTCTCGCCAACCTCTTGAAGCGCTTCCTTCGATTGATGCCTGAGCCGGTATTGACATTGAAGCTTTACAGGCTGTTCATGGTAGCTAATGGTAAGTTTCTCTTGATTGCGCTCACGATGTTTGACTAACAGAAGCAGACATTGAGGACGAAGCGCAAAGAAAGAAAGTACTGCATCTAGTGCTTTGCCTATTGCCCAAGGCCCATCGCGACACCATGGAGGTTTTGTTCTGCTTCCTGAACTGGGTGTCGTCTTTCCACACCGTAGACGAAGAAACGGGCAACAAGATGGACACGTGGAATATCGCCACTGTGATGGCTCCGAACATCCTACGTGAGAGCAATGACAAAGAAGTAAAGAGCGTGGATCAGGGTGCTGTCAAGGTCGTGTTCGATCTCATCGAGAACAACGATGAGTTCTCAGAGGTATGTTGCATCGTCGTTCTGTCCTTGTCCAACTCTAACGCAGCCAGGTACCCCCCGAAATCATGGAACTACTCAGCGACGAAGTGTCCGACATGAGCGCAAAAGAAATCATGCGACAATGGGAACAGCGGGGAAAGAATCCTCTGTCGGCACCTACGCCGTCGCCTAGGGACCAAACTGGCACTGCTTCTAGGAAAGACCAGCGTAATGCGCCTCAGATTACGACAGCAGACAACAACCCCTCGGCACAGGCTGGTGAGGCGTCAGTCCGTCAGGTCCCGGGCGCAGGCGCAGGCGCAGGTCAACCAATGCCTTCCGGCAGCAATCAGCACAGCCCCACCCCAGGATATGACCGGAGTGCACCTAACCCTGCATTCGCCCAGAACACTCAAGGTTCGCCTGACGGCCATCGCACTGCATCTCCTCATCGGCACAGCTATCGCTCGCCTGGCTTCCAAAAACACACACAGATTGGCACCGCGGGCGCTGGATGAGACACGACAACTCTCTTTTTGGGACTGTACCGGAGTACATGGCGTTGATTGCATGCACCGTTTTCATGGCTTGAGCGAAAAGCATTCAATGAGCGGTGATTCTATTCTATACCCCTGGCCGGAGTCTACGTTATGACATCTAGACTGGCCAGTCATCTTCACGCATTGGCTTAACATAAGTCTGACGACTGTTTGACTGCATTGTAGCATCATGTGCTGGTTGATGCACACTGGAGGGACATTTTTTGCAGCATTGATATGGGCGTTTCTGGATAATCACATGTGCCATATACGATCTTGGCATTGTTTACGGTGGCGCGAACACGCGCGTGGGAATGCCTGTAGAGGAAAACGGTGGAAAGCGCTAAGAGTACCTCAGTTGGGGACGGGTAGGCTTTGACGGCGAAGCTGCATGTGAGGCATATAAACTACTACTGTAGAGGCCGAGTACGCAGGTGTGGATAATGTATGGAAGTTGCCCGATGTAGTCTTCAAAGGCTTCTGTTGCCTGCCTTTGGTAGATGCTTCAAGGCCTCATGTAGGTATCTGATGATTCTATCCCCTCTCTTCACCTCATCCTTCACCTCCCCATTGTTTCGATTACGAGGGACGCGCCTTCCTCATCTCCATCTTGCTTGGCAGACACCACAATCTCGGCCCACCTTTGCAAGACTCATCTCTTATCGCCTGCGTCAAGCCCTCACTTCGGTCAACGGTTTTTTCTTTGCTCTTTCTGCATACACGTTGTAATTGTTACTGCTCACGTCCAAAGTGCATCGTCTCGCAACAGCACGTGTTGTTGAGTGCCTTCAGGCGACGCCTCCCCTTACCTGCCACAAACGTGCTCACCTGTTGCAGCATTGTCCATCACTCCAAGATGGATTCTGCGACTGCCCAGGTTGTATTGAAGCTCCAGCTCGACGACGTAGACGCTATTCTGAAGACCTTGCCTAAAACTGACAAAAACGGTGCCGTCAACAGCGAACGAGTCGCATTTGCGGCGCTTGGCGATGAGCTTCTAAGGGAGTGGAACAATCTTCGCGGCCAGGCCTTCGCTCGCAACATTGGTCAAGAAGAAAACTCGAGTCGAGAGGCGTATAAGAAGCTCTTGAGCGAGGAGCAGCAGGCTGAACGTAAGTACACACGGCTTAGCCATGCCACACCAAGCCGTGCTAACACGATCGAGGCGACCATGATTTAGCTTGCAGACTTGCCGGCAAGCCCGTACCACAACGCCCTGCAGTCCAGCACGCGCGCACTGTGTACAAGAACGTGGCAGACCAGAAGTCTGAGCCTGTCAATGATAAGACTATCGCAGACAAGAACCTCCACTCTGATCTCACTAGCATGCAAACGAAACCTTCGAAGAACGGGCTCTTATCTGGCAAAAAGTGTCTTGCCGAGGATGATTTGAAGCCCGATCTTGGATTAAACAGCTTTAAGCGTGCGCGTGTCGATGATGCAAAGGACGAAGACGATAACTCCATCACACCGCACATTCGTACGACTACGTCAAAAAAGCGCACTGCTTCTCTTGATCCGGCAATATTCAGGGAAAACGAAGGTGGAAGAACAAAACGAGCGAAACTTGATAATCCGACAAATGAGTCTTTGTTCAGTGCCCATGATGGGACTGCACAGACAGGAACCTTGTCAGCAACTTGCTCTTCTTGCCTGGACATACACGCGGCGCGCAATATGCTTCAGTTCCCATGCAGGAACGACGGCGATGTTGAGGCGTATGTATACTGCTGCGAATGTTTCACTCACCTCTTCGAGTGCTCTATAACAGATACTTCGCACTTCCCACCCCGATGCTGTTCCAAGATCATACCGATCTTCAGTTGCATTCCATTCTTACCCTCAGCAGTCTTTTCTAGATTCGTGGCTAAGAGAGAAGAGTTAGAGATGGTGGATCGCACATATTGCAGCAACAAGATATGCTCGAACTGGATCAGACCTGCCAGTATTGTAGCAGACACAGCTACGTGCGCAGAGTGTGCTCAGAAGACGTGTGTTACGTGCAAAAACGAGCGACATGATGGTCTCTGTCCAGAGGATAAGGATGTCAAAAAGCTCATGGGCGTTGCCAAAGCCAAGCGTTGGCAGACGTGCCCAAAGTGCAAAGAGATGGTTGAGCTTGAGCGAGGCTGCTTCCACATCACGTAGATGATACGTTAGTGAGAGGGATCAAGCTGATAGTTCAAGGTGCCGCTGCCAATACGAGTTCTGCTATACATGTCTAGCCAGGTGGCGAACGTGTAAATGTCCACTCTGTGATGAGCGTAGAATCGTTGATCGTCCTATTCCCCCAAACGACGCCCCTCAAGATGCTGTGTACCTTGCCAATGCTATTCCACCCGTCCCTGTGGCCCACCCGAATATTCTTCCTGCTCAGCCAACCGTACGCGCAGCTCAGCCCCAGCCTCAAGTTCCGGCTCAACCTGCAGTTCAGCCCACCAGCAAGCACAAAGACAATGGCCGTAGAAAGAGGCAACGAAACACAAAAAAAAAAGAATAACCGGAGCCACGTCCATAAGTTCGAGCGGTATCATCGTAGTGACGGGCACGATACGACATGTAATCGCTGTGGCTTCGTGGACAGATGGGCCAACGGCTGCCAGGGTTGTGGCTTGATGATCTGTCGGATCTGCACCAAACATCGTCTCTGAAGGGGGATTGGATCATGACTGTCTCGGACTCGAAACTTATCACATCTGACATCGAAACGAGACTTGATAGGCGGTCGAATTTGTGGCAAAGATAAGGAGACTACGTGGGAATACTTCCATAACAACGTTTATCGTGTATGTATATTGAGCTATCATGGCGTTCGATACAAACCGCTTCGTGCTCTCCGATCATCCACTACTCTACAGAAATCTACTTCTTCACAGCAACAACAAACAACCTCGGATAACCCAATAGCACTTTTCCGTCCTCCAACGCAGGATACTCGCTCTTCAGTTTTCTCTCATACTCTTCCAAAAATTCCTTTTTCTCATCTTGTGTCTTAATTAGATTCAGATAGGGTTGCAAACCTGTTCCTTTGACCCATTCCACAATAGCCCCTGCATCCTTCAACACATGCATATAATTTGTCCTCCAAATGTTCACGTGACTGGCATATGGAATGAGCGCATTATAGAATGCTGACGGTGGCTCTATAGGATCGAGATCGGGGCGCGTGGTATCTGCCAGATCGCCGATGACGGTCGAGGAGAAAGAAGAAGACCAAGGCTTCTGAGTTTGAGATGCGACTTCGCGCATGGAGCGATGGGACGGTTCGTGATAGTTGTCTGGTACTTGTATTGCTATGACGCTTCCTCTTTCCAAAGACTCGAATAACCGCACGAGAGTGGGTATGCGTTCTGGGGAGCGGAGCCAGTGGAAGACTGCGTTGCTGAAGAGTAGATCTGGCTTTTCATCGGCTTGAAACGTTGCTAGATCTCCGGGTATGAAGTTCACGGCTTCTTTGTCGGAGAACTCGACGTTGGCCTTTTCAAGCATGTCGGGTGAACTATCCATGCCCGTGATGCGTGCAGAAGGGAAGGCATCGAGAAGAACTTTCGTGCTGTTTCCTGGACCACAGCCTAGGTCGTAGATACGTGGCTTTGGCCCGGCGATATGGGGTTGGATCTGGGCGACCAAATCGTAGACGGCGCGGGTGCGTTCATTATTGAACTTGAGATATTGGGTTGCTGACCAGTCTTTCTTTGCAGATTCGGGGCTGGACATCTTGGGAGAGGCGTGATATTGGTTTGTGTGGAAAGGATTTCGATGGTAAGGTTTGCGTACTGTGTGCCGTGGTTTAAATGGATAAGTCAAAGTTGGTACACTACGGAAATGTATCCGGCTGTGAGTCGTATTGAGGTGGGGCGATCGCAATGAGGTGCAAAGTCCTTGGGATGTGCGGAGAGCTGGTACATTCATCTTGTTCAACGAAGTCAGTCACTCTAAGAAAAGAAAATGATGTTATCTGAGGGATTGAGCATGTAGGAGATGTAAGGCAAGCTCATGTAGAGTTCATGGTTGTGAGGCCTAGCAGTTAAGCTTAGCGAATCAGACGTCATGTGTGGGGTACATATCCAACAAGTGGGGCTAAGCTCCTGGCCGCACATATGTCCGGGGCGTGCTACTGCCGAAGAGCTTTATACCTTCCGTATGTCAATGCAACATGATATGGCGCAACACGAAGAAAGATAAAATTTGATTGATAAGCTGAAGAGAAAGCCACTGCAAGGTGAACCTTTGACGTTTTGCTCTTAGACAAGGCGAGAAGATTTGAATTATGTACTTGTACGTGAGACCAAATCCACTACGTAGCACGTGCTTTGAAGACACCATTTTCCAGTGACATTCAGGGAGGCATCATACCTGGCGGGTTCTTACTCACACGACCCGTTCTGCCTGCCGTGATTTCTGGGTAAGGTATGGCGTCACCTTCGCTGTACTCAATCGGCGCATTGGGGTCGTCTGGTAGGCGCGCGGGCGTGCCGAAGACTTCCACTTTCAGTGTCTCGGCGTCGGGAAACGGAATGCGATCCCCACGTTCCTAAAAAAACAGTCAGTGTCGCTCATAATCTCGAAGGTCTACAAACTTACATTGTAGACGTTCCATGTGAGGTAGGAGCTCAAGTACGGTACCACGTCATTCGGATCCAGGCTGGACAACTCATTGGTATTGACTCGATCAACGAGATAGGTTGTTATACTCGTTGTTCCCTTCATCTTGTTCTCTGGCTTTGATTGAACGTCCATTGTGCGCACATCGTCGCGCTCGGGCATCAGCATCATCCAACTTCCCAAGTTGATTGTAGGATCGGACTGGAAGATACCGGTGAGCGAAAAGCTGACCATAAACGTCGGGGGAAGCCTAGAAGCGATAGCTTGGGTTTCGATAGTCCATTCTGTGTACGTATTGTTGTTATCCAATAGTGCTTGTCCGAAAGCCGTCACATGTTGGGCGGTAACTTGGACTTGAGCTTGTGCGCGTGTACGTCCGCCATAAAGGTTCGTGATGGTCGCTGCCACGCTTCTCTGATATGCTTCGTCCGATGCAAAGTTCCAACGCTGTGTTTCCGGATACGCATAACCAAAAATCGTAGTGTTGCGACAGTCGTTGAAAGTGAGGAACTGACCGGTTGCTTTCTTGAACGGCACAAGTTCCGTGTCTGCACTCACAGTCTGGTAATTCTCGAGATACACATTTCCGTGTGGGCCTATATTGGACGGTTGCATCCATCTATCAGGGTACGCTCCTTGGTATAACGCAAGCAATCGGTCGACGTTGCTAATAGACGACGTTAGCCGGACAACATTTCTGAAATGGAGCAAACTTACGCATGATGCAACATGAAGAGAGGTTCGTAAGATGAGTATTCTAGTGGCCACATGTGACCGGCCCAAGGTTCTTTGGCGGTATAGCCGCCACCAATCACACCGTGCATCCAACCATGTGGGTCTTCTAGTATACTTGAGAACCGTGAGAAAGTGCTGGATCGGAAGGCGACTCCCACTTGAACTATCAAGTTGGTGGACTGGGCTCTAAAGGCATCTACAAACTTGGATTGCTGTGATGTCGCATTAGGGCTGTCGTTTTCAGGCCATCGTATCGTTGTGCTCATTTGGCGCCACTGCAACTATAGTCAGATAGTGTAAACTTTCGATCTCTTGCCCTAGGGTTAGCTCACCTTCATATCGAACCCTTCCGGTACAGGATCGAACGTGTATGAATATAGCGGGTTTGAAATCACAACTGGTGTGCGGTCTGTATCGATGATCGTCAAGTATGGGGCTGTAAAGATATCTGGAACAGGGCCAGTGGTAGTGCCCTGAGCCCAGTCCCAATATGGTATGCGAAACTCGCTGGCTGCGGCGAGATATCGTTCCATCTGATCAGCGGGTGCCTGTCGAGCGATATCGAGAACATGTTCAGATAGTACTTGCTACGCTTGTTTAGCTTTTGTCTTATCCAACTCTTGCAGAAAATGTGGCGGTTCTGGGGATAGAACACTCACTTCGAAAAGCGCAAGGTATGGGCGGTGCCAGCCCAGGAACAACTCATTACCATGTGGACAGTAACCTGCTTTGCCAATCTTGGATGGGATTCCTTTCGCATCTCCCCAGACCTCGTAAGGTCTGCCGTGTATCGCTAAGGAACGGGCTCAGCAAGCTGCAAATTATGCTCCTCACAAACCATACTTACATGCGAGACCGTAGAACGAGTTGGGATTATTTTGCGGAGTTTTATGGAGCTTTCGAAGCGCCAATACGTAAAGACTCCATTGGTCTGGAAAGTTGTTCATCAGATCCCTGACCTCACGGCGAACATGAGCGTTTCCTATCAATGCTCAGCGGCGATTCCTGGTCACGCAGCTTCGATGCCTCTTACCGCTTCCATCTCGCGTCTTCACTCCAGTGACCACCCCCACTTCAGATTGTCGGATCGCATGGCTGCTCTTCTGCGTCGAAAAAGGCGTACACGTGACATATGCGATTACGAGCCACAATAGAAAGCATCTAAACGGCCGCGGGACAAGCATGGTGAGTGACTGAATAGTTGATTGAATGTGTTATCTGTGGAGAGCCAGTCAGAGGGAAACAGTGTGATATTTGAACACCATGGCTTGCAGTCCCTGCGTAAAAAAGTACAGACTAGCCACGAATAAGGGTCATGTGGGTGAAGAGTGAATGATGATCATAACTATGACTCCTAGTCTTGATGCAGGCGACGTGGAAGTCAGAAATTAAAGAGTAAAGGACAGCGTAGCAGAGAAACGCATCCGATCTTTGATGCAACATCTAAAAGCACGGCTAACAACAAGGTGTTGGTATTGGCCCTTGGTGTTGTCGCTTTGATGACGACAGGTGTGATAGCGATATTGTGCCCTGAACCAAGAAATCTGCTGGACAACACGCGATACACTTACCTTGTGATGGAGACTTGCGAAAAGCAAACACAATATCAATTATGAGCTGGTGTTGAAAGGAATGTTTTAGAACCCGCAGCTTAGCAACAGGCTAACGGAACGAGGTGTGAGTTGTGGTTCTAGCCTCCTTGTTAGCATGTATGAGGAAGTGGTTAGGGAAGCCGCGTCGATGACTGCGAGGAGACTAATATGCCTGTTAATGCGCTGGGGAACAGATTGAGAACGAGCGAGTGTAAGCTCAAAGACGAAGAGACGTCGATGCAGAAAGTACGAGTTAGGGGCCGTGCTGAAGTGGTGAGATCGTGTGCTTCTGTCCGGCCACGGCTTTGTAGCTTCGTATTCGGTCTCATTGGATTACATCCCAGGAGTACGGAGCTGTGCAAGTTCGATATTCCTGTAGATAGCCCTTGTGTGTTACGATCGGATGCATTACTACAAGTGAATTGACAGACTTTCGACTGCAGTGATAGTATACCGTGTTGGCTGTCAACGCCACACCGGGACCACATGAATACAGCCTGATATATTTGCTACTAGCCAGACGTTGATATCTTAGGCCTAAGAATTGGTGGTCAGTTACATCCGCGGATTGCTGCAATCAGTGTTGCACGACGCGTGGGGAGATACGTAGCATGTTGCGTGTATCGCGCGCGGCTACGTGTCCAGGTAACGGAGGCTATTTAACACGAATCCCATTAGAACAATTCGAACAATGACAGTTCATGCACCTTCTAAGTTTGCTGTTCATACTCCGTGCTGGTCAAGGTTTGACGGGCTGTTGACCTGCCCAACGCTTGCTCTGAGGCATCTGCTCATTGGAGCCACCATAGAGTGGTTCGCACATATGACAGTGAAACGTTGCAACAAGCCAGAATTAGTTGATTGCTGATTTTAGAGGCTCTTAAAAAGACGCTAGTAAAGGTCATTCGTGCAGCTAGCCGTGGCTGACTGCGTTGCGTATCCCTATGCCGGTATCTCGAATCGGGTCGCCTGCGCGGAACGCCACAATAGCTCTTCAATCGTCTCGCTCATGACATCGTGTGTATCATCAAAGTGCCATTCAATTCACTGGCGCTAGTCTTCCAAGTCTTCAGATATCGTTGTAACCAAGAAGTCTCTTGTCCAGATCCTTGTCTGCGACCGCCCACGCCCAGGCACGACCTGCCTCGCCACACCATAGTGCAGATGGATCGTCCGACTTCTCCAACATACCATCTTTTGCCATTGACTTAATTTCGTGGCCTGTGGTATAAGTCAGGAAGTGCTCGAATTGCTTGCCGTCCAAAGCGAGAGCATTTCCAGTGATTCCGTGACAGATACAGGGCTCCTTAGTCAAGAGGCCTCTCTCCCAGATGCACTCCCTGGCCTTGGCGATAACTCTGTCAATACGTTCGTGAAGGCCTGGGAAGTATTTTCGAATCGAGAGAAGAGAAGTGACTACACCAGGCGCTCCATGACAGACTTGTACGAGCTTGTCACGACCTGGCGGCAGAGACGATGGGAAGTTGCCGCTCTCATACTGATAGCTGAGTAAGGCACCCAATTCCGCTTCCAGCTTAGACGCCCATGAAGGGTCAGTAAGCACGATCTGTGTAATGATACCGATCGCGCCATGCACGGCACCAACGTATGCCTTCCCATGCCATTTCCAGGGTCGCGGGCTTTGCATAATGTTCTCGATGACCTCATCGGCTGTGTCCTCAATGAGTTCGATAACGTCCTTGTTATGGGCAAAAGCTCCGCGTACAAGGCGAAGGAGATACAGATAGCCAGCACGACCAAACAGCCACTCGTTGGAGGTTTCGTCCTCAAGCATGACGGCAGCATGATCGCAGAGCTCTTTCACCGTGTCTGGGTCTTGCGCAGTCACGGCGTACAGCGCAAGCAGGGACATGATGTCGTTGGAAATGCCGCATTTCTTGGGAGTTGGCGCTGGGAATTCCTTGATATGGGCTTGTGCTTGTTCAATGTAAGCCGCAGACCATGTGTTCAAGGGATATTCATCCAGTGTAAGGTCAGGATATATGTTGTGCAAGGCATAAAAGAGGTAGGCTATTGATATCGGTCCATAATATAGGCCACCACCTGGAGGAACATGATGCGGAGGATAGTCCGTGATCAGTCGGTCCAATGACGCTAATAGTTGCTTGTGAGGATCTCGTCGTGCCAGAGGCGCATCATTTCGAAAATAGCGGGGTATCGAGGCAGGTGCTGCTTGTGTTGACGGTGCTGCAGGCGGCGCAGCGTCTTCGGACATGGTGATGGGAATATATCGAGGCGAGCTCTGTTGAATCTCTTGATGGAAAAGGAACGGTAAAGTTGGCGCAGACTTAGGTATGCGCGAGTGACGAAAAGGTATGAGATCGTAGGTGCCCAACTGTGACGTCAGCGGGGCTCGTCTTCTATGATTGGTCGGCTGCGGTATATGTAACTGGAAAAGATTACTAGTAAACATAACACCATGGTGCTTACGACTCGTGATGTGGGTATTGGAAAAGTGAACACGAGAGTTTTCTTGTCATCGCTCAGCACATGTTGTGCTGAGCCGGCATTTGCATTATCTTTCCTCAAACTATGTACTCCAACAACCAGTATTTGGCTTCTCCGCTACCCGAGCGATGCGACTTTGGATGAACCGGAGGGGCTATTATGTGGTCTCTTCTCTGGAAAATAACGCTGGGTTAGCCATTCTAAACTCCGGCTATGACCTCTGGTGTCTGGCTTGACCACCCGCGTCTCCGGTGGTTGTTGATACGCACCGTTTTTACATACAGAACCGGGAAGCTACATCTCACTATTGCCATAGTGTACGTATGGTCTAACCGTGCGAAGAGTTACCTGGCCACGGCAGTGGCTCAGCAGGAAGCTCAGCGAGATTCCCGACAGAGCCGTTACAGCGATGTTTGTCCCGACCTATCTCTCGACTGTCTAGTTGTGCGAGATCATCTTGTTCTGTTATCGACTCTGTTCTGTAAAGTGAGGCTATCTTTTGCTGAAACTGCGAAGATGCTTTGCCTAAACTGATGTTAATATCGTGCATAGTGATTGGAACTCAATGTATCGACTCACTCGTTAACTGCGGTGTCATGTCACTGCCAACCAATGGGGACGGATAATCCGGCGCTTTGTATATCTTGGTATGCCTTTTCTTCCTTAGATATAGCAATATAGAGATCATCAATACACAAAAGACCGCAGTACCCAGCACCGCACCAATGATAACTGCTACAGGCAAATGTACATGGCTTGTCATTTCTGGTGCGTCACCAGATGGTGTTGCTGTGGTCAAGGCACTCTGTGTGACAGTCTTGTAAGATGGCTCTGCTAAGCTGAATGTGATGTCTGAATCGAGAGATGGTGGTGATCCTGTTGTAGATCTTGATGGAGACCCTGTCGTGGTGGGCGTGGCCTTCGAAATTGATGTGATTGGAACGAGAGATGGTTCTGAGGCTGTATATCGTCAGCTTGGATTACCATGTAACATGCTGTGTGAACCAACATCGCCCTGGAGTTCGGTCCTTGTCGGCAGGACAAGTACTGCCTGGCATGCATGGATCTATAGTACAGCAACCACGGAAACCATTGCACATGTAGAACACGCCCCCCCACTGGACAGTCATGTTCTGGTATCATGGTGTGAGGTTTGGTGTCTTAGTCAATAGACTATGATGATAGGATCAGAATGAACAGATATGTGAGAACGACTAGAAGCACAATGAAGCTTCATAGACATGTTTGCAGCAAACCATCATCTAAACACAGAGGCAGTTCTGCAGGCCGCCGCCCAGTCTACGCAAACAAAGCGTCGCATGGCAAGGGTGCTCCTTCGATGCGCCCCCACGTGAAACGTGCTGCCCGATGCAGCCATGTGGTCAAAGGATTTGTGAAGCTGCGCCCCGTAGATCTCAATTCGTTGAACGGGAGCTAAATGTACCTCAAGATGCTGCGCCGTGCGATGTGTCGATGGAACGAATAAACAGAAGAAGGGGCCATGGGGTGCTGTGCCCAGCCTCTCGCGTAGGAGACAATGACGCCATCACCGCCTCACAAACTTCCACTGTGAACAGCTCAACTACTCTCCCAGTCTTCGTCCATCTGCATCACTCATTGGGACTAAATGAATAGCCATACGCCATTTTAGAGATACGGATCAATTAGCTAGATGCGTTGTCGCCCCTTACTGACAGCATTGCTGTGTTCTCCTACGCGACTTAGCTTGTCATCTTGGAGGGATGGAGCACGACGCGACTTCGCTTCAGATCTGAGCGAGGTCATAGAAATGCTAATTTACGAGAGCAAGGTTCTTTTGATATCGCACCTGCTAACTATAAGAGTCTGGCAGGTTGACAAGATTTCAGATATTATAAACAATCTTCTCGGCACTGACAGGCCGCATCCACAGTTCAGCGCGAACGGTTCGTCTTTCTTCCATACCACCTGCACCAAGCAACTGGAAGCCATCATAAACTACGCTTCCTAAGCCGCCTGGCATCAACCTGATCGGGTTTGGACTCAGCTCGGAAGCTATGGATTCGCCGAGCCACGCGTAAAACGCTACTGCGAACCCACGAGCAGCGGGTGATCGTCGTACAGTAAAGCCTTGGTACTGAACCTCTTCGCCCAGTGCCTCCCACACCGCACCATAAATGGGTTCGACAGAGATGTTGTGCGGCTTCCAAGCTCCACCTTCACGAGATCGGACGATGGCTATCTTCCCATCGCGTGTGAGGGTCGAACAGGTACGCTCGACGGAACTAGCTTCAGAAATACAGTCGAATGCATAGTGTATCCCAATGCCGCCAGTAAACCCTCTGATTTTCTCTGGCCAGTCAGGGTCTTGGTAGTCAACGAGAGCGTCATACCCGTATGGCTCTGCTTTGAGAAGCTTCCACCGAGCCTCGCTAGCTGCGCCGTACAGCTTGATAGCTTTGCCGCTCGATTTTGCACTGAGCCGTATCATCTGCGCCGCAAACAATGCGACTGATGTAGATGCACCATAGACGAAAACGTTGATTACATCGGCTTCGTCCCATCGGCTCTGTGCGGCGGATTTCCACTCTGGGTGCTCTTGGAAAACTTGCTCGCGATCATACGCAAACGGCGCTCCCATCCCTAGCCGGTACCATATCGCTTGGGCAGACGTAAGGGCTACAAGGCTTACACCCGCAGCCTGCTCAAGAGTCACCGACTTGGGTACCTTCCATACTAGATCCCATGGGACCACAACAAATTCTGCAAAGGCACCCGGTCGTTCGTTGACGCTGCAAGCACCTTGGAGAAAACCAGCAACCTCGTTTCCATCGCCGAGATCGGCTTCCGTGGGTACATCACCGCCAGTTTGGATTATGGTACCTGCGAAATCGCTCCCAACCGTCCGTCCAGAATCACCCAGCGGATGCGCGACATATAGTGGGTCAATGGGATTGAGCGCAACCGCCTTTACACGAATCAGTAGTTCGTTCGCAGCAGGCTTTGTTCGAGGTATGTCACCGATATACGCTGTTCGGTCCTCCGCGGCGAGTATGAGGGCTTTCATAGTGGTTCGCGTTGGTTGGTTGGCCGGTTGGTTGGTGTTGTCTTGAGTGCGGTTACGCTAGTTTACAGCAGTCTGGGGCTGTGGATACAACCGTCAATTTTCAGTTTGATGTAGTTTTTTCTGGCTTCGAACGGAAGCATCTTATTTATGGAAGTGGTGCATGTCAGTCGCAAGGGCGTGGATGACTAACATATGCATGGTAAGCGATAGTCCCTGCCCTGGATAACGTCTTCTAAGGAAGGTTCCCTTTACCAAACACCCAAAAGCGCTTGGAATCACAAAATCATTGAGAATCAAACTTGAAGATCACGGGACGCTGCTACCTTGGTTCAAAATCTCGATAAGGTCTCGCGCGACCTATCAGAGGCGAGAGATACAATCGCACGTTCTGGGTTGAACAAAAGCCCTGGATCTCCTTTGTGAGCCATGGTAATGTGATCAAATCTGTGTATTGCCATTAATGATTTCCGTGGTAGGTCTGCCAACAGGTTCATGGACGGTCGTAGGCTATGCAATACGGAGTATATAAGGAATCTCTCCCGGATGTCTTTTTCTCTTCAACTACAAATCTTTTCCATTACAGTTCCAAAGTCTTGACGCAAATTACTTCTACCAAGCATTCCGTTTACAGCATGGAGTCTAACAACATCTGCGGCAAGGTCCTTTCCAAAGCCACAGCGGAGCATTACCTCGAACTCACCCAAAGCCTTCATAACCTCATCATTTTCACACTCGACTGCGACAACAAGTACTGTCTAGCAAGCCAAAAGCAAGATACTTGGTCCCTCCGCTCTGCTCGTCGTCCAGACCCCCTGGACGAACACATTTCCGATATCAAGAGCAGAATACATTCACGCCACGTAGGATTCTACGAAGGCTGGAAAGAGATCAAGTATGAAGCCGCATTTAAGTGGCCTGTTTCCGAATACGCGGGCTCACTGTGGACGATCTTCGCAAGAGCCATGGACCAAGACAGACCCATCTACGAGATGAGAAACTGGTTCTCGCACGACTTTGGTAAGCGTGGTGGCACTATTGAGGTGGAGAACGAAAAGTTCAACGGATTGCAAGAGGCGTATAAAAGTCTTCTTCCAGGTCTTACTGAACTACTAGCGAAGCTTGAACTAGCACTCCGAGATGAGGCGGCTTGGGTGTCGGAGTCCAAGGTAAAGGCTAGGAAGTATGAAAAGAACCAGCCTGAGTATACCAGGGATACGATGGCGGTTCAGTTGGAGCTTGTGGCACGTCAAGAGAAGTTTATCGCGATGACGAAGCGGATTGAGATCGATGATGCTGCTGAAGCGGAGTGGGTTGTGAAGGAGGTTGAAGGAGAAGAATGGGTTAGTGACACAGAGGAGGGTGTAATACCATGGGCCAATATCGGTGAAGTCAACGAGAGTCTTTGGGACTACGCATCGAACACGGACGAGGACTCGTTGGAGTGCACCGAGGATTTTCCGGCCTCATTATCGCAAGACCCTGACGACCGGGCATACGACTCTGGATATGAAGACGACGAGGGGCCCCCGGATCGCTTGTGCAAGGCTCCCGCATCCGACGCCGGATCTATCAGCGCGACAGTATCGCACCACGGGGACGAAACTACATATATGACATCAAGGCTCGGCCCGTTAGCGGCACAGAACTTCCGACCTCCTCACTCTACCTGAGAGCGGTTTGTGGCCTTTGCGCAACTGTCATCCCTGTCTAGTATGTTTCAAGATCGGCCAGACCGCAAATTTCCGAGAACTGCGTAACTTGTGGTACGTGGATGTGGATCTGGTAGTCCTTCCTCATGTTATGGGAAAATTGATTACTGTGAAGGATAAGGCAAGGGATGGAGTTGGTGTTGAGCTTGTATAAGAAGCTTGATCGCTGTGGCCAAGAGATATTGCTTCACTCACCACATCACACCTTGCATCTTGACAACCTGCTCGTTGATCGAAATTACCTTCATGATGATGTTCTCTCAGTACTCCGTCGCTACCGTCTTCATGCTGGTAACAGCCATCACTGCCACACTAGATCCTGCGACTTCGAACACAAACGGCAGCTACCCTTCAGCTCCCAGCTGTTCACGTATGCTTCACATCTGTTCACCCCATGCCAACATAGAGGCTAACAATGAATGCAGCCATCAAGACCAGCAAAGCTATCCAAGCCGCCGAGTGCAGCCACAACACACGCACATCCAAGCAGACCTTCGCCGTCTTCACTCAAGACCACCAGTACGATGGCAACCACGGCTGGCCTTATGGGACATGCGAAGCATACAACTGCGCGCCGGGGTCGGCGATGAAGGCTAAAGCCGGTACCTGGACATTCTTCTGGGATGCAGCAGGTGTAAAGGGTGAGGAGAGCGGTGACGGTGCAGGATGCATCAAGAGCCCTAAGGATAGCACTTGTGGATGTGAGAACTCCGATGGTACCTTCATCTACAAGGGAACCAACTGCAAGTAGTCGAACTGGGAGTCGCTATTTGAGGCTGTTGGCAGACAGCACATTTTTATCTCATTCGATTGTATATAGTTCCGGAGCGTCACAAAGATGAATATTATCCAGCCTAGAGCTTCTTGTCCATGGATTCTCCAGTGACACCATGTGTTCAATTTATGTTCATGGTTTGATGTCTCTTCTCAAAAACCAATGCACATGAAGACACGGGGCTTCCGTTTTGGCTGCCTTGGTACATTTCGAATAAGACGAGACAAGCTTGCAAAAACTCCGAGCCGTTTTCTTTGGGCGCAAGAAAACTACATGGAGAATCTCCATTAATTTTCAAGTGCTTGAGGACTGGAACTTCTGGGTAAACCAAAGAGTAAGAGGCCACACGCAGAGATTGCAAACCTCCATGTAGGCCTTTCGCGACTAACCAAGTAGGTGCACTTGTCGTATCCAATCTTTACGACCAGACTGTTCAAAGAACCTTGTCCATATCGTTGGCATTCTGGGAAAAGAGACATGAAGACATGAGTTAGAGGCCATCCACCTTTGAGACGAGTAATGCCATAACATGATGTTGCACTTCCATAGTTTTGGCGTCAAACAATATACAAGGGTTTCAGGGAGCGAAGGTGGAAACATACAGTAAGGTATTATGGTGACTTTGCAACTTGGCTCTCGTTCGTCACATGAACTTCTGAGATCCGCCAGCCAGACATGAACAAGTCGAATTAAAACTTATGACTTTGATATGCTCGCTCGGGTAGCCCAGCGCAGGTCGATAATTTCATAGTTTGAGTCGACTACTTTCCGAATCAGACAGCACCTTCACTCCATGAACGATGCATAGTCATATTTGGGTCAAAGTCGGCGTCTCTTAAGCATAATGTTTTTCGTACAACCTTCGAACTCAATCCAGAGAACCATGAATCTCTGCATCTAATTGTTTGATGCCGTCATCTGTGGAGAAATAGTGTAGTTCGAGTCAGCCAGTCGGAAGTCATCTTGCGAGAAGGAGCGGGCAGCGAGCATGGATGTTTATACCCTCGCTTTTTGGTAGATTGAAAGACGTATGGTGAGTGATAGATTCTTCGTCCTGCAAATCAGTAGTTTTATACACGATAGCGTAGTAAAGCAACTCAGACGTTGAACGGAAAAACATGATCCTTTAGCCCGATGATTTTGGAAGCAGAAAATGTAGTACAGGATCTCCATGTCCCATACAATTGCTCAGACTTCGTTTCCGCACAATATTCATGACGAATTTTCATACGCCGGCCACAATAAATCTCATGAAACTCTCGCATCTCTCTTTTCGAGATTTTGACTGAAAAAAGGCAAGACAGTCATGACTTGGTGCTGATCATATCTCGCGAGGCACCGAACGGGCCGCAGACATTGGAATAAGTCATGTAGCTTTTGATGAACAAGATGTAGCAAGTGTTTTGTAGTCAGAAAGAAGGGAATAGGGGCTTGAGGCCTTTTGTGTAGACCCGTCCGAGGAGGCTAGCGGGCGCAACCGTGCGTCATGGTGTGTCGGACAAGAATTTCGAGCGCGAACGAAGTGTGGGTAAAACTAATGGAAACTAGCAGCTCTTCACTCTAAGCTCAATTGCAAGTTTGAATCCAGATGCAATATCATTTACGCAAATCCTATCTATTGCCACCCGTACTCCCAGCACGTCGTCATACATAATACATTCCTCCCTGCATCGTGTACACGATAACGCGCACCACATACAAAAGCTCCTCCTTAAGCCTCGGGTATCTTCCCCCTCATGCCTGGGGGCAGCAATGCATCTGCCTTCCTCGCAGCTTCGACCTCCTCAGCCGTAGGCTCTTTCGGTACATCAACTATGACGCTTGGATCTTTCGAGCGCGAGGCTAGCATGGCTGCGCGTTTCTAGTGATATGTCAGCTCAACGATGTCGGAGTCTCTGTCATGCCCCGAGGTAGTCGCAACGTAAATTACGCCATTTGGACGACTTCTACGCATAGGTATGAACATACCTCCCTAGCATCTCTACCCAGATTCTCTCCCTCGCCGAGAAACTCGGCATCGATACCCTCTTCATCCGGCGACCGCATAGAGCCCCGGACTCCACTTGCCTCCTCTGTCGTTCGTCTCCTCAGTTCCTCCGGGGTCACTTCGCCTCCGTCCAACTCGACGGGCGCGTCATTTATCGCAGGTGTGTTCGTGTCGATGAGCGGCGTTTGTGTGACGACTGCTGGACTAGTCTTGTGAGGGAAGGTGCCGCTTCGTGAGACGGGCGAGATGGGGTTGGTGCTCGGCGGAGGTGGTGAGAAGCCGGTCGCGGTGAGGATGGGTGGAGACATGGTGGGCAGATTTGACATAGTGAGTATGGAGTGATCGAGTGCTAGACCGTTATTCGTGGTGTAAGAGGTGTTGTTACGGGTTCTGCAGGGACATGCGCAGCTCTCAGCCTTCAGCCTGGAAGATGGCGGGGGTGAATGACGCGTGAGAGAAAGATGATAGAGAGGTAGGAGGCACAGCTGCTATGGATACAACCCAAGGCTGAGGCGGGTAGCCGTCGCAGCCTCACGGCCAAACAAAGGCCCGCGAGCGCGTAAGCTGTCGTGACTGCGATGACGTTTGCCAGGCCGTGATCCAGGGTCCAGCGGTTCAAGTGGGGCAGGAACGCGGCAGCTGGCCGGGGTCGAAGCTTGGTATGGCCTTGTCGTATCGCGCTATATCTGGATACGAGATGAGGCAAGACAACTAAAAGAGACAAGTTGGCCAGATACAAGTAATGGACACGCCAAAGTGGGTTTTTCTGATACAAGCGCAAAGGCTGAGCTGAGTTCATTTATCTTCTCATCGCGGGGCACATGCCTTGCTGCGCCTCCTTCCGTCCGCCTATACTTCCCTTTCTTAGATCAACCAACAATTGGGGATATCTGGTAACTCCGCCGTCTTCGGCTTTGGAAACCCACAGACCATGCAAACGACATAGTACGCTCAAAATACATATTCATGTGCTCATGACCCATACCGCAAATAACGTGAGCGCGTGAACTACGAGTTGGATCGTTTAGGTAGCATGAAACCCAGAGCATACCCTTCACCAGAGCTCGTTTTCGGATCAGCCTTGTTGCTGTCAGCCATCAGAATAAAGCAGTAAATGTGTGACACAGTACTTACGCCCATATAGACATCGTGTCCAAACACATTTGTCCGAGGTCCTTGCGCAGGCTGCTGGTTCGGTGCTTGCCCCGTGGCCGGCATTCCTGCTTGCTCAGTTTGCATAGGCATATTGCTCAGGTCCATAGGGAAGAAGTTGTTTGTCGACTCGATGCCTGGACCCTGGATGTAAGAATCCCATGCGTCCTGATCTATTAGCAGACTGTCCTTATTTAAGATCACTCTGAGTACGTACCCAATTGATATTGTCTGTCGGCGGAAGATCCAAGTTTTGAAAGAGGTTTGCTCCAAAGAGATTTGAAAATGGACTTGCTGCATTTTCTGGCCCCGCTGTTCCGCTTGTTGGCTGGTTGTATTGAGGTGTCAGGCCCGTTGATGCTTGAGGAATAGGGTCGTTTAGTAGATTGGCCATTCCTGCCGGGTATCGCTGGTCAAACATGTTAGCATTAGGCGTCATACCGCCCGTGCTAAGCAAGCCCAGCGTCATTGCTGCCGAATGTTCAGGTGCGACATTGGCATCTTCCATTGGTGCCATTGCGGGGTACGCCGAAGAAGCTGCTTGGAAGCCGTTCGGAGCTTGCCTTGCTGATCGACTCTTCTTCAACTGGTCCAACATGACGCCGAGTGTGGTGTGCGCTTTGTATGCTTCCATAGAGTGATCCTTGAGGCCGTCCCAAATGCCTACTGCTACCTCTATAGCTTCGAGCATTTCCTCGCGCCGATCTGAACTCCACACAAGCGTGTCTGCTGATGGCGGGGAACGAGCCGACCCTTCGCGCGCAGTGTGGTAGAGATCGGACGATATGATCATTGCAGCGAGAAGGAAGTCGACGGTGGTCAGCGACGAGATGAACCATTTGACATTGCGCAACCGACCACCGGCCTGACACTCCCGGTGCAGAGTCGCTTGGTGCTTGAGTAGCATCATCGAGGCTTCAATGACCGCTTTCCTGGAGTAAGCGAAACGCGATTGCACTCTCGCATAAGACAAGTACTTCCGATGGAGGACGCATATTATCTTGAGGAAGAGGAGGTCTAATGTGAAGCGTTGCATAATCAAAGTAGAAGGGTCGCGTGCCGCTTCATCCATTCCTCGCATCTTGAGATGCGGCGAAATGTTGTCGTGCAACTCTCTGGCTTCCGCGTCAAGCTTCATGACCTCCTCGTACGATGCGCACGTCAGGGTATCTGTGCACTCGACTGCTTCCCCAAGCTTGTAGACTAGCCTCGTTCGATTGATCAGGAAAAGGGTTGGTGTAGCTTCCGTCTCTGGCCTTGAAGGAGGCAGTATCTTCATGTCTTTGTGCAGTTCATCATCGTAGATGTTACGGGGTATCTCAGTGTTTGTGTCTCGCGGTCGGACGATTGGTGGTAATCCAGCCTGGGCTGAAAACAACAGATCGCATGAGCGTACCGCAGCCCAGATACGTCTCCGCATCTCCCCTTGGAACACGGGTATGCCGGGATATGGTCCTGGATCTCGATGCAAACCCATTCGCATTGCAAGTCGCACGACGATGCCTGTGCTAATCAGAATACCCACTTCTGCATCCCTACTACGAGCATACTCAGCATGGACGTGCAAAAGCAGGGTCTCCATCATACCCGTGATGGGCTGTGTGATGTCCGCCATGATCAAACATTGCGCTGTCAAGTCGCCATACTCCCTTGACATCTCCCAAGACTTATTGTGGTACTCGGGAGGCTCATCACCAGCTCGTGTGTACGACTGCAGCGCGATGCACATCATGGCGAACACGGTCCCAAGCCAGATGACGGGCGTCTCTTCCGGTTGTGCCCAATGTCTATCGTACTCCTCTTGGAACGTTGGGCCATGTATGATGTGAATGCCAGGATCGTATGTGTTGAAGAAGCGCGAGACGAGGAGATCGGCTGTGGGTTTGGGCGGGAAGCGTGATAGGATTTCGGCCTTGGAGCTAGGTTTTTGTCCACCCGTCAAGAAGGAAGTACCCGGTGGTCGATCTTCGACATGCGTCGCCTTGTACCGCTTGAGCTGATCTTCATACTGTTTCTTGTGCTCGGCGAAGTAGTTTTTGACTTCTGACAATTCACCCAATATTGCATACCAATGTGCTTCTGAGGCAAATATGGTATGGTTGTTGTGCACCTTCATGACCCCAATCGACTTTGTGACAGTTTCCATGTCACTCTCTTCGTTCACGTCTTCTTCGGGTATCGATTCAGGCGCGCCGGTGCTCATAGCGGTGATCATCGGGCTGGCATCAAACTGCTGATCCGGGCCAGCATTGCCCAGACTGTGTGCGATAGCGGCTTGAGCAGCAGCAGGTCCAGCGCTCTGGGCGCCATTGGTCATCAGGGAAAGAACCAGTCCTTCAAGACGATCAATGCGATTTTGCATGTCATCGGGCGTAGTCGCAGAGCCGGTGCTCGCTGAACTCTTCTTGCGGTTGCCTGGGGCAGCGTACGTACATGATGCCGTATCTCCGCGCTTGGTGCAGTTGTCGCAGGGATGGCCTCGATTGCATTTCAGCCTACAATTGTCAGCATACGACGATCGTCTCTTTTCGTTTGAGATGTATGCCTACTTTCGATGCCTGCATGCTCCACAGGACAAAGGAACGCGATTCCGTTTGCGCACAACTCTGAATTGTGGATCTGGCGGCGAGTGTCCTGCGCTAGAGGAAGTTGTTGAAGGTGGTGTTGGCGGCATAGTTGCGATGATGTCGCTCGCTGGTGTGATATGAATTCCACGGAGAATACGGACTTAAGGGTTAAGTCCGTTGGAGATGAATGATGAAATCTCACGCGTTGGTGGCCGCCTGAGACGCAAAGCCAGGGTATTCTGTGGTCCAGAGTCTTCTCGTGCAGATCCGGTCCGTCGCTAGTGGGCGCGTTGCAGAAGAGAGTGTGTCGAAGGTCGCAAGGTGCGCGATTGTGCAATCGCGGCCTTGTGCGGTCTTAAATCTTCGGGAACTGAGCTATCTCCAGACGCCAAGTGGTATGACCCTGAGGCCTGGGGATTGAAATGGCTGCACTGCCCTGGTGTTGGCTTGTATGCGCTCTGCTTGCGCTCTCCAGCCCGTGTTTGACGTCAAGTACAACACACCTTGTGACTCCCTCTCTGTGAGTATGTCGCCTGTGGTGCACGAGCGTATGCTCAGAAGTGTTTGGGGTGTTCGCGATAGGCTAGCCCTCTCTGTGGTGGCTGCCCACGGAGTGCTTCCTCCTGCTGAGGGGAAGATGCAGCTTACGCAATGGGCGATCGAGCGCGCAGTGGAGGATATGTGGTATAGTGCTGTACCGAAGACCTGTTGACACCTACTAATCTTTGTCAGCAGCTGCCCAATGCCAAAACCATGCGCTGAGTCGCACTTTCTCACATAGGCTTGTACGCACCACCAGCTCTCTCGTCGAACGCGCCCACCTCACGATAGCACGCTCGCACAGCGCAAAGTAGTCAATTGTCGCGCAGTTGGTATGCGCTAGCTTCGGCGACAGCTTCGGCGACTCGGATACCGCCACGCTGAAGAGTTTGGAAGGGGTCGTTGCGGTGTGTTGTAGTCGAAGCCTGGTACAGACGTGGAGAGAATTAGGCGGCCTTTAACTCCGACCACACTCAGCCATCATCGCCAAGATGTCTTGCGACATGCGATCCTTCACCAAGTCACTATCGCGTAGGCCCACCATAGCTTTACTAATACGCGCGATATCTTTCACAGTGGCGACAACATCTTCACGGTTCCCATCATCTCCAAAGCTGAAGCCTCCTTGTGCTTTCTTCCCCATGTCAGGATTCCTCGTGATTGCGCTTCCCCCAGGCGGGGTCGGGCTAGCCCACGCTCAAGCCACCTGCTCACCAGCGCCGCCTTAATCATCCGCCGTCTCTCCGGGTCGTGCTCGACGGAGCACGAGATGGCCACCAAAGTCTATCTGCGTTGGTGATGAGACAGGCGTTTGTAAACAGGACCTGTCGTCGGCAAGCTAAGCATGCATCCTGCAGAGCCTTTTGAGGTCAAGCTCATAGTCAAGCTTTCCGTTGTATTTAGGCGATCCTCTTTACTCTTGTGACAAAATCTTGTCAAAGTAATCATCGGAAAAAGATAACTTCGATTACATACGTTGGCTAAACCATGATGCTAACGTTTGTTTGTTTTAGTCGTCGAAAGTACCTGAATCAATCCCTATAGTCCATTAAGCTCTATTACTTGCTCCAGCGCCATCAACAGGAGCGCTTTCAGCTGCTATGGTTTCCGTCGCCGTCGACCAGGGCACCATCTTCTCAAGCTTCGCGTCCCACTCGTGCATTCCCCCAGTGCCGACATTGTACTGGTAGTAGTTCTCCGTACCACCTTTGATCATCGCCTTCCTGAAGGTAATATTGATTCTCCCCTTGCCCGCCTCGGGGCCTGCGCGCTTCGGTATACTGTGAAGCCAATTCGCTTGCGTTTTGCCACGCATCAATACCATATCTCCGGATCCCAAGGGCAGCTTGATTCCCTTTGGCTCTTCTATCACAACGCCCTCTTTGGGAGGGATAGGCTTGTGCTTCATCAGAAAGTCGCGCTTTGCACCAAGACTGAAAGATGCGATTGCTGGGTTGGGGCCGAGAAATCTCTCATCATCCGAGTGGTATGATATACTGTCTTTCCCATCCGCGTAGTAATTGACAAGGCAGAAATTGAACGTCTCGTCAGTGGTGCCCTCCGTCACCTTTCTCAGTTCCTCCAAACATTGTGGAATCGGACGAGGTGTGCACTTGTATCGGTTCTTCTCAACTGGCTTCCCCGTCTTTGCATCTACGATACTACCGTCAAGGGCAAAGCGGGACGTATCATCAACACCGAAGACGGTAGTGAACCGTGGAGTATTGATCTGAGTTTGCACTCCTCCGCGGGTGATCTTGTACTGAACGCGGTAGAACGGAAGTTCCTGTCGAAGAAACTCAAAAAGTCCTGGTGCGATGCTGGAAGGGACATAAGGCTGATAGTACACGAGGTCCAGATCCAGCTGATCGTTCATGATCTTCCCCTCCTCGGCAGGAGCGAACCCCAACTGCTCCGTGAATGAAGTGGGCAGGTACGGAATGGCCAAGGGGTAGGATGCATGGCTAGACTTTTGCGAAGTTGCTTCATATTTGGGTTTCTTGGGCTCAGGACGTGTGAAGAAAGAATCAAGGGCACCTCGCTTCATGATCAGGGGTCTTGCCTGCACGGCGTGCCACACCCGAGCAGGTCTTCCTCCAAGTACAGCTCGACTAAGCAACTTTGATGATCCCCTTGCGATACACAACACTTGGTTTTGCCCACCAAGGCACCTCGGCTTCGACGAGTGAAATCTGCCGCAATGGATGCGGATTCTCCCCAATATTTCCAGTTAAGATGCGCTGAGTAGAGGATAAGCGTGTCAAAGCGCTTTAAAAGATAAGATTGACGAGCTGCTCCAGCGTGGCGAGACAGTTGAACAGGGGCGAGGACTTTAGCGTACCGTAAGTTTTGTGCACGACGACTATGGATTTGCCAAGCTCTCTCAAGAACGCGATTGCGAGGTGTCGAACGACGAGCTTAAATTTGGTCCAAGTCAAATGATGAAGAACGTGTTGTGACCATTGTCGCGACGCGTTCATTAGCTGATACTACGTTAGTACGTCGATGACGTATGTGACTGGTCTGCACGGACTTCAATCTGATTGGCTCACCCTCTACGTTGATGCGCTAGGGGTTGGAGGCGCGCATAGCGATGGTGAATAGTCATCTTATTAAAAAGCCTTGTGTTGAGCACAACCTCCGTTTGTACTAATAATCAACCCTCCGTCTTTACGCCGCTGCCGTAGCTACTAATATCACGGACAGAGATAGCAGTGATCAGCTATCGGGCAGCAGCTGTCACTATGGCATTGGAAGAATGCTCGAACACTCATCCTAAGCTTCCTGTGTCGAACGAAGAAACGCCGTCGATGAACGACCAGCATCAGCGGCTCTGCTTCGGCAACTCAACGTTCAGAGTCTTCTACAAGGGCATGTATTGAAGCGATAGAGATTTGAATCTCTACTCTATCAATGCCGTGGGACGGTAGATAGCGGAGCCTTGCCATCGCTAGGAAAACACCACTTTGCTTTGGAAGTGCGAAAGCGAAACCCGAAGGGGATACTCAAAGTCTGGAGCGGGCCGTTGAGAAGTAGCCACTGGCCAATAAGAGACAACTACGGAATGCAGATCTCGGCAAGGTATAGCTGGAGTGATCTTCTAGCTAGACCTTTTTGGACTGGTTCCAGTCTTATCGTCGGTCCATCAACCCATCCCTTTAGGACTGTCGTCTCGATATCCCGCTGCACAATAGGTCGTCCGATTTCAATACATCAGTAGCAATGCCTCGGCGTTGCCTGCCTTACCTGTCACACTTACAGCTGTAACGCTACACGTGTTCTCACTTTGTTAATTGTCTGCCTACGCTCAGTTACGATACCGGGGTCCAGGAACTCGCCGCGAAAGTGCGCGTCGTCTTGCTTGGGACTCCTTTGATTGACCGATCTTCCTCTGTTTGAGCTGCACGATCTAGTTGGCAAACATCATGGCCTGAATGCATTCGTGTTACGGTCAGCTGGTTACTCGACCTCAGCAGATAGTTGACCGTGCAGATATGCTAGATAACACTTTTTTCTACTCAGAATTGACCACAATATCGCTGCGACTTGAGTAGATTCACAAATATCATCGACGAAGAAAGGTTTATGAAGATTTTGAAGCTCATCTTTAGTCTTACGGTTGTAAACCGACCTGTACAGAGCTCCTCTAGGTGTTACCTCGACCAACACAGCAGACATGAATGTGGCAGCGCGCGAGCACAGTTCTTTGTGAAGATAGCTAGTGACAATCTTCCCGAATTACGGACTGATAGACATGGCTCAATTATGGATCAGTACCAGTTGCTGGCGCTAGTCATGCTGAAGATACAGAATACATGCTGTTCTTCTAGGATGGTAGGATTCTGTGTCTATCACGTTGAGGAATTTGGTTTGTTTTCATACTTTATCTTCACACGCACACGCAATGCAAAACTTCCACTATTTTGAACTCGAGGATATAATGCTCACTGATGTAAATTTACAGGGTCGCTAAGTCACTTCTCGGTTGTCCCTAAGTACCCTGTAACGGCAGTCGTATGTTAGTGCTGGCATCTGTCAGGATCGCCTCACAGAAGGTGCAGCGAAGTCACTAAGCTGCAATCTTGGAATACACCGCAACGTACTCCGTGTGCTTACGGTCACCACCTACCTAGATAGGAGGCCACTTGGCTGTATAGTAATACGAAAGTCCAGAGAATGCACTGGACCTAAACATCTCAGAAACATCTTGGCTCTTTCATCCTCATCTCGACGGCGACAAAGCTATACTGAGGCTTTACCTTGTATTTAAGGACAGCATTTTCCCGTACAGATACCTCTTCACAACACAATCGTTTCCAACAGCCACTCCTTTACCTTTCTTACAACTTCCCACAAACGATTCTCAAATCTCGATTCTACTTCACCAACCTCGTCAACATGCATTCCACCACAATCATCTCCACGGTCATTGCTGCCATTGGCATGTTCGCCAGCATTACTTCCGCCGAATGCACAGTCAAGTGGACAGACACAAACTGCTGCTTGCACGACAAGAAGGCGCGCACGCTTCAGGATGGATGGACTACCGTCATCCCCGGCACGAAGACTGGCGGAGAAATCCGTTTTGCAGATGGCAATCTGTGCCCAGACTCAGTCAGAGCCACTTGCAAGGCGAACTGCTGCGACCCGACAACTGGATGGTGCAAGGGTTGCCCTAAGTAAAGGCTGCTTAACATCTTTACTCGAATTTTACTGTAATGTGAGTTCTTCATTTTAGCTTGGTCCTGATGATGTCTAACGGAATTTAGATCTTTCTAATCAGTGTTAATGAACACTAGACGCGGTAATTCCGTATGGTGGCTACTGGAAGAATATCGATATTAGCTAGGAGTATCTCGAACTTAATTTGTAACTTGTGGGGTTAAGGCTTTTGTACTTTGGGAAGCAGAGTTCGATTTGAACACTCTTCCATCCATTCATTAGGTATAATAAAGAGTTCGATATATCAACGTGTCTGCATAGCCAGATATACTGGTGACTTGCAATATAAAGGAAAGAATATACTAACAAGCAGGATTATTCGAGAGAAACAGCGTGTTAGAAAGGCTCACAAGCCTCAGCCCACTGCCGATTACGAAGGAACGATAATAGACGCTTGATTGTGCTACGGCCACCGATCCATATGACTTGTTTCACGTCGACCGCTTTCTAAGCTTTCATCTTGTCTCAAGCGATGGCGATTTTACACGAGTCACAAACCGCATTCCAAAACAACGGGTGACTATCCACGGATTTGGAGAGTGCACATTGAATAATGCTTCTATTGCTGCTTTCGACGATATACCTATCTCAATGCGCCCAACATGCTGCTGGAGAAAGGTTCCTGCCCTGATTAATCGCCTAGTGTCCGCGACCCTCTTTGTTCCGTTAACACTGTCAGATTATATGGCCAGAGCGACCTTGGTTCATCTGCACTCGATAGATCGGCTAGAGCTTTTGGCAGATGACAAGTAATTGATGATAAAGATGCATTCCTTGTTGCAGTCGATTCAAAAAGTGTATTTCGAGGTATGCTCGGACCATAATTATGGATAATGATTCATTTCCAGTTTACTGAAGAAACTCCCAAGCATGAATAACCTAATCTGCCTCCCGTGTCTTGTCAGCCCATGATAGTCTTGGTTTTATCCACTTCGTCTAACCACATCACTCTGCCGCCTTCTTGATCCCACGTTTCTCTTCTATTTCTTCCTGCCCTTCCCCGGATTCCAGAATGCTTCATCTTCTTTACCTTTTTCAACTTCTTCCTGGTTCTTCTTTGCCTCCTTTTCCTTCTTTGCTTCCCTTATAAATCTTTGCTTGCACTTCAGACAGCCGTCCTGGTTTTTTAGATGAGCTCTGCCTTCGCAGCCATTACGGCATGGCATCTCGTGCTTCTTGCAGTAGTACATATTGCCGATGTGATCTTCATCACAGCCTCCGGGGCTCTCGTCGCCGACCTAGCCTGACTTTCCGGGGCAATGATGCTTAGTCCCCCTGCCTCCAGTAGGATTGCCATTCTTACCCATGGTACTAGTGTGTTGAAAACTCCGAAAATGCTTTGTAGTTCTCCTGGAGCTATATGTCTATTGGTGGAGTTGAGTGTTGGATTGCGCAGACGTTGAATGACTTGCGGGAACATTTTATACGTGAAGTTCACGAAATGCGTTGTAGCGATATGAGACCTAAAGTTAAGAAGGTGAATCAGGCTGAGCGTTCACACCGTTCGCGCAGTGATGATCCAGAGGGAAACAATCCTGCGCACCGACAAACCTTGTCAATAGCAAACAAAGAATTACCAGCATAACAACGCGCCCAGTCTCAAAGGTATATAACCACATCAAAACACTATTTTCCCCACATCACAACGCTTCTTCATGTCCTTCGTCAGAATCATGTCACCTCATCGTTCTATATCTTCCACTTCGCCCACATACGTTGTAGATGCATCTTGCGTCGAAACATCGCCCATAGGGACAAGCACACAACATGTAAATGATCTAAAAGATGGCGTTGATCAGCAGCAGCAGAAAGCGCATGACGGTGTAGCCTCGGAAGTGGCAACGACTCCCTGCGGACAGGAACCATTCGAGACCTTCCAGCACAAAGTTGCTGAATTCGTCACGGAACATTTTCGCCGAAGCCTTAAGGACATTGCGATCTATGAGATGACGGGTGGCACATACAACCGAGTCATTGGAGTCACGATAGCATCATATCCAAAGAAGTTTGGATTGCACTCGTTCTTGACTTGCTGCTTGGGCGCACGCAAGAAGAAATCGGTCGCAAAGTTCGATTCGTACATCGTGCGCATCCCACGTATGAGTTTTAGTGGTGACGATTCGGATACTCACATGGCCAAGAAAATGAAGCACGAAGTTTCAATTTTGGAGGCGGTCGGCTCACGACTACCCTTGCCGATTCCTAGGGTCTTCAGCTATGATCTTACGACCAAGAATATATGCGAACGACCGTACATGATTCAAACGCGCCTCCCTGGCCGTAATCTTGGTCTGGACTTATGGAGCCACCTCAATATGCAGCAAATGCAGTGCATTGCCAAGCATGTCACCAATCTTGCTTCCATCATCGCCTCAGTCGAAGGCCCTGCTGGTGATATAACATCCGAAAATCTGTCGCAATCATCCACTTCCCCGATCTGCGTCAACACATTCTGTGCACCAGCTTATGACGATCAGCCAACACGCAAGCCGGCATTGGCACGCAAGCCCATCGATCATCTTTTGGAGCAATGCGAGCGGTGGCGCGCATGGGAAAGGTCCACTGGATTTTGTTTCGAAGAAGTCTGGGACGGGTTCGAAACAATTTCAAGGGCTCTGGAAATGCGCGGCTTCTTAGACGGCCCGTGTGTTCTGGTTCACGGCGATCTCAAGCCTTACAACCTTCTGGCGGAGGTGCGTAACCAGACTGAAGTGGATATCACGGGTGTCATTGATTGGGATTCAGCTATCATTGCGCCTGAATTCATGGCCTATAGAGCACCATTCTGGCTTTGGACACCGGAAGATATGGATAGCGACAAAGAGGACGAAGAATGTGTGGCGGATGTTGAGCCTGTTACAGATGAGGACAGAATGTTGAAGCAAGTATTTCTTGACAACGCGTCCGAGAAGTACAAGCTCTATGCCTTCGCACCAGAGGCGATGCTGGCTAGACGTATGTTTTTTATACTAAGAGAGAGCTTGCGCAGTGATTGGGAGTTCGAAGAGGCGAAAAGCGTGATACGGGAGTGGATTGAACTTCATCCCGAGGATGGAGTCCAACCCGTCCCTTCTGATACGGATTCTGAACCTGAATCTGGATCTGACGACGACCAGGACGACAATGAGTAATCTGAGGGAATCGGGTATTGTGGAAGTACATGCCTGCTTCGCACCAGAGTTTATGGCCCTCCGAACTCCATTTTGCGACTGAAAGGAGGGTTATGTCGATGAAATAGACGAAGGCTTAGCTACATACGAGCCGCCTGTGAAGGATTGTAAGACACTCACAGACGCTTTCCGGCCTGAAGCTTACATAAGCTCATCAGGTTTGGTCTACCGTGAGAGGATGGCATTGCAAGGAAGCTGTTAAGTGTCCTATCCGCTGGCATACTAAGCTACGATCGGCGTTGCCTGGTTTTTGAGTTGGTGAAACAGTAGGATGCTCCTTCACAGAAGACAATTTTGGGGCTTATGAAGCAATAGGAACTTGAATGTCTCTAGTAATTCTGCTTGCTGTCTAGTGTATGTTGACTGAGCTTCACGTAATAGTATTGACGATTTGATATCTTTCATCCGACTACATGCGACTTCGTTCGCCGCACAATTACCAAGAAATGAAGGCGGTTTTTCAATCCCGATAATAGAAGATACACACTGTCGCTGATCATTTCAGGGTGATGTAGCATTGGTGTCCTACAGGAGAGATCAAAAACCTATTGTCCATCTCCATCATCTCATCTTTCATACATTCGGAAATTTTGGCGCCACGACATTGTCGGAAGAAGAGAGCTGCTGCTAAGCGAAGCTCTATGTATGCGAGATGGATGCCGATACACACCCTCGAGCCGCCTCCGAACGGCATGTATGACGCTTTTTGATGGGCTGACAGGGTAGGTTTGTTCAGGAATCGCAGACCATCGAATCGAAGTGGGTCGGCGAAGGCTGATGGGTCTCGGTGATTTGTGTAAGCCTGGGTACTGACTACAGCACCGCCGGGAATGTGATATCCACCTATGGTTGTGCCTTGTTTGGGAACAGTTCGAGGTAGCGCTCCAGGCGCAGCACCATAGAGCCTCAACGTCTCTTCAATGACGCTGTTCAAAAGAGGCGCGTTCTCAAGTTCTTCTTTGGTCAGTTCATCGCTTAAGTGTGCGATTTCGTCCTCGAGGCGAGTCTGCAGGTCCGGCTGTTTTAGAACTGCCCAGACGAGATAGGTCAGAGTGACTGCGGTGGTGTCTGATCCCGCAACAATGAGGTTTCCCGCTTCCTCCCGAATATCCTTGTCTGTTAGTGAAACCTTCTCGTTATTTTCGCAAGCAGCCAGCATCTGACCAAAGAGATTCATAGCGTTCCCGTTGCGGTTGCGCATATTCTCGATCGCACGCCGGCCGTATCCATAGACGACATCATCAGTGGTTACCATGGTCTGTATTCGCTTCAAGGGTATGAGCCGAAGGATATTGTATACGATCGGTAGTTCGGATCGCAACACCGATCCAAGCAGCGCGGCCTGGATAGCGTCAATGTAGGGTGTTTGCTGTTCTGTTTGTCAGACTGTCCAGCTATATTATCATGAGGCCGAAGTAGATCACATACCTTTCCCAGTTCAAGCATGTTAAAGCTTTCTCCGAAACAAAGATGTGCAATCACATCGGTCGTCATGAGCGTCCACCACTTAAAGATATCGGCCCCTTGCGATGAACCAGAAGCATCCTGGCGGATCTTTTGGACAGCTAAACCCACTTTTTGTCTAACTTCTACATCCCAGTTGCTGTTCAAGCTGCTATTACTGAAGGCTCGGGCGAACAGCCTCCTTCGGGCGGCGTGGACATGTGGGTCGCGCATAGCGAAAATTCCAGGTGTATCAGTTGGCACAAGGACCGAGTAGAAGTCTGACTTCAAAAACCCGCCGCCAATCTTATGTATCTGAGTCACACCTCCTGTGTCCGAAACGGCGGCCTCGTTTGGTGCAATCCGTACGACACCGCCATATTGCTGGTGAAGCTTGTCCACGTAGAAGATCCGCCTGCCTGAGAGGACCTGGTAACGAAGGATGAGGTTGGTGTATCTTGAGTACCAAGGCCCTGGTAGCTTTGCAAGTGGGGATGTATACCCTGCCCACACGACCTGTACTCCGTCAGCCTTCAGTGAAAAGAGATCAGGTTGGGTTATCATACCTTGGCGATGTAGGCCAGTACAACCAGGACCGCGATTACAATGCCTCGCTGAAGCGACATGGTGTCTTGATTTCACTGAGCTTGCACTTTTGAGTGGCACTGATCTCGTTCAAACAGGATACTCGGCTCCCGGTGAATATGCACAACGGCAGATCATAGTTTCAAATCAAGGGCTGCGCGCTATATACATGCTCGGAATGTGGAGACCGGCCTCTAAAAGGCCCTTCGTTCGTCGATGGCTCCGTCCGGAATCATGGCGACGCATCGTGCCGCAGTACCGCTCTCAAGCAGCCCTGCACGCAGACAGAAGAAGGACCATGTGGGCCAGAAACCCTGTCTCATAAGAAATCAAGAGATCAAAATGTAGTTGCTATTTGGAGCGGAGTGGTCATAGGAGCGGAATGATGAAGAGAGCGGAGTGATGGCATGCCAAGTTCCGCCTCTCCCCACATGAATCCTCGGACGTGCTTTCGCCCGTTCCGAACGGCCCGCGCTCTAACGATCTACACTGTGGTTTCGTTTCGTGGGGATGCGGAAGCCACGGTCTCCGAGGCTCTAACGCTGCTTTCGTTTGCGCAGTATGCTGTTGCTGGCATGGTGCGATCTTTCTTGATGAGGCAGGACATGACGTAAGCGTATTCGTGTAATCAGTACCCAGGTGCTTGTAAGCTAGTGGCCGTTCATACCAAATAACAAATAACAGATGATGACGTAAGCGTCTATGTGCTTGATCCAAGGATTGTTTCATCAATTTCCATTCCTCCTCCCCGCCTCGCGTCCATCAGTTCCCACATTACTAGCAAGATGACGAATCAGACTGGACCCCACACAGTTCTGCAGCAAGGATTTGCGAAATTACCTTTGGAGTTGTTTCTCACTGTCCTCGATCAACTTGTGGGTACCCGCAACGGACAGCAGCAGCCCGTAGCATACGAGCCATCAGGCATCGTCACCAAGACATTACGCGCGCTCACACTAGTATCGCGCAGTACTTACCTCATAGCGACAAAGTATCTTTACTCACACTGTCTATACTTGGATAGCTGCACGACCTACGCTCGTTTCCGTAGAACATTGGGATTGCATATCGGGAATCATCCACAAGCTCTTGATTATGGAGAAGCTGGGCGTAACGACGAATTATTTGCGGAAGCTCAGGTCTTACGAAATATCACATCTCTCTTCGTCTCACCATCGAAGGTGCAAAGGTTGATAGAAGGCAACTATACGCCTTTGGTGCGACTGTCACAGATCATCGACCTCTGCGATTTGATTGGACCTACACTCAGGAGGCTGGCTTTAGACCTGTCTCCGATCTATGCGACACCAACCGAAATCGAGCAGATGAGACCGCATGTCACTGAGAATAATGTCTTCATACACATGCCGCATCTGGAAGAACTGATCATCAGCTACGACGTGCTCAATTACTTCCGACACCCACCACCCAACTTGAAACGGCTGGCTATCACTGCTCAGGAGCTCACGGATGTGGAGGTAGCTTTCTGCCTCAAGATACCGTCACTACGAATGCTGGTCATGATGCGACCCGTCAATCTGGAAGCCAAGGACATCGATATTATATTTGCAGCATACAATGGCAAAAGCTTGGACACTGTTCTAGTTGATGTTAACTCAAATCACCGGACACCTCAGGGGACGCGGAGTTGGAAAGACAACGATACAGTACGCATTTGGGAAGTTGATGTACCAGTGAGCTTCTATGGCGACGAAGACGATATCGTACTGTGCGATGATTGGATATGGACACACGGTGTTCAAGGGACCTTGTGGAGTCAAGACAAGCGACGTATGGCTTCCTGGGAGGAGATTGAGAGACGTTTGGCTGGGCCAGTACATACAATCATGGAAGTATAGCCCTAGAACTACTGCGAACCTAGACCATACTCATCGAGTAACCTTGACATGGCATGAGTGCCGGTTTTACATCCAAGTCCGCATGTTGCTCTTGCCTCACGAAACCTCTCCGTGTAGCGCTCCGTTGACTGACCATCAAGCTTTCTACATCTGCTGCCACTGAGTCCTGTAAGACGCCGCTATCCCATTGTTACAGCCCCCACTAGACCTCTCTTTCAGCCCAACAATGAGTCTTTCCTCGAGAGGTTTTCTGACCGATTCTCCAACTCCCCCACATTCCATGTAACATGTACACAGGTTCCCTTGAGCTTGTCCGCTCTCCCTCCACCCAACCACACCGAAAACATCCCAATGAGCTCCAGATTATCGAATGCGAGTGGCTCGAACATGTCGAACATTCTCTCCGTTCTTATACTTCCAACGTCAAGCGAGAATGCTTTCATCTCTGGGTATTCGGTGTTGAGGAACTCTATGAGGCGGCGATCGGCATCTTTCGCGATCTGATGCGAAGAGAGGCCAGAGCTTACGACGGTATCCGTTCCAGATGTGATAGATATGAACGTCCCAGTAGGTGCTAGACCAAACGTACGGATGTATTGGTGGGCCGGAAGATGTGTGCTGCGGAAGTTCGTCGTCATATCGGCCCACCACTCGTCGTTGTCGTTCGTCTCCCCTATCGTGCTGGAATGTGCGGTACCGACGTTCGCTATAACTATATCCAGCTTCCCAAACTGCTCTCTAATAGTAAGGAATAGTTTGGTGACATCTGCTGATCTTGTGGTGTCGCAGGCTGTGGCAAAACCCTTTCCCGCCGGGTTCAGCCTTCTGAGCTCAGCGATCACCTGCTCTAGATCTTCTGCATTTTGACTGCAGATTGCGATGCCTGCAGCCCCTGCTTTTGCCCATGATAGAGCAATTGTCCTGCCAATATCTCTCGCGGCGCCAGTGACGAGTACGTACTTTCCTGCTCCAGTACGTTGCACTGCTTCGAGAGCAGCACACGGGTGGCGATGGTATAGACTAGTGGTCTCGGCCATCTCCATAGAATAAGCTAGGCTGATATCTCAGGTGGCCGTGTGGAAATGTAGATGTTGGCTGGCAGATGTTGTGGAGCATGTCTCAAATATCACTGTCACACATTTCGCCCCGGAACTCCCAATGCTGCTATGACACCGTCAGCGCTCGCCCGACGCGATGCCGCTTTCAAGGCATTCTACTCTTTCTCTGGTAACGAGTTCGGGATGGTCCGGTCATTAGCCCGTCGCTATCATCCTTCGTGCAACCAAACCCACGGCCAAACATACTCAAAAGACGATGTCAATGATCCCTATATGCGTCTCCATTCTGAATCACACTCTTGGGCTATCTCGCATGCATGTGTTTCTTGATGGTAGTGTAATTCTATACGACCAGACCAGTCAAACCTTGCCTTCATCCTACTCGAACCTGGATCGGCAGGCCTCGTGCACCCTGACAAGTGGCAGGTCGGTACCAGATACTAACTCTTAAGCGTCTAGTGAAGCGAATGTCTAAGTATAGAGTCCTTCTAAGGTCTATATGTACAAGATGCGCTCGCTACTACCCGCGAGCTATTAATAGGCCACCAACATGCAGATTGGAAGGTCCACAGCATGACCGAAGGGCCGGTAACATACCGATTGGACATGAATTCAACGCATGAATGTCTGCTTTTCGCTCGAAGTCGAGTTGAGCCAATGCGAAGCTTTCGAGCATGTTGATGATCTTACATACACGCAGTTGGGGGCGACAAGGGCGGCCAGTATTTGCCGACGACGAACGGCTAGATTCTGCCGGCTACTTACGTATGATAGCCAGATAGAAGAGCAACGTGAATATTGTCATATCATGTATAATCATAGGTCACAAACTCAGATCAATGATATCATTAAAGACCCTCTCAGAAAATGACGCGATCGCAACAATCTTCCGCTCATGGCCTGGACCTCCAGCGCTAAGCAACGGCTACCTCCTGCACCCCGACAACGGTCTTGCTTTTCTTTCTCGCCTCTTCATCTCTCTTCCACTTCTCCGCCCGTCCATAAGAATCCTTGTACCCACCCAGAATTGCCTGTTCAACTGTAATCGGAGGCCACTTTGGTTGTTCCCCGTCCGCCTTACAATTTGGCAGACAATTAACCACATAATCCGGGTTTCCAGAGAAGAAGACAGGAATGCTGTACCTCTCCTCGCCACTCACGTTAATGACGCGATGGAGATTAGATATGTAACGATCGTTGCTCCATCGCATCATCAAGTTACCTAGGTTCACGACGAAAGCGCCAGGAGTGGGGGTTACATCGAGCCACTCTTTTGTTGTGTAGTCGTAGACTTGAAGACCAGAAACAGTATCTTGGAGTAAGATTGTTATGCAGCCGAAATCTGTGTGTGCGCCGATTCCACGAGTGAGTTTTGCTGGGCTGTCGGGTGGCTGCGAGGGGTAGTGGAGGAGCCGCATTGTTGCTACTGCGCCGCTGGCGTATTCGTCGAAGTAGTCTTCAGATAGATCGAGGGTCAGAGCGAGTACTTTTAGGATATCTTTTGCGAGCTGTACGACTTGGGCGTAGTACTCTAGTGATGTGTTCTTGAAGTCTTGCACGTCTGGTAGAGATGACTCCGAGGGCCACATGTTTGGGCCAGAGTTGAGTCTTTTGTTGAGAAAGTAGGGATGTGTTTTGGGAATTTCATCGCCGATGTAGTATCCTTCTTTGAGCTCTGGCGATGTTCCTTCTTCCAACATCTGGGATTTGAGCAGCTCGTAACCGCGGTTCCATGTGTTTGACGTGTCTAGACAAAGGTATCAACAAGACTTCATGTGCAAAGGTCGCTCTAATTACCCTTGTTTACTTTGTTCTTCTCTTCTAATGGCAGATTGAAGAACTTCTTATTCCAGTCCATCATCTTCTGCTGCAACTCGATGGGTACGTTATGTCCGGTAATCTGGAAGAAGCCATTGTGCAGACAGCAGTTTCGCACTTCTTCTACAAGCTGTTTCTTGGAAGTCGCATCACTCTGGTAGAATTCTGGTAGTTGTTAGCAGTGACTATAACAGAACAAGTTCAGCATAGTTCGGGCCTACGAACTGGAGAAGTCCAGAATGGGAGGAGCATCGCCGGCGCTAGGCATGTTGAGTCTTTTAGTAGGCCTATGAGGTAAGGAAACAGTAGAGGTGGTGTTGATAGATGCTGGATATTTTTGAGGTATGAATGTAGGAATGAAAGATGTTTGCGGTGGTTTGCAACGAAGCATCACATTACATCGAATGGTATTATATCCTAGTTTCTCGCCAGATACGCTTTCCATATCCCCATCTCTCACCTACCCCTCACATGCGCGGCGCTATCGATAGCGGCGTTGCGCTGGAAAGATGGCGCGAGTGGGGTTTCGAAGTCCTCCCAACGTTCACCCCCACCCTTGCTTTCAAGTCACGACTGGCCAACTGCAAGATACGTCAAGTAGATGGTGCATCCTACATACCTGGAGGCAGACCCAAAGAGTAACAATTCTCCATTATCCGCAGGTCACCGCGGAGCTCAAGGCTTACCTAGGTAAATTCCAATCATGATCGGAGCAAGCTGAAGTACTCTACAGGGTTCTCGTCTTGCCGTCAACCCACTCTAGCATAATGATCTTGCAAGTTGACCAACTCTGGTGCCCAGCTGGTCTGAGTTGGAAGGTCATCTATGACCACACTGTCCATACTTGATCTGTATCGTTCACCATGGTCATCCGGGAGTGTTGTCGCGAGCCTCTGGTCGTAGTGGAGCTTTTGCTAACCATCCATCATGTACTCAGTATCAGTCCTGTCACCGATGCGACACATGCCATCCCATGACACCGTGTACAGGCTCCTTACGATCATATACTCGGGTGAACAAGCATGTCATTTTGGTGCATCACCGGCCATTGTTTTCCACGATCTCTTTGTGTTTTGAAGCTCTATGTCTGCCGGCTCGTGGGCAGCAGTCATCACATCGTATTCTTTCCGATCTTCTAAAGCGCATGAAGGTCGGGATGACAAAACCCCGTGAAGGATAGATGTGTCGCAAATCCATAACGGTCTGTGCAAGTCCATACAGGATAGAGTTAATCGGTAGTTTCGACGTGCCGTGGAGACAGACAAAAAGGGATCGCTGAGACTGAGGGAGAATTGCTACCTTGTTTACGGGCGATGGGAGCAAAAGAGACAGGGCTGAAGGTCGACACACGACGGAAGGCATTCCGTCATTGCCCAGTCGCTGATTGGCCAGGGAAAACTCGACCATGGGCGGCTGGCCCCACCTTCCCATTAGTAGTGCTTGGTCATGCTCGACATAAGCAGCCCTTCCCTGCCAAGCCTCACCTAAACACCCACCGGATTGTTAAACCTTTACCAACCAGGCAAGCCCACGATGGCACCCACGCCCAACTGCCCTGGACCGATCTTCGAACATTCTCGTCACCCTAGTCGCGTTTTGCATAAAGCGCCCCCTCCCGACCCATGAAGACGCTTTCCTCCATCTTCATCGCCCTCATCGCAATTGCACTTGCCGTCTACAACAACGAGTACATGCTTTCGAGACTCACACAGTCACTCAAACACGTCACATCCCTTGCAAAGACCACCAAGCCCTTGTACAACACCACCCAAGACATGACGACCATGTTCCGCGGACTGCCCGTTATCCCCGACGAGGCCTTTACGACCGATGCGCCCCGCAAGATCGCGAAGTCGTTCCTTGCGATTGAGCAGTCCGAAGGCGCGGGAGCCAAAGTGAGGAGGAGTGTCGGCACTCCAAAGCTCCGCAACTTCTCCCCATTCCTCATGCTCGACCACTTTGCCATTCCACCAGGCGCAGGTTTCCCAGATCACCCACACAGAGGTATGCAACTTCCCCTTCTCTCATGCCTAGTACACCTGTGAGCACTATACTGACTTCTTGATTCGTACAGGCCAGGAAACCATCACATATCTTCTCTCGGGCGCTGTCGACCACGAAGACTTTGCAGGCAACAAGGGAACCATCGAGCAGGGCGATCTACAGTTCATGACAGCCGGCCGCGGCATTGTCCACGCTGAGATGCCACGCCAGAACGAAGACGGTGCGCCCAACGTTGGAATGCAGCTCTGGGTCGATCTGCCCAAGGAACTGAAGTCGTGCGAACCGCGTTACCGAGACCTACGAGCCAAGGAGATCCCTGAGACGACTGCCGACGATGGCAAGGTGCACGTCAAGGTCATCAGCGGACAAGCCTACGGCACCGAGAGTCTGAAGGAGTTGGCATACACCCCCGTTTGGCTGCTCGACTTCACAGTCCAGCCCGGTGGCAAAGTCAAGCAGCCCCTACCAAAGGGCTGGAACGCTTTCGCCTATCTCCTCAACGGCACCACCATCTTCTCGTCCGACGGCGTATCGCGACCTGTCGAACAATACCACAACGTCGTTTTCGACAGCAACGGCGACAGTATCGAAGCCTCAGTCGAAGAGGGCGCCGAGAAGGAGTCGAGATTCATTCTCGTTGCTGGTCTTCCCCTCGATCAGCCCATTGTACAATACGGACCATTTGTCGTAACATCAAGAGACGAGGTCATGCAGGCTATGATGGACTACCAGAGCTATTCAAATGGGTTTGAAAGAGCAAACAACTGGGAAAGTGAGATTGGAAAGAGTATGGTTCACTAAGATGCCTACTCCCGCCTACCTTTTCTTTCCTGGTCACTTCTTATGTATATACTAAATTACGATTCCATTTTTCTTTGCCTTACAACCCCTGGTCTCATCCCATTTCTCTAAAATTTATCAATCGGTAACATACGTTCACCAATATATGGCCACGCACCTGACACTGTTCTGCGCAACTCACATACTCACGCACCCAGCCGAGCTATCTTCTACGAAAATGCCTCCATAAATCTGTCCTTCACCGCGCAGTGGTATGTGCTCTTGGTACCCGTCGAATACCACCGTCTCTGTCTCTGTAGGTTTCTTTGCAATACCGATCTGCAGCTGACCTCCTCCAGCATTGTCATTTGGTAAAGCCTTGGTGACCGCTTTCAACGGCTTGTCGCCTGTGGAGTAATAAACCTTGATCGTACTATACATCTCGTCAGCTTTCCCAACAATCAATCGAGCCTCATGGTATGAGCAAATGCAAGATACTTACTTCCGCACATAGTCCAACTGCACTCCAAAGTTTTGCCACTCCTTTCTCGAAATCTTCGTCGTAAAGATAAATTCATTCTTCGCATTCTGGATCTTCCAAGTCTCCCTTTCCCGCTTCGTATCCACACCCGTCCCACCATCACCAACAAGCACAACACCACCAACGAACATGAACTGGTTGCCCGAGTAATCAGCCTTCTCATGCCACACATTCATATACTCGTGACTCAGATTCAGCGGCCTCCGTTCGTCTTGTTTAATGCTCCAATGAAACGTCACAATACCCTTGTCTGAAGCATCAGCACCAGCGTCATTCTGATCGTCTTTCAGCAGAAGACCTGCACGGCGGAAGCCAGTCTGCAGGTTCTCGCCCGCACGAAACAACGAGCCGTCATCGATGGTCACTTCGAGAGGCTTGTGTTGACGCGGATTGTCGAAGCGGGATTGCGGGGCGGTTTTGGGCGAAGGGAAGAGAAGGATGGAGGACCAGGTACGGTTCTCACCTTTGACGAAGTCGGGATTGTAAGGGGTGTATCCTTGGGCTGTGTCAAAAGATTGGAGAGTCAGGTTGGAAGCGATGCGACCGTCGAAGATTATGGGGCATTTGATGTTGGATTTGGGTTGGTGTGAGTGTGGCAGTAGCGGAGTTGCTGCTGTTAGAGCCAAGAAGGGAAGGAAAACAGAGAGATGCATGGTTAAGAAAAGCTTGACCCTATAGAATCGCCAAAACTCACACAACCACAAGTCTAGGCAACGGAACACATTTATATGGTTCTACTGTTTAGGACGCTAGCCAGCCCTACGCATATTGGCTAATTAGGTAGAGCGGCAGAGCACTATGGGCCAAGATCTAGTGCAGCCACATTCCCGGAACACCATTGGCTCTAGTCCGACGGACCTGGAAGCCGGTTACCTCCAGTGATGTCTCAATGCGCTAGTTCGAGACTTCTTTTGCAATTCGTACACCGGTGCCTCGAAGCGAGTAGAGAGAGACGACAACTTCCTTCGTCTATCGTCATAGAACGTCTTTCCATCCCTTCCAGATCTTTGCGAACTGGTCTTTGCATGCTCTTCCGAACAACAGGTAATTGTGTCTTCGGGCGCCGCATCACAACGACACGGATCAAGATTACATGACCTACCGAAACCGCAGTATGGACAGTGTGATTTTGGCGATTGAATGAACCAGCTAGAATCGGTAGAGGCCGGTCGATTTTCTCTTCACTTGGCCCAGCACGGGTTGTTCATTGTCCCAGAACTTGAGAGAGCGAATCGGCTTCCATGTCCACTGCGCTTCGTCATTCAGAGCGCTGTCCAAGATCCAGGTGATGGCAGCAGTAAAGGCGACGACTCCTATGGCGCTGACCCAGTAGACCCAGAAGTCGCTTCGGTTCTGAGGATAGACATAATATATTAGCGTATGTTTCACGGGCCTTTGATGCATGCATAACTCACTGGTGCATAGTTGTCTTGCATACTGAACAAACTGCTTGTATATGCCAGTGGAATGAAGAGTAGGGCAAGGAGGTTGAGTCGTTTGACTCGTTTGGCCTCTTCCAGGTTTTGACGATTGCCAGCAATTGATGCCAGTCCGGTCATGGCTTGCATGAGGTTATCAGCACGCTCTTTTAGAATCTTGAGCCGAAAGTAGACATATTGAAAGTCTTTCTCGCAATCGTTCCATGTTGATGCTTGCAATCTGGCAGAGCTATTCACCTGACCATCTAAAGGATAGCCAAGACTGAGCATTGCGTCCTCAATGTCGTCGCGGTAATTGCCGCACCGGCGTGAGATGGTCTGCAGACTCTTCCATTGGCCTTGCTCTTCGACCCATGCCGTAGTAAGCCGAAGTTCCAACGAGGGTAGCATCGCTTTGATATAGTCAACAAGCTGAAGATAATGCGCAGCAACGATCTTCTTCAGATAGATTGCTGATGTCTCGGGCGTAGCCCACTCCTCTTGTGAGAACAAGTCAGAGTGCTGCTCGTAATAGTGAAGCATGTCGCGTAGCATCGACTTATGCGGATGCTGTGACTTATCCTTAATCTTGTCATGAGGTACAGGTGGAATAAAGTCAACATAGCCGTCCTGGAAAGGTGCGTTTTTAAGTTCTTCGCGGACATCGATGATCGGACGCAGTGTACCGTCGCCGAGAACTTCTTTGGGTGTACCAGAGAGATGAAGTAGCTGAGGGTCACACAGGATTACAACTAAGCAGATCAGCCAAGAGACATTATAACCACAGCTTGGTTCGATCGTCCTCAGAACTAAGAGTGGGTATGTAAAGCGGGAGATGCACCCAGAGAGCCTTCTTACGATGGACAGTATGAAATCACGTACCATCCCAGCCCCCGTTCTTAGTCTCGCGAGACCACCACCCCACTTTGCGTCGCAATATACCTACCGTGCTCTCCTCTTTCTGGCGCGACGCTGTCATGCCAACATGCCGTCTCGTTCGCTCACAGAAGAAATAACGGTTTTCAAGTGCCTTGTTGAATTGTCTCAACTCGCAGTATTGGAGATGGAAAGCCTGCTTTGGGTCTAGTAAACTAGGATGAGGCAATGCATCGCTCACTGGTGTAAAATCGTTGCTCCAGACGCACGTCCTCTCCTGCCGCTGAAAAAACGTAGGATCCATGAAAAAGTGGCCGCCGACGGCTGCAATGTAATCGGGAGCCAGTCCTTCCATGATGTAGATCCGTCGGCGGTTGTGATCATGTGATGTGGTCTGAAAATGCCTGCAAAGGTCTTTCTGGCTCTTGAATTCCGTCGTTTGAAAACCAGGTACTCCAGTATTGGGTGCATCCAGGAGTGCAACAAGCGCTTTGCCTTTCATCAGTGGCCCATCCTCATTGTTTGGGTCAGCTTTCTTCAGGCCAGGATTGGAGCCGCTCAGCGCTTCGATATACTCGCGATATGGGCCTATCCAAGATTAATGACACCACGAAAAGTCAGCCAGACGAAAGATATTCTACCGTCGGTGCATAGCCACGATCCAATCAACGGCCCTTCGTCTTTCGAAATGGCTGGGCTCGGAGTGATAGTCCTTGAGGTCGCAGCAACGGAGGTTTTGTTGGTAGTGGAAGCCTCGGCAAGGGTCGCCATCTGGACTGTATCGACGCTTTCGCTGGCCATGGCAATGGCTGTGCGTAACAATTTGATATTAAAGCACAGAAAAACTATCAATTCATCTTCATTTGACAAGCTGGCAAACGATGCAGTAGCCCCAGAGTCTCAGGGTGTGTGGTCGTGACTGAGACGGGACGGAGGAAGCGATCATTCGACATTTTCAAAGGGCCGCGGCTCTGCGTCGAGGCGGAGCTTTGTCTGTGTCAACTGGGGGCCAGAATCGCGCCACGTCATCCGTGCATTCGAAGAATTCCGCTTGTGGAGGCGTGCTCAGATGCTGTGTCTGATCGTAGGCACGTTGAGGCTGTGAAATGCAGCCGGTGAGTTTTGGAAGGCGGGGAAAGCAAGCCTGAGGCATTCTAGTTCGCGCGATGCTCGCAGCTAATTAGTCTTGGCCATCCACGGTTCACAATCTTATTATGCTAGTGGCAGTGCGACGCACGACGTGAGGAGACTTCGTAAGGCACCAGCAATGGATATAGTAGTCATTTAATGTCAGTGTGCTCAATTTTAGACTCGTCGACATACCTCCAGATAGCCCTCACGATCGTGTTTTTGTACTGGGCCGGTCTCCTTGTATCGCACTTAGTAAGTAACTGGAGTTCAATCCAACACAGTGCGTTGGAGAACCATCACGATATGGTAGGTGAAAGGTGTAGAGTAGATTGGTGTGTGATTTCGTAGGTCCCTATCCTTGACCGTCCGCATCCGAGAGTAATCCCTCTCACCTCTGTAAATGCTTAATACGCCTGGAATGCCCAAATAGATACGCGCCTAACCCAGATATCATGACATAAATCATACGCTCAGCGCAGCAGGGGCCGTCATCTCTTGTGGAGGAAGGGCCATAGCCGCTTCTGGCTCTACCTCAGGTACCTTGATGCGCTTAGCTTCGGGCTCTTCTTCGTCCCGCTCCTTGCGTTTTTCTGTCTTCTGAGTATCTCCGTCGGTCTTCTGGGCTTCCTTGACTCTCGCCCGCTTGGAAGCGCGCGATTCGTTCATGGGTATACCCAGATGCTCGTCAACAGTGTTTGCCTGTTGCAACAAGTCATCCACGTTCTCCAAGCCCAGCGCCTTGATGACGTCTGTGTAGCACTTTGACTTGTTCATAGCTGCATATGCCTTTTCCTTCCCAGGTATCATCTGACTGAGCAGATACTTTGTGTTGCCCCAGCGGTTCTCCACTTGTAGTGCAAAACGCATGTATTCGGTGACAACGGTCTTCCACTGCGACCGCCACTCGTGAGGGCCGCCCTCTGCGTCGGGTCGGAAGCAGCTGGGGTTCTTTTCGGCTTCGGTTGCAATCATTGCGCCGTCGACGTTGAACTCTTCTGCGAGCTTGAAGGCTTCGGTGCGCGATGTGACGTCGCCGTTCATGAGGCATGCGACGCCTGCTTCGTGACATATTTCTCCGATCATCTTGAGCTGGTGTCTGATGGCGCGCTCCCTCGGTCGCATGGGTGTCGTTCGGCAGTGTACTGTGAGACCCGTGATTCCGGTGCGCACAAGTCTCTTTACCAGTGCCGCCGTTTCTTCAGGCGTGTCTAGAATTCGAATCTTGACGCTAATGCCGATCTCGAATGGCTTTCCTACTTCTTCAACCAAACTTGTTAAAATGTTGCAAAGCAGATCTGGCGTCCTCAGCAGCGCAGCGCCCATACCACCAGACGTGGAGAAGGGCTTGGGGCAGCCGGAGTTAACGTCAATGCCCGCGACATCCGCTGCCACCATCTTGGCTGCCTGCACTGCCAGCTCTGGGCTCGCCGTTCCAATCTGGTATATGAGCTTTCCCTTCTCCAGCTCTGGATGTATGCGGTATATGACGCTCTCGCGGTTCTCGGGATCGAGCGTGGGGTTTTTGATCTTTGAAGTGGGCAGGCGCGAGAACTCCAGCGTCTGCGTATGTGGATTGAGTCTCTTGGTAGTGCCAATCATGGCGCGGTCGATTGTCTCGGGTCCCCAGACCAGGTCGGCGCCGTACTTGAGCGCGAGGAGGCGTGAGGGCAGCTCACCGGAGCGCACCATGGGCGCAAGCACCACTTTGCCACGGTAGTCGACGCCATTCTTGGGGATGGGGACGCGGGCGGGCTCGTTGGAGGCCATGATTCGTGTTATCGATCGTGAGAGGGTTCGAAGCATAACATGCCTTGACAAGACGAGGGCGGAAGTTTGATCACAGTGGGTGGGGAACGGAATGGCAGCGGCCTTTGAAAGTTTAGCGCACGTGCCATGGCTCGTGGGGCTAGCGCGGGGGCGTCTCTGCGGGTACCATTTGATAAATCCATCTCTTATATCCTCCTACTTTTGTTCGGAAATTGGCAGAAACTTCAAGCTTTAATACCACGTATCAGTTCACCGTATGACATGCTTTTGTGGACTATGTAATGCACCTCAACAACTTCCTGCGCTTCTTTCTCTCACCCCCATTTTCATCGAAACTCTGCCACCTTGGCAGTTTTCCCTTCAGAACCCTTGATGCCATTACACAAATATCAAATCTTCTTCGTCTACATCTATATCATCCGATTCTCCGTTCATCAGCCCGTGTACGTATGCGCCTCCTACGAACTTGAAAGCCGTTATATTTGTATCGTCTTCGGTAGGTACGTGTCTTTGAACGTGGAGTACGGGTGATCCGTTCAGTGCAGAGAGCAAATCACCTGACCGCACTCCCGTCATTGTGAATCCAAGTCTTCCTTCTCTAGTTACGAATAGTTGCTTGTATTGAAGGATTCCCATGAGAGATGAAAACTTGCAGGCGTTCTTGTATCGCTTGTTTTCGCTATAGGCTTCTTGCCCGTGCGGTTCCGCCGTGTCCGTCTCTGGATGCGGTAGACTCGTGTACGATCTAAGCAGCGTAAGTTCTATGTATCCATAATTGCGATCTGGATCATATGGGATCTTATTACCTCTCAATTTCGTGAGCAGTGTCAGTTTCCCTCAAGCTTCGGCCTATGGCTTGGAAGTCATCATACCAATCCCGCATGACCACTTCATCTTGCACAGATGCTTTGTTGCCGATCAACGTACGCCAGTACGTATCGAGAGTAATGTCACGATGCACGCCTACACAACCTTCTTGTCTCGTCTCGAAAGTTGTACTATGCATTACGTCGTGAGCAAGTTTCTCTTCCCATTCCGCCACAGCCATCAGTATCTCGTTCTGCCTAGCTGGAGATCCATCCAAATACCATCCAACGTCCATGGGTATCGATTCAAATACCATAACAACCTCATCCAAAATCCTACCTCGGAGCTTCAGCTGCCCAATCTTCAAGTCGCCTCGCGGTTCATTTTTTTGTCCGATCGCAGCCTGATAAGAAGGAACTCTGTATTCCAAGCTGCCTACCGAATAAATCGTGTCACTGACACTGTGAAAATCCGGCACCCAGGATGGAAGACCATTGCATTTACCGGGTCCGAAGGCCATACTAAGCCATGCCCACCATTTGACGCTGTTTGGGTCTGGGTACTCCGTGAGTATGCAAGCGCTGAACCGCGTGAACAGATCTTGATAGGAAGTATAAGCCATCTCGGGATCAAGAGTTCTGCCCCGCAGGTCGTCCTGATTCACCATGCCTAATAGCCCAAGAACGCGATCCTCAGGTCGAAGACATTCTTGTGTCGCGGTGGTAAGAACTGCAACATTCGTCAGAAGGGTTGAAGGGCTAACACCAAGAATTTCCCCATCATTCCAGTAGCATTGCGCCAACTGGCGAGTGTGAAATATCACATCGTTATCTGTGCGAGCCATAGCCCTCTCCATGTCTAACCATTGCAATTCGACATCTCCACTGAGAAAGCTGATCTCTCTAGCCAGCGCCGCTTCTTGCACTACCCAAAGTCTTCGAAACCAACCATTTAGTTCGAGATGGCAGATTGCTGATCTCAGAGGAAGATCGAAGCGGCTAAGATCGATTACTTGAGTTCCCTCAAGAGACTCAAGTGTATCCATGGCCTCCGAGACGCGCTCTGGATACTCGGGAATGCCAAGCCATACCCATACCTTTGCTGCGTACAGATAAATGCGGTTCATCTCCCGGATTTGACTCATCTTTTCTTCGTGGTGCGCTTGGTTGATGCAAATAGCATCGATCCAGATTGGCAGTACGGGGCGAGTGTTTCCTCGGCTAGCCAGGTAAGGAAGTGCAGAATGTAGATTGCCGTGCACATACGAAACACACCCGTTTAAAGTAATGGGAAACAATTCGGCTTGTGATCCCCAAGTATAGGATAGTGCATCATATACAAGGTCTGGTGGATCAAGGCTGACGGTTTGTAGGCTCCAGCTTTGGCCGTTTTCGGACGACGAAGATGTGGGCGTAAGTAGGCGGATATAGCCAGCAGGTAATTGGTCGTAAACGAAACATGGTAGCTCGGTCATAGCGAACACAGAACGGACAGATTATTGTACTGTTTACTGTATTTGTGAGGTGCGGGGACAGTGGTCTGATTGTAGAAAGAGTGGCACAGTCAATAGTATGCTAGTCTTGATCAAGATTAGGCTATGTACCGTCGGTGTACACTTAGCGAATCCTACTTGACTTCGATTTGGTCATCAGCCAGATAGAAGAAAAGTACACAGTACACATGTTCTTGATTCACTCGGACTCTGCGACTGACTCTCATAGAGGATCGCATACCAGAAAGGAGGGCGCGCTCAACCCTATCGACTTTCTGCTGGTGAGCATGGAAAGTCAGAGACAACTGAACGGCCTTGGCTGATCGCACATTCACTTCGAGTAGAACTGCATGTCATAGAAGGAAAACTTGTTTCATTTGATGTTTTTCTCGTCTCTACAGTTTTGCCTTGACTGCTTCTGGGTCCGCCACCTGCACCATGATTTTGCCTGTAGTCGTTAGTGATTTCACTCCCCAATTGTGCCCAGACATGCTTACCAGTGTTCTTTCCCTCGAACAATCCAACTAGTGCATCCTCCGCTTTGGTGATACCCCCCTTGATCACTGTCTCCTTGCGCTTGAGCTTGCCTTCTGAGAGCCATTGAGCAAGTTGTTTCCTTGCTTCGGCGTACTTGTCTGCGAAGTCGAAAACGATAAATCCTTGCATACGAATGCGCATGGAGATGATCATCATGTAGTTCTGCATGGGGAGTCAGTAAGATATTCGGCATGTCAAGCATTGACAGGTAAAGTACCTTTGGGCCCTGAGGCTTCTTCTTGTTGTACTCTGAAATGGCACCGCACATGACGAACCGCGCGAAAGGCTTGGCTCGTGAGAGAGCGAGGTCGAGAATCTCTCCACCTACGTTGTCGAAGTAGACGTCGATCAGGTCTTTGGTGGCATCTCTGAACTTCTTCGCAAATTGGGGGTCCTTGTAGTTTAGTGCCTCGTCGAAGCCAAGCTCCTCCTTCAGCCACGACACCTTGCTGTCCTCGCCAGCAAGACCCAAAACCTTTGCGCCCTTCAACTTTGCGATTTGACCAACGACAGTTCCAGTAGCGCCAGCTGCGCCGCTGACAACCACAAAGTCACCCTTTTTGATCTGACCAATCTCAAGGATACCGAAGTAGGCAGTGAGACCAGTCATACCCAACACGCCCAGCGCATCAGTTGGAACAGCACCTTCTGGCAGATCCAGTGATTCGACATGTTTTTCGTTAAGTACGGAGTACTCAGACCACCCGCACATACCAGTCGCATAAGTGCCAACCGGGAACTTCTTGCTCTTGCTTGCGACGATAAGGCCAATTCCGCTACCGCGCATCACTGCGCCAATCTCGACGGGAGGGATATAAGAACGCGTAGGGTTCAGCCAGCCGCGCATCGCTGGGTCAAGTGATAGGTAAAGTGTCTGGAAGAGGACCTCGCCATCTTTGAGGGACGACGCCGATGGAATTTCTTGCTGTTTTGGTGTGAAGGTCTTGCCAGCGACAACAGCGTCCTGTGGCCGTTCAGCAAGATGGATTGATGTGTAAGTGGGCATGATGGTAATTCCTTTGGTTTTGAAAATGAGATGGGAATAGATTTATAAAGAGAATCCAGTAGGTTTTGGTAGTAGTGGCCTTGAATGAGGCACTGAGAGTGGTCGTTCTTTTGATGGAAGATGGACAGCTGAAGAGATTGGGAGTGAAGCCATGGCTCGCTCGTGTTATTGTAGTTCGTGTCCGCACAGATCCCCCATAGGTGTTCTGCGGAGAAGATACCGAGGTTCGGACGGTCGTTTCCCGATTAGGATGTTCACGTGACACAAGGGCTGAACATGGCGCTGTCAATGGCACAGGAAGGCAAATGGTTACTGATCATTCGTATGCGCTTGTCGCTTTGAATTTCAAGGTCGCTATCTCAGACTTTGTATCGTCTTCCACCATATTTGGTGTTCCAGGTTGGGATATCGCTACAGTGCTAGCGTCCTAACTCGTAGCGTATGCAGTGCTCTTGATGTCACAGAGATGGTAGTTCATGTGGGATAACCGTTTGTCTGAAAATACTGCTGTTATAGATCTTGCCATATTTCATGCTTGCAAGTTTGGGAGCAACACCACCAACAGAGAGGGGTTGCTCACTAATCGTGTCATTGCCTGCAAACCTTCATACGTGCTATTTGCACACATGATTTGATGCAACAGATATCCGCGTCATCTTGAGATGATGCAACGAGGCGGCGTTGAAAGATCACCTTCGAAAATAGCTCATTGCAACCTACCATGAGTGATCAAGACCAAAACTGGTAAGTCGGCGCACAGACTTGACTTGACGTGACGAACCTCCGGAGAACCCTTTGTTTGAAAGATTTAGAAGAGTTACGAATCAGAACATAGTTTCATGATTCGACAATGCAGAATGCTGCCCATGCAAGACTGGGACGCAGCTGTGAAAATGGTTCATAGAGAAGCGAGTCGTACTGCCAAGCCACTAAGGTCGCATGACTAAGCGGATCTCGAGCTCAGCATCATCGCGAACCCTAGCGACATCAACGACCGCCAGCAACCTCACAATGCAGTCACTACGTAGAACAGCAGTGGCTGCTGCCAGGACGAGCCGAACCTCGCTCCCGTGCCAATCGCGCCGCTTCGCCCACGATGAACACGCCCACGGGCACCCGAGCCCAGCCGTCGACGAGCCCATGGGTGTATGTCAACCGCCCTCTACCCCTCCCGAATGGTCCCAGGCCTTCCCCACGATATCGCAATACTTTGGAAAGCATATGGCTAACCTAATTGGCATGTAGTACGGCTTCTATATGACAATTGGTGTCATCCCCGCAGGAATGGCTGTCTATTTTATGTCGCGAACGGACGGCGAAAACAACGAGCCGTACTTCACCCGCATGATCGCCAATGCTACGGCCGGCCTACACGAGAAGTGGACTTCGCAGAACGACCACCACGTGCGTATGATCGAGCAGGCGGGTGAGGACAGGGTGCTGTTCTTGAACACACGGCCGCAGGAATATGTCGATATGAAGTTCCCTGAGTACGTAATTTTCAGAATGTGGCATACTAGGCTATAAGAGAAAAAGACTCAAGCCGAGACCAAGGCGAAGCGATGCACACGGAGGAGGCATTAATACGAACATCCGAGGCTAACAAGCACAGGATCATGAACGTTGGATCGCCCTACAACGTCCCCGCCGGAAGCCAAGTTCAAATGGACAAGGTTATTGAGAAGTACAAGAAGCTTGCAAACGAGGACAACGAGCGTAAGCTGGAGAAGTTGAGGAACAACCAGATCTCTTCTGAGCAGCCATTCGAGGGCAAGACCCGTGTCAAGAAGGCGCCCGACATGTTCTAGATAGAACGAGATCTGGCTTTTTAGATGTAGATACACAAGGAATGATATCCGTTTCATTTGTAGCTGTCGCCGCTTTGTTGTGGTACCTACGTGATGATGTTCAGATTTGCTATTGACGTGTGACTCCAGGGGTGCTTCTCCAGGCTGTTCTGCTAAAGCAATGCACTTAACGTAGGTTGCTAGACAACATGTAATCCTTCTGCGTGTGTGTATACAGACAAACCATGAAGGACTGGCAGAAGTCCGGTTCATGATAGAAGTCCAAAGACTTTGCTTTCGTATATACACCCAAATCACCCCTGCTATAGCCTCCTGGGAACTCAATACAGCAGTACGTTAACTGGATGACTGAGATTGCAATTGCCAAGTCCGTGTTGTTCATCCAGTACCTGCTTTTTATGCCAGCTGCACTCTTTGAGATTCCAGAAGATTGCTCGTCTAGTCTTTGTTCTAGTCCGGTACACTTACTTTCACTGTGACGCCGTTAGTCCCGATATGGCCTTGGAGCTACATGGGCTACCATGGCAAAGGGCCTCCGTAGTACAGCCGCGGCGTATACTGCATATAGCGTTCGTGTTATTGATATCATGGAACTGAGAAGCTGCAGAGAACAAATACGTAGCCACGACTCACGATGCAGCAATGTTCTGGAAGCGGTGAGTTCAGCCACGTCGGGGATATCGTGTGGGGTATATTACCCCCGATATCACCATGGCGGCATAGAGAGACATCTTGAGTACGGTCGGTGTTAAGATCGTGAGTGAGTGATTAGCAGTGGCAAGAGGCGTTCACGACTAGATCAAAGATCAAAGTGTCGAGTCATGGGGCATCGAGGGGTCTCCTAGGATACTCACAAACTCAGCAGAGGTTCCCGCATAAACGCGTAAAGCTGAACGAGCCTAGGCGTGTTGCGGTGTTTCGTGGTAGTGGAAACGCACACGTCACGTCCCATAAGGCTGTTGCCAGGGTTTCAGCCCCACTTGACAGCGGGTACCTGAGCGGGGATCATCGTTGATTGGCGAACGGCTACACCAGCATAACCAGTTCACGATGAATCTTCCTGGGGTGAAGTGAAGGAGATGTTTGCAGGCACTCCAAATGGTTAGGCTAGTTTTCACTCTGAAATGGACTTCTTTTGAGCGGGCTGCTCCCATTGCTGGTCGAACAATCACCGCCAGCCATCTCTCGCCCGTTAACTTGGTCGCTTGTCTGACACACTAACCAGCAAAGAACAAGAAAACAGCTGCTAGGCCCATGAAGATCCTTTACTTGCAAGAAGAGCCGATCTGTAAGGTATGAGTCCCTCCAGCTACGTTGTTAGTCATACGCTCCCGTCGACCAGCTTGCTGTTCTGTCGTTGCTTTTGGTGGGCGTTTGCTATACACTGCAGCATTGGTCCTCGACTGTCGACTTGCAGAAAACAAAGCCTGACTCATTTACAGATGTCGTCTCCCATCGAAGTGCGCACTCGAAGCATGCCGCTGCTTCCCTTTCGCAGAAGGAAGGTAGTCCCGGTTACTGCGGTTCTAGGTAAGGTTTAGCGCCCGGGTGGACCCCTGGTGCTCCCAAACACGGCGCATCACCCATCATCCTGATTGACGGCGCTGCATAAACATCTTTCCCACCTGCGCCGCACATTGCCATTGTTTGCACTCCCGCATGCATCTTTCTGAAACGTTGTTGCTCAACGTTCGATGCTAACCCCAAACACAAAGACACGGCACCATTGCTCCCCGAACTCTACTTCACCGCCCGCAAGAGGAATGACATGAACGGGTCAGCTTGGACCACCGACGACACTTCTCGCACTGCGAACGCCGCACCAGCACGCACGACCTCGACCACCACTACCATGCCCTCGTACACAACGCCCCGCAACGTCTCAGGCCCGCTAGCCGTCGACAAGGCGCCCATGAGCCCCGATGAGAACAGCTCGTGGAACCGCCCCAACCACTACAGCACCCCCAACTCCAAGACGTCGCAATACATTGATAAGATCACACAAGAGAATGACCGCCTGCGACGAGAACTCAGGGCAGAAAAGCTCGCCCGGGAAGACGAAGCCAAGCGTGTGTCGGCTGCACAAACCAAGGCCGAAGACTCCCGCGCCGAGTATCAGCATCTCCAAGTGCTCGCCGACACCAATGCGAGGGCGATAGAACGGAAAGACCGGAAGCTGGAAGAGCTGAAGGCCACACTGGACGCTGAGATACAAAGACGGAAGTCAGCAGAGCAGCGAGCCGAGGAAGCGCTCAGGATGCTGGGCGACACACGATCAGAGACCCAACGACAACTCTCACAAGCATACGAGATGAGGGGCATGGCAGACACGAACCTCGAGACTGCACGAGACGGCTTCAAGCGCATCACCGACGGCTACGAGAAGAAGGTGCGCCAGATCAACGACGAGCTCAACGAGCTCCGGAGGAAACGCATCGAAGACGCCGATAAGATCAAGCGACAAGCCATCATCAGCGATCAGCTACAACACGAATCGTCACGATCGACGCGAACGGAAGCCAAACTGACTAACATGATGGAGATATACAAGAAGGAGCACCGGAAAGAGATGGAAGGCCTCATACAGGAAGCCGAGAGGCTGCGACGCGCATTACCAGAGAAGGAGCGAGAAGCGCAGAAGCTTGTCGACTCGTTGAAGGAGACCCGCGACAAGATGCGATGGGTCATGACTCAACATGAACGACAAAATGGGGGGAAATAAACGCGTCGTCGCCATACTCCACATACTATCCAACAGCCCGGTAAATGGGGCAACGAGCGAGACGCAGTATAGAGACGGGCCAGCCGCTGCACTAAGCACGGCCTGGCCTCTGCGCTCCCGCACCACACGACTATAATGACCAAGCTTTGTTTCCTGGGTTAATTGGCAATCTGTAACATATCTGGATATGGCGTTGGAGTTAGGCATACATCACCACATAGGATGGGATGAACAGGCGCTTACTGGATATCATGGTCAGGCCCGACATTGCACGCGCAGGTCATTGTTTAGCTGTTCTCTGAGCAAAGGGCGTCTCACCGCTGGATATCTACCTCCCTAAATCCATTCGTGTATTTGTTCGTCGCACGATCCTATTCAACTCGATTGCTCTTCATCGTTTCTCAATATAAAAACCACAAAATGATTATTCAGGCAGACGGCAACGCATCTCATCAGCTCCCACCATTGCCCTGAGCGCTGTTAGCTCTCGCACGCTCTTTCCCGGACCCTGAGACGCCAAGCAAGACCTCGCCCTTCCACTTCTAGCTTTGTTTACTCCCACCAGCATCATCGTGACCTGGACGGTTTTCAGAACGTCCACTCTCATTGTGTAGAACAGTAGATTGTATACATTGCCGTCTCAGCAGTGGACGATCTGCGCTTCACGTATTGAACTCTCACCTCAGACAGCTTCATGGCATTCGGTAAGACCAATCACGATCGTTCCACATTCTTGCTGATCATTAGGCTGGCACATATTTATTAAACTCGAATCTAGTACCCATAACAGCACCAACTTGCAAGCCACCATCGGATTTGAATACAAACTCGCCAACCCAAGTACAAGTACAACGTTGCCAGACCAACACTCGAAAATGCAGACTAACAACCCCCAAGCGCAATATGCGGAAGTCACTCTATGCGGGCCATACCGACCGCTGGAAGCAAGCGAAATCTCAAGTCTGGAAGCGACGTTCGTCCTAGCAAGCAATCAGTAACAGTGTGGACTTGAGCGACATACATCCTCACCGTGGGGAGTCCTCATCAGTTGACGGGGGTACCGCACTGCGCGCAGCACTTTCCTGGAACCACCCAGACAGTGTCTCCACGTTCGAGACAGGCAGGGCAGCGACGACCAGGTACCTGTAACGATCAGCCGATGCTCCAACTCAAATGCTACTCCGAACTTACCGGCATGGTGGTGATACCTTCGGCGTTGCTCATACAAGGAATGGCGAATCTGCCAATGGGCGCGTGCAGCCACATAACGCTTCGTGGCAGGTGGCGGGGTTGCAATTGAGTCTTAGATGACATGGTTGGAGCGAACGATGACGAAGTGTTGAAAGAAGAAAGCAAACAGGAATAGGCTGAAAGACCCAACGAGTGTAGTGAAGAGCACTAAAGGAACGGGCTGGAAAGCGCGATGCATTTCCACATAGGCCATACACGCGTCTTTATAGCTCTAATGCTTCCCGGGCGGCTTCGGTACACCAAGTTCCATATCACTAGCGCAACTCTTGTGTCTTGCGGCACGCTTGTAACGCCCGCATCAGTCTGCAATCTTCCGAAACGGAGGAGACGACTCGCTCTCGCACCTTCTCTTTGCACAATGTGCATGGATCGTTGCGCATCGTCACCGATAGCTGATCAGGAATGCTTGCGCCATGCAGTCCTATTTTACTGGGGACATACGGGCAGATACATGTCGACCATTGTCTTGGAGACGCTAGCCTTCCAGATCACCTGTCGAAACCCAAACGGCGTTAGAGCAGGGAGACCGTTGTATACACTGGAACCACAAAAGACACAAGCGTAGAATGACCCCAGTATACAATTACCTCAACACCAAGTTCTGCTGCATCTTCTTGATGACATTGAGAAACAGGCAGCTTCTGCACCAAGCAACACCGAATAGGACGAAGGAGCAGAGTTTCCGTCTAACTCAGTCTAATCTGAACATGGTACTTTTTCGTTATTGCGCAGAAACACGATTGTACAACTTGACCCTTGGCGTGCATCCGTATTGAACTCGACCTTTCACGTCTGAAATGCGGCATTGGTAATCTCGATGAGCCTCGTCGTTTTTTCATTTTGTCACATTCGGCGCTAAAGAAGCCACTACTCTTCGAGCCCTGCAATATGCAGCCGCAAGCAAACAGACGCGCTTTCCCCACCTTCCTACACGATCCAGGCTTTCGTTGCTTTTGCGGTCTTGCGTGATCCAAATCATCCTGCGACGCATTCGATGAGCCACCGTCCGTTTGCATTGCGATCGCTGCCTCGCTTGTCAGGCCAGAGGTATCGATAGCCGTCCTTCCGTGATACGGTTGTTTTCAACCGTTGTGCATGATCGGTATAAACCTCATTCACTCAGTCTGTGACAAGCTGCAACATCGCGTCTGTGATAACTACTGATTATACTTATTAACTCAAAGTCTCAAACCCCGGTCTCCTGTTCGCCGCATAAGGATGCACTTCGCGTCCTGCCTAGGGCTGACTGTCTACAATTACGAATCATGCTTGCCGATAATTCGGTCATCATCTCACACCTCTTGATGCCAAATTTATCCCGTCAGACATCTCTGCGTCATTTCTCCGGTTAGCAGACGAAATGAACTAGTCCTGGAGCGTTGCAACCCTTGACATCCAGGTCTCGGTGAAATACTGGTTGTATGGTTTCCATCAGCCTCAACTTAACAGACCTATCACATATTCGTTTCGCGTTTGTTGTGAACGAGAATCTTCCGACTCTCAGCAACGATAGGTCGGAAAGACTGCACCCTCCGACAGCATGGTTCTCGACCTAACAGCCGGCGGGATGCTTTCGTTCGTGAGATCAAGCGGTTCAAGGGACACAACGAGTGGTCGTAGCCATATGGAAGTGGAAATCCTCTCCCCCAATCTTTTCCACTTGCGCAGCAGTTGGTGCCGGTCATATTTACTGAAGAGCTCCGTGTCTATCTCAGACGCGATGTCTTGTCACACGTGAAATTGTAAGCATAGTCGACTAAGCCACTACTACGAGTTACAAGCCTTGCAATTCCGAAGCTACCATGACTCTCTCTTAGTACAAGCACTGGAAATTTTGGGCCGCTACATTGTAACTGGTGAAACGAAGCCGTCGACACAACCAGCCTAGTGTTATCATTTACTAGGCTGGGCTAGAGGGCCGTTCCGTTCACCAACCCAGTCGAAAGTTGCAAAGTGACTATATCACTGTCACCCTTCTCTTGGTGAGCAAGCCGACAAGCGGTTTCCGTTGCTTGCCGCCATGACGGCCGTGCTCGTTGAGACTACCCTAGATTGACCAAAGCACAGATACCGATAACATTTTCCCGCTTGGTAGGCGCCGTTACCTCATAGATGAGCGATCTAGTCCTGAGGATGCGCTACGATCATCGAAATATGCTCATAATGTCAAGGGGTCACCGTCCAAATCTCGAAGTCAGTGGACCAACCACATCGCTTGCTGTGAGCTGTCAGTCGCCTCACGAAGGCGCTAGCTATGCACATCATATTTCGTGCTTTGGTCCCCACTCTCGACCTGGCGCACGCACGGCACACGCTACACCAATGGACTCTGAAGCCTTTCTAGCAATACTCAGCCTTCGCATCACCCGCTCGGAGTGGTCTGCTTCTATCTAGCCCGTTATTTTATATGAATGACCGCTCAGAGAGGTCAGTCGATAGACTACACATGACAGAGACAAACTACTGTCCGCGGAGCCTCTGACCGCATGTGTTCTCGCCGTCGATTGTCTCGTAAGGCGATACACGTTTCAAGAAGAGCGCCGTACGATTGGAGCAATGGCCTTGCGGCGAAAAAATAGCAACTTTGTTCAGGCGCCTCATGGAAGACAAGATTGAGATCTCATTCCGACGCCACGCGACGATCGCTGCAAGATCTCTGTTACACGACATTGCGCAAGCCACGTACAACGAACGCATTGAATTGCTTTCTCCATTGCACTAAAACAACGTATCAGCGTCTACCCGTGCTGCAGGTCCGCAACACTCAATTCAGATCTGATTAACATAGTAACACGCGGCCGCTTTACAATAATGCCTTTGCGTTACAATCGTGAGAAATGACATCGCACCAGTACCACGGTAGCCTCTTGAATGGCTTTCACTTCACCGTTTCGGGTCCGACACAAGTCTACAAGAGGCAACCCGTAGTATCATAAAATACCGAGCTTGCGGATGAAGCGGCGCACTACATTCCTTTTGGCTGACAGTCGGAAGACGACTCCCGACCAGGCAACTTGCACAGTAACCATCAAGAGCCGCATGCGGTTGGAAGGGCGGTCGGCGCTGATCATCAGCCTTGCCCGCCTTGCAAAGTCGCACAACATATCTTCGCCTGTTTTTGCCCGAGTAGACGTGTACGAGGTGCCTCGGCTGCCGTCTCAACGGACGTCCCGTCGTACAGGTAACGGCTGTCTCTCAGACAATGCTGCCGAGTAAGACGACGTGATGTCAGCATTCATTGTGTTTAGTGTTGTACCTGCCACCGCAGAATAGCCCTGGTCTTGTCTCCAGCTGGTAATTCTCGCCGTCTTCACCGCTTGGTTCATAGATGGACATCTGATCGACCACTTCAAATGTGTGAACCGACGATCTGGCACGACGATGTGAATCTTTGTAAAAGGTTTGAGTTGCAGCGCTATATGAATTGTAGTAAAAAGCAACGGCATATACAATATGAGCAATCTTTGTAGTGTCCATGTTCACTTGTCCGGAAACAGGCGTCATGATTGATCTAACCATCACTGTTACAACGAAGCAAGTCTCCCGCGTAGACCACCACGCTGCCGATGTCTCTCATCTCTCAACTGGTGGTAAAGACGCTGATGACGATGTAAACTCTCATGATCAAATTGTTTCCCACGCTGAACCCTCGCACCTCTCGGAAACAACTAGCAGTGCATTAGCATGGAGTCGCACCAAGAAGTGCACCGGCTCCAAGGAAAGAGACAACAACAGTAGCGGTCAGGAATAACGAATAGTTTTTCAAGCCCTACTGACCGTCTTCTTGATGCGGACCAACAGCACACCCTTGGTGATGACACCATTTGAGTCGTATAAATGCAGCATGCGTAAACCCGTCTGCAGACGATCGAGACGGAAGCATGCCCAAGCCGCTAGATCGTCGCTAATCCTTTCGTCATCCATAACTTTGAACCTGGGAAAAGCATGTCAGCATGGCTCAACACCAAATAGCTAACAACCGGAGTCTATAAAAATACAAGCAGTGCTGTCAACAAAACAACAAAGCAATGACGCTGCAGTGATGCGAACGGGAATATTGGCGATCCGCAGGCCTGGTGATCCCGGTCGTGGCCCTGATCGTAGCTGCGTGCCACGATCGCTCACTCGAAATCTCCGTTTCGAAAGCTGTGGAACTAGCGAACCTCGCGTATGCAGAAAAATGATGCAGACTCATCCAGATAAGGTTGAAATACCAGTGTTCGACCACCTTTCTCGGTAGACCAGTAAGAGCATCCGTGCATGCGAGAATGGTACTTGCGGCTCCCACGGCGACCTGCATGTACTTGACACGTAGCGAAAAAAGAGATGGGACTTACCTGACAAATGTCAATTCTTCTGTAACGCCGGGTACACCAGCGAACTTGACAACTTCACCGCCAAAGTCGGGATCCGTGGTCCTGGTTGTCTTCGTCTTTTGCTTGTACTCGCCCTTCTGGCTTCTTCCATTTCCGGGCACGGGTTCAGCATTGCGCTCCTCGTGCGACTCAACATGCAGTTCAACCTTGACGTAAGGCTTGAGGTCCTTCGGGTCGTCTTCCTCAGGGGGCAGAGGGATATCTTGTCCTGCGAGGAACTCAATGGTCAAATCGAGGTCGTGATGGGGTATCGCAGTCTTCTGTGTCGCTTCTTGGCTCGTGCTACGATAGCCTTCAGGCTTGAGAACCCAGCCACCTGTACCCGCGAACATGGCTTCGTTTTGCATCATTCCGCCATCCCAGCGCTGCCAGTTTAGTGCTACTATCTGAACTCCAGCACGCCAGAAGACAGAAGGATTCAAGTTGGACGAGGTTAGTCGCAAGCCCTTGGGGTAAGCGCGCATGAAGAAGTGCTTATTGTGTTCAAAGAGTCGTACAGGATCGGACTCGTGAACTTCCATCAAGGTTCCTTCAGATAGAGAGAAGACATGAGTAGGTATCTTGGCCTCTGGAGCATCGAGGGTCTTGTACGAATAACCCCCCAAGTAAACACCCAGTCGCGATAGCGCTTCAATGATCTTGGGTTTCGGCGCGGGGGGTTTCTTTTCTCCATCTGGGCCAACCTCGGATGATTCGGAAGCGCCAGAATCAGTGCTTGTGGTGTGCTTTAGTGGTGGTGCTGATGCTGGTGCGGCTAGCGTTGTAGGCTGAGGCTCGGCTGCGACCAGCTTCATGTGCCCACGTTTGACCTTGACCAGAATCTTATTTTCCAGCTCCTTCAGAGTCGGTAGATGAGCTTCATCTAGACCCTGGGCGGGATCTAGTGGTAGCTCAAGTAGCATGCCTTTCCAGTACTCGTTCATAATCTCTACCATAATCTCCTGCTGTTCTGGGCCAGTGTGTACTTCGAGACTGACTATCAGTGGCAGGTTTGATGCAGCAAATGCGTAATCCCTGATGGTGGCACATACAGCGCGGAAGGTCATATCCTTGGTCAAAGTGTAGCCGTGAAGTACCCTAGGCTCGGCCCTTGATGTGTATGAAGCAGAATGCCAAGGCTTGATCTTGTTGTCTTCCTCCTGAGGCGGCTGGGGTGTTTGTTCTTCTTTCTCCTCGTCGCCCTTCCTGCCGAACTTCAACCCGAGCCTTTTTCGGATGCTAAGCCCCGACTTGGATTTCTTCTTCTCTTTCCTTGCGTCATCCGATCCTGGGTTTCCCATGGCAGCTTCCTCGTCTGAGCTAGAATCTGAAAGTTCGTCTCCATCCCAGACATCAACCTCGACGCAACGGCATCCTCGCATCAAGACGTTCTTGTAGGCATCGACGCTGGAGTCACTCGACAGCTGGTTGCCGGTGAGGTATGTGTTGTGACTTGAAGAGATGAAGTAGTTAGAGATTGGATACGACTCGTCTACAGGCTGTGCAGGTTTCAAGACACTTGCCGAGCCTGACATGAAGTAGTTGGCGAAGTGTGAGAAGGAGCCGTCGGCCAGAAGCTCAGCGTTCTGTCCTGAGCATTGCTGCTCCTCCGTCAACCACTTCAATTGTCCTTCTTTTGTCGTCAAGTCGTATCGCTTCGTGATTTCGTCGTAGACTGCCTTGATGTATTGCGTAAGGAGCGGTGATAAGGCATCGACCTTGCGGGCTGTGGTAGAGGCCGATGCCGTACCACCACCGGCCTGAAGCTCTGGGTTAACGGCCTTGGGGGTGCCCAGCTTATTGTCTTTGGTGGGCGTCATGTTGCAGCGCGAAGATGTCAGAAGAGGCGGTGGTAGGTTTATAGGCGGCAGGAGAGTCTAAAGTGGCAGTGTGCCTGGATAATGGCTGAGCGCAGGCAGCTCAGCTCGCTGATGGGTGTTAGTGCTTCCTTGTGCAATTGGACGAGGATATGCGCAAGCAACCAACGTACTTGTAATCTAAAGTAGGCAGCTGTATGTGCAGCTTACAGTTGGACTACAGGCCAAGTGTGGAGTGGCAGCGGGATCTAGTTGTAGAGGTATGAGGAGGTGCGGCCCGCGACGTTGAAGCGGGCGCAATAGCCTCATGGTCAGCTCGTGCCTGCCTTGGCCTGCCGCACTGGCGTTTGATCATCCAATTGGTGGGGCGCTGACACGCAACACTCGACGTTTGCTGCACGCGCAACGTGAAAGAAAGGCGGGCTGCCCTGTTTGTGGTGCTGGGAGAATAGGGTCTAGGCTTGACATGTGCCGTTCTAGCCTTGCCAAGGCCGCCGACGTCACTCAGGGTCCAGCATCCTAAGATGCCATCGATGTATTGGAGACAAACATTTTCGACGCAAATCGCTAGGTGCACATTCACCATGGTAAAGTCACGAAAAGAAGCAGAAAGCCAAGTCCGTTCCTGGGGATTCGGTCACGTATTTACGTGGACTGATAGCCCGTAAGCCCATCACCTTCCCAGCACTGTGAATGCAGCCTGACTTTGTTGCAGCAACGCGCACTACTCGCCACACAAGCACAGCGGCAAGACCACACACCTCGTCCTCAATGGCTCCATAACATATACATATCCCGAAGATCCTGATGCGAAAAAGGAAACAATAGGCCCTGGCGCAAGATGGGACGTAGATGCGAACAAGGTACACGAAGTATGGGTGGGAGACGAGGGATGTACATATGTCATTGGAGAATGAACAGACTCCACTCAGCCCAAGAAGCCATTCTGTCCCAGGTACTTGATCGCATCGAGTGCCAGTTGATCTGCCTTGACCAGCTCTTGCTCTACCATGCGCTCGTACAGTCCCGGTAGCTTCTCCTCTTCCTTTGGAGGATGCTGATATCTACATTTGCTAATATATGGGCATCTTCCGTTCCGCTTCCAATTCGTACACACACTCATACTCTTTGTCTCAGCTTTCTTCGGTGCCCGCGCAGGAGGTGGGACCTTGATGGGTGGCGGAGCAACCTTGGACGATGTGGTTTCGGGCGCTTCGTCGCTGTCGCCTGATTCCGACTCGGATTCGTCCTCTTCGGAACTCGATACCACAGATGACTCTGACAATACTGAACTCTCTGCCTCAGACTCCGTCTCGCTTTCGTACCCTAGGCCTAAATTTACTACGTTTGGCGTAGACTGCTTCTTCGTCATGCTTTCGTGAAGCCTTTTCCGCAGCGCTGCAAGTTCTTCCTGTCTGCGATCATCGGCCTCCTTTTTTGCCCTATCATCCTTCTTCGCCCTGCCGTCCTGTCGATTCTCGCGAGGCTTCGTCTCCGGATTCGGGGCGTCGTTCTTTTGCTCTCTGGGTGGCTTGCCGCTTACTCTACGCAAGAAGTCAAGCTCGGCTGCTCGTTTCCTGGCAGCCTCTTCTGCCTTCTCCATAGCTCTCTGTTCCGTGGGAAAGTTCTTTCTTCGGTCTTTGATCCATGCCGCGACCTCTGCCCCTGTCTGTATGCTGATTGTCTCTCCGTTGTGTTCAAACGCGAACCCTCCACCCTTGAGCTTTTCCGTGTATGCGGCTTCTTCGTCAACGTCCTCCTCATCACTACTCTCATCCGGGACCTGCTGGTGTGACAGTCCTAAATTGACTTTGCGCTTCTTGTTGTCCGGTCGTACTACGGGTGGTGGAGGGAGAGAGAAGCCGAAGCTAGGGACTTGTGGAGGTACCGCAGCCTTAGCCCTCGGTGGCTTCGAACTTGGCTGCGGTCCATTCGACTGGGATTTTAGGTTGTTGTTCCGATCATTCAGTTTTCTCTTCTGACCGGCGTGTTGCTGAGGCGAATACCGTGGGCTTGATTGGGTCTGCTGAGGCGGTGGGGACTGCGGAAAGGAGGAGCTGCCCGTGCTCGTCATGTGGTTTGCATATGCGGCCATTGACTGTACGCCGCCCGGTGTAGACATGTATGACATGACCTGAGCGAGGGCGTTAGGGTCATATTGTTGCGCGCCGCCAGCGAAGGTAGGATTGTTGTTGCCATTTGCAGAAGCACTGTCCGACGGCGCATTCGTCTGGTACTGCCCGTTGCCACCATTATGCCCTCCTCGATGATTTGCGCCGCCCCTGTTGTTCTGATAGCCGCCTCTTTGACCGCCTCTGCCACGCGCGTCTCCCCGTCCGCGGTTCTGCCCATGGCCACCTCTGGCGTTTCCACCCGTGTTGTTGAAGCCACCACCTCGATGCTGATTCCCACCTCTCCCGCGACCTCTATCACCACTTCCTCGGGCATGGCTACCTCGTTGACTCGCGGACGGCTGCTCGCTGGATGTGGCCTTCGGCGGCGGTGGAGGAGGTGGAGGGAACCGGAACGACATTGTGCTGTTCGTGTTTATGGGTATCGTGTGATTCGACGGATCAAAGCATTACAAGTATTAATTACCAGAGAACGTACATGATGTGGTATAAATCGCGAAAAAGGCAGATGAGGGAGATGCGACGCGCCTCGGGAGTCCGCAGACCAAAAAGTTCCTTATCGATATTACTAGCGCGGCGCTAGCCGTCACCCAGAGGAGTCTCGCGACTGACTCTACTGTCTATATCCACCATGTCCAGGTAGCGGCCGACCCTTTACTTTTACATCCATGAAGCCTCCGAAACTGCGATCATGTTCATACTTGTAAGTCTCTGCCCGACCCGGGGTCTGACACGTCCTCTTTGCGCTTCCGCGCCACTTGACAGAAAATTTGAGCAGCAAGAAAAGATGAGAGCACTGGACGCGACTACGCGTATACCGATTCGTTGATGATCGCGTTGTGTCATTGTGTGGACTCCCTGCTAATCACATTGCAGACCACGATTCAAGACTTGATACAGATCAAGCCGCAAGACTTTGAGAAGCCTAGCGCACAAGCCATCAAAGATGTAGTCAACGACAAATACAGCAATAGGATAGTTCCCGGCATTGGTCTTTGCCTCTGTATGTGGGATCTCGTTTCAGCGACCGAAGGCTTGATCGGTCACGGGACAGGTCTTGTTAATGTGAACAGTAAGTCCAATTTCACCCATCAGGTAATCTGTTCTCACACCCAACTCAGTCGAATTCCGTATGACTGTCTTCCGTCCTTTCCGCGGCGAAATTCTTTATGGACGGATAAAGTCTTCCAACGAAGAAGGCATCATCATTGACCTGGAATTCACGTCAGAAGTCTTTGTCCCCTATCAAAACCTACCAGAAAATTCGTCCTTCTCCAAAGCTGAGATGGTCTGGATCTGGAACTCTGAAGGCACCGAATTATTCTTCGACAAGGGCGAGCCAGTTTTATTCCGAGTAGAGCATGAGGAATGGTATGATCAGAGGCCGACTATTGTGGAAAAGGATGAGAAGGGTGAGATCATTGAAGAGAGACCGACAGCTTGGAAGATCATTGTAAGTTAATCCGAGTCGTGGAATTCTCGGGCGTGTCTAATACCTTTGACAGGGCTCGATGGGCCAACCTGGTCTCGGTCCCACACTCTGGTGGGCTGAAGGTGGAGAAGAGGAAGAGGGCGAAGAAGGTGATGTTGAGATGGAGGGCGCCGAGGAGTGATGCCCTCCAGCCAGACGTTGAGTGCTGCATTTTAATGCTGAAATCATACCTGCCTCAAAGATGCAGTCTGATCTTGGATTACCGAGCCTCTAGATTTGGAGCATGGTCACCAACATTCGTAGGAAGGCTCCACACTCAACAACCACTTATTGCAGAACCAAGGTCAACTTTCGGTGGCCACTTTGATGCATTCCGTAAGATTGTTGAAATCGACTTTGCTAAGAGGCTGGATCGGTGACATCATTACCTCGCTTAGCGCCTTTGCGTCTGCATCAGGCCATCCGTCGCATCAGCGTGTGCGTCTATTTTACCAATCCGTCAACATCTTGCATCAATCTAACGTTCTGTGCCACCCATCTCCATGCCAATGTTTCGGGAAATATAAGAGTGGGGTTGCGGTGACAGTTTAACACATTTCAGGCAGGTGCTGTCGATCTCGACCCAATCGGACCAAAAGTCCACGATGATGCGATGCCCAGCCTCAACTCCGTGATAAGATGCCGTCACTGGCAGTGAAGTTCATATGTAAAGGCGTCTCAGCTTCTAAATATTGGCGTTGCATGATATCAGTGTCTTCATAATGTGGTTCACTACTCTTTTCTGCGCTGCTGTCTTGACAGCAACGATCATAGCGAATCCCATATACGCGGCGAACGGCACCAACACAACCTATGTTGGCCCAGAAAGTGGCCATCTCGTGATCGTTGGAGGAAACTTACAAAGCGAGAGTATCTACCAGCGCATCATCTCCCTCGCTGGAGGTCCCAACGCATCCATCGTAGTTGTTCCCACTGCCGGCGGCGAAGATACCTATGACCAGAACTTCACCACAGCCGTGGCTTTCCGGAAATATGGTGCCAATAATGTAACCGTCTTGCATACGTATGACCCCGCCGTCGCTGATACCGACGAGTTCATCGCTCCTTTGTTGGGTGCCAAGGGTATCTTCTTTGGTGGTGGACGACAGTGGCGGTTGGTTGACGCATACGCTGGAACCAAGACTGAAGTGGCATTCCAGACTGTTCTGGATGCAGGAGGTGTCATCTCAGGATCGAGTGCTGGCGCGAGCATCATTGGCAGTTTCCTCGCACGCGGTGATACAGCGAATAATACCATCATGATAGGTAGGTCGCTGATCATCCTGTAATCTACTAGCAATATATCGTCACAAACAAAACTAACGCGGCTCCTCTAGGTGATCACACTGTTGGCTTTGGATATCTCAAGAACTCAGCCATCGACCAGCACGTCTTGGTACGCAACAGGCACTTCGACATGTTTGAGATTCTCAACGCCTACCCAGAACTACTTGGGCTGGCGATTGACGAAGACACTGCTTTAGTAGTCAACAAGAACGAGCTGGAAGTCATTGGCAGCACGTACGCGCTGATCTACGACGGCGGGTTTTGGTCCAGGGAAGGAAGCTGGGAGAGGCCTCTGCCACCGCCCGATGCAAGGTTCTACTTCCTACGGGAAGGCGATAAATATGATCTCGGAACAAGAGCAGTCATTGAGCCGGAAACGACAGGCAGTGGTGACGATGTATGATGAGGTGTTGTGGGCAGCTAAGAAAAGAAACACTTTCATGTTTTCAAATGAAGACCTGCAAAGCCAGCTTTGATGTACAAGTTAGAATCGAATTTGTGTCGGAATCTCGAGTGATGGACCTTCGAGGATCTGATGCTTCGCCGGTTTCGCAATTAGTGATCATCTGTGGAGGTTCATCCTGTTCTTTCAACTGCCGTCATACATGTTTCGAAAAGGTATGCTTTCATGGAATATAATGTTTGCGACCACAATTGCATTGGTGAATGGAAATTCAAGTAATAAATTCTCATTGCATTAGTTTTCAAATAATGCAACCATGATGAGAGGGAGAGTGAAAGTTCAGAAGATGCCGCTAGGTATGTTTGGACCGTACCTCGGCATCTTTCGGCTCTACCGAGAAGGAGCGGAGCACTCTTGCAGATAGCAACGGCGTCAAAGACGCGACTTGTGGTATCATCATCTGTCTCGTTTTCTCAAGTACAGAATCTCATTCCTGACTCAGAAGCGATATTTTGAATATTTCCATCTTCGCCAGCTAGCCTTGGAACAATTGCGCGTTGAGCATTACGTCATCATGTCCAGCCCCTTCGATGTCATTGCCATCATCACTCCCAAGCCCGGCAAGGCAGATAGGGTATGCCTCGATAACAGCACCGACACTATCTCTTCAAACAAGCAGCTAATGTTTTCTAGGTCGAAGAACTTCTGACAACCGCAGCCAAAGCTGTAAAGGCGAACGAGCCTGGTACGCTCCGGTACCATATACATCGTCAAACCAAGGGCGATGCGCCAATATTCGTGATGCTTGAAACGTGAGCTTCTTTTTGGTATCTGAAAGGTTCAAGGCTGACGTTAATTAGATATGCAAACAAAGCGGCTCTGGAAACACATGGAAAGAGCGAGGACTTCAAGAAATTGGGAAAGACGATGAAGACGGAGGATTTGCTCGCGGAGCCGATGAAAGTGCTCTTCACTAAAGAGGCAGGCGGATATGCTAGCAAACTATAGACCGTATTACAGAAAACTCTAGAATTCTGTAGCGAAAGAGTCGAGAACGTCACGAAGACTTTAGAACGAGAACTTTGCATGGAAGATTGTGGTGTCGTGTCACTTGAAAAATGCTAATGACTATTCAGGTGAAAACCCTCCTTGTTTACATTGTCAAAGTTCACGAATTCTGAACGCGCATCTTCTCGAGATCTTTGTACTAGTGTACCGCGCTGGCAGTAGTCTAAATGTCGTAAGGCGAGATCTGTTGCACCTTTGTATTTTCTGACTGCCTCAACTTCCAAGCCACATAGTACTCCTGGAACTTCTCTTTATTGATCTGCCTCACAACCCACTCCTTGTCTCGCTTTAAAGATGGCTGACCATCGGAGTGTATGCCCGGGGACGCTTCTGCGAAGAAACGCATGAGATGATGCTGGTGGTATTCGACAAGCGCGTGAACATGTTCAAGGAGCAGCTTCTTCTTGTCTTTGCGCATGACGAAGACAGTGCCAACAGACATCTGCCATTCCAGTGGTGCAAGCCCCCCCATAGAAACCGGATCGCTTGCTCTGAGGCTTGCAGCCGATATTTAGGAAAGTGCCCGCTGTGTTGACCCAAGGGAACTTGCTCGAGGATGAATCCGAATGCTTCTGCCATTTCTTGACACTTCCAGGAATGCGCTGAACAATCAGAGGGATTTCGATGTGCTTGAAACGTCGGTAGCTGTTTGTTCAAAGATACGATGGAAGGCAGGAAGCTCTATGGGCTCGTAACGAGGACGACCGTCGATATCGACGTCGCCATTGCAGTTGATGCGCACGCCAACCACATTACTTAATCCTGGCTGTAGGTCCTCAATCGTTCGAAGACTTCCGTCCTTGAGATAGTAAGTGTTGAGCCAGTGTGCGAGAATCCGAAGGTCGCAGGGGCCGAGATCTTGACTGTGAGATGGGTCGTAACTGTGGGGAACGTCGTCGAAGACATCAGTGCCATAGGCGATCATAGGACCTCTCCAATCGTGCAGGTGAACAGAGTTGAGATCAACGATCTTATCGCTGGCTTTGTTTTGCGTGGATCCGTCATGGGGAAAGTCTTCGCGGTAAGACAAGAAGAGGGTTTACGGAAGTAGGCGGGTGAGAGCGTAGCTGTGTCGGATTTTCGTATTTGTCATATGAACCAACTCTCCGAATTCGGACTCCATTTTGTTTATAGCTGCAAGTGAACCAGGACAAACGCTAAGAAAGTTACATCCGTACTCTTCCATCTCGTCCTTAGTCTTGAGCCATATGAAACGTGGGGCGTCTTCGTCGGGGTGGAAATAGATAGCTCGAGTATACTTCTCACCAGAGTGTTCGGCTTTGGGTCGCTCTTGAAATCTTTGAACGTGAAGGTGAGAGGAGAAATAGACGCACGGGAATGCAAATGTATGTAGAAAGAGTCATCGAATGGCTTCTCTCCACAAGTTCCATTACATTATAAACGGTAGCATATTTACATAGTGTTCTGTAGATCTGCGGGTTCCTCTGCATACTCGCTTCCATAACCTCCGTACCAGTAATCACCAACACCCTTTACTCCCTCAGCAGTGCGGTTAGCAGGCGGCTGAGGCCACATGTCTAGCATAGCTTGCTCGCCGGTCAAAGTGAAGTTGATACTTGTAAGCGGGTGGTTATCGATTAACAAGGTATAGTCACCAGGGTAAAGGACCTTGTTACCCATCTCGTCGACCCTGGCAAGAGATGCAAGAGTTAGATTGAGAATTGCAGTGTCAGAAGCTCCACCAGCGATGTTGTGGAGACGCTTGTAAGAGACAAGCGACTTCTTTGGATGAGGCGCAGGACCAAATTCTCCAGCAATATAACCAAGAGCGACGTAGTCGGATGTGATGTCGCCGTCGTTGGATACTTCAACATCTACAGAAGCGAATGGGCAGCGCTCGAGGAAACCTCCGGTACTATTGCAGCCCTGTGTCAGCGCAGAGATTGCGTAGCTGTTCTGCATTTGGGTGGTGATGTTGGCAGAAAAGTTGGTGTAGTGCAGACCGTGACCGAACTCGTAGACAGCACTTCCATTGTACCACTTGTAGGTGCGGCCGGGGTTGTTTTCACCAGGGCGCATGTTCATGTCCATCATAGAGACCTTCGCGATGTAGTTGGAGGGGTACTGAGTCGTAGGTAGACGTCCAGCAGGAGCAGTCTTTCCGGTGACAATGTCGATGATGGCCGAGCCTCCATCCTGACCAGGGTACCCAGCCCAAAGGATGGCGGAGATGTTGGGGTTATTCACGAGAGGAGTGCTATCGATTTGGCCTCCGCCAGTGACCACAACGATGACTGGCTTTCCTGTTTCAGCAAGCTCAGTGATAACATCAAGCTGGGCTCCGGTCCATGTAAGGTATGTACGATCCTGGTCTTCCTCCTCAACGCTGTTGTCGATACCTCCAACATACATGAGAATATCGCTAGTAGAGTAGGCGCCGTAAAGATTAGACCAACGGTTTGTCGTTGGGTCACCTTGGCCACCAGGGTTTCCTCCAGCATAGTTTATGGTGACGTTGAGCTGCTCCAGGGCGTACAACGGAGAGTGTAGGTACGTAGCGACACCAGCGTAGTTACCAAGGAGCTGAGAGGTTGCATTCGCCCAGTCACCGAAAAGGCCAATCGACGTGGACGAATCGAGAGAAAGAGGCAGCGTACCATCATTCTTCAACAGAACAATACCCTCAGCAGCAGCTTTGCGGGCAAGCGCCTGCGAAGCATTCGTGGCGACTGAGTTCCATCCAATCTGACGGTATGGCTGGTTGTCGGGAGAGTCAAAGTAGCCCAGTCGGACAAGCGATGAGTACTGGCGGACGAGGGCCTGGTCAAGGACAGATTCTTCAAGCAGACCTTGCTGGAAGGCAGCGGGCAGATGTTCCTGCATGTAAGTACCGCAAGTGAGGTCGGTACCAGCTTTCAAGGCGTCGGAAGCAGCACCTCCGCGAGTTGCAGACCATTCATGAGGCAAGTAAACATTCTGTACGGCGTCACAATCGGAGGTAACCCATTGCTCTTCATTAGTCCAACCCCAATGTTCGCGAAGAATCGTCTGAAGCAGGTAGGGATCGGCGCATGTTGGCACACCATTGACCGCATCTAAAATCCGTTAGTTCCAAGCAAACATACAACGAACGGTTGACATCAGACTTACTGTAGCTGCACATGAAAGCACCCACGTTCGCTTGAACGCAGGCCTGGAAGGGAACGAGGTAGTACTCAACAAGGTCCTGCTGAGAAATCTGCACATCGTTCTGGTAGCGGAGGTTTCCGTTCCAGTCTTCAATATCGTAGCCAGCGAAGTGCTTGCAAGTTGCGACGACACGTTTGTATTTGTCAGACGCATCGCCCTGGAGTCCGTGAACCAAAGCCTGGACGTAAGAAGACAAATGGTAGGGGTCTTCACCAGGTGTTTCTTGACCACGACCCCAGCGGGGATCACGGAAAGGGTTGATGTTGGGCGTCCAGAAGTCAAGACCAGTCCTGTTGGCGTTGTTGAACGCACGCGCTTCGGTTGAGATGACCTTTGCAACCTCGGTGATCAGGTCATCGTCGAAGGCCGCACCCATCAAGATGGGCTGAGGAAAAGAAGTCGAGTAACTATACTCTCCCTCATCGCTGAAGTTGGTATAAGGACCGGCAATACCATGAAGACCCTCGCTCCACCATTGGTAAGGCGGTATACCGAGACGAGGGACACCTGGAGAGCCACTGCTCGTAGCATTGATCTTCTCCTCAAGTGTGTAAAGAGCTACGAGAGACTTCGCGCGAGCCAGCGGTGCTGAAACAAGTTAGTATTACAAGGTCGATGTAGCAGCAGATAGATCAACGTACATGCTGAAGCATCGCAAATGGTCTCATTGCTCAACCTTCCACTGGTGCAGTCAGGGAAAACGAATTGAGCATAAGCTCCTGTCGCAGCGACGAGCAACACTTGCAGTGAACGCGTCGAGGTGAGCATGATGCCGGTTGTCTGGTTCGGATGGTCCGGATACTTCTCTTTCACATCTCTTCACCACATATCTTATAGCAAACTAAATAGCCGTAGTTGGTGACCCTGCGTCAGCACACGGTTGGTAAAGACATAAGCCCACGATGTCTATACGTCATGGTTATGATGGCCACGCGGTTGAGTACTGATCGCCAGTCCACTTATTTCCGACCACCGAGCCACTCTTGTGTCCGAAGCCACTCCCGATGCTTGGCCCAGAGGCATACGGCAGCCAAGAGTATACCCGAGCCGCATGCGGAGCCCCATGGTACTTGCAAAGTCTGTGAGGGGTTTGCGCTAAGTGGAGCTAACTGCTCTCCGATTGGCTGTACATTCAGGCTGAATAGAAATCCACGACCGTCAACGGTAGGCAAGGCACGGCAACAAGACCTGGACGACTTCGGTCAATATTGAGAATACATGACAAGCTCGCATAAGCATCGGCCGAATAATTGCAAGGGATGCGCTGATGCGGGGGTGCGGGGTGACTGAATAACGGGATGAAAGCATGGATCATATTTGCTTATGTCTCAACAATAGTAATTTCCGCATGTTTCGTCATAATCGCTCAGTGGCTCACAACTAAGACCTGCAATATGGTATTGACCGTATAACTGGCCGCGGAATGCATTGCCAACTCCCGAACGTATCTCAACTTTACTACACTGTCGAAGTCTTGCGAATCATCTGTACATCCTCCAGTTTTGAACCGATATTCGGTCCGAAACGATCCGTTCCCCAACTTGCAAGTGGGCTCGTATCTTCACCTAGAATTTTCTGGCTGTCTTTGTGCTCAGCTTGATGGATTCTGTCATTCAGAACTTCGGCTGTATATCGTATCTCGAAATCTTGGAGAATGTGAGTTACCGGGATGTCCGTCTAAGATGGCTGTCTGCATCCAAGATCGGCAGTATTTAATACAACTACGAAGGCCAGTTGGATCTCTTGACTGTCATTGGCATGCCATCGCGTGGTTTCGCTTCAAACACGAACTCTTGAAAGGCGCGGTCGCCGAACGTTAAATCCAGGTCGAACCAGTCCACTCGAGGCGTCTTGTTAGGTTTCAAATCTGCGCATGTAAAGTCGAAATCTCGTATCGTCAATAAGAACGTGATCAACAACTCGTCCATAGCCAGAGGCTGACCAAGGCAGGCACGTGGACCTCTTTCAAATGGACGCCATGCGTGACGCGGGAAATCTTCTCGTGCATATCGATCGGGGTCAAATTTGAGCGGGTCTAGGGACAGGTTTCAGTAACTGAATGCGCACCAGGTACGAAGCTTGACAGGTGCTACTTACCTGGAAATATCGCAGGATCCATGTGCATAGCCAGTTGGACTGGGCAAATCATGATATCTTTGGCCGGCCACTCTCGGCCCTGGTACTTAAGAGTATCAATGCCCTTACGCGCAGTGTTGCCTATCGGGAAGAATCGGAGGATCTCCTTGACAACATGGTTTGTGTACGTAAGCTCGTTCACTCTATAAGGATCCGTTTTCAGCATCTCGTAAGTCGCCTCAATACCAGGGGTGAAGACGCGGTCGTGCTCTTCTCGCATCTTTTGAACTACTTCAGGGTGGACGCTGAGCATCATAGCTCCAAAGCAGACGGTGTCAGACGTAGTTCCGCTTCCAGCGATCAATAGCGTTTTAACTTGCGATAGAGCATCTTGGACGAATTGGTGGTCGAGCTCCTTCACGTCGTTCTGTCGCTCTGCAATATAGTCTCGCAAGATGAGATCCATGATTCCTAATCCTCGCTTTTCGGAGAGATCGAGCTTATCGCCTGCGAGCTACACGTCAATTATGTACAGCAATGCCCCAATGCATCTGTTACTTACGTTTTACAATCTCAAATCTCTCTTTGATGAGATCTACTACGATGGCATCTAACTTGTCTCGCTCGGCAGAAACTTTTCTGTTGACAAAGAAGTTCCGGACGTAGTTGACAGATTCTCGCGATGCCATGTAAGCACGACACATATTCTCAAAGTGCTGCAGAGCAGGACTACCCTTGGTTTGTGCGTCGAGAGATCGCCCAAAGGTCGCAGTCGAGATCACATCGAACGTCAAGTGTTGAGTAGGGTCTTCCAATTTGAAAACCTCTCCAGATCTGGCCTTCTCGTGGATAATCGACCGAAATTTCATCACCTCGTCAGCAACCATTGGTCTCATGTTGGTAATGTGCGAGATGGCGAAAGCAGGACTGAGCATCCTGTGGAGATGCTTCCACTGCGGCCCATTAGCCGTGACAATGTTCCCACGACCAACCAATGGATCAATCATTTGGCCCTCTGCTTCGTGTTTGGGGTGGTTTCGAACAGCTGTCATCTCAAGTGCGACATCTGGATCTGTAACAACAATCTGTCCCCATGCGATGGGCCACAGATCAAGATAGAAGAGACCAGGCATGTTGTATTTCCTGGCAATTGTAACGGCCGCTGCCTGGTAATGAACGTCGCTTGGCAGTGACTTGAAAGTCTCGCCTAGCAGTTTGAGATGACCAAAGAAAAAACTGTGAGGCGGCTTGGGCTACATGGATCGTCAGTGTCGCCTCAATAGCAGTTCGCGATGGATACTGTCCACGTACAAGGTCCTTGTAGAAGCGCCGCACTTGAATCAGCCTCATCGTCCCGTACGCGAGCGCCGCGACGACACCGGAGAAGAGTATTGTCACCCATGGTAAGTCGCGGAGAGCCATGATGAAAGCCTAGAGGTTGAGGCTCACTGAGCTTGGGGGCTCCAATGTTATTGAGGTCTTGCGATTCAGCAGGCCTGGGCCCCGATCTTGGTGCCATGGATGCAAGTGATCAGCACTAAGCAACTAGCGCATAGTTGGACGCCTACTGTCAACGTGGAAGCGCCTCATCGCCTGATGCGGCCATAGATACATCAGCTCGGCTATCGTGTGAAACATTGAGAATGAATCGTCGTGTTGGCGGTGGTATCAAGCCTTGATCAGAAGAAGTCAGTGTTGTTGAGTTGGGTCATGACTGCTGCCTCACAACGTGCAGGTGTTTCTTCGGCCATACCTCACACACTAGTAGTGCAAGTGCTACCTATCCTACAATTCGTTCATCTCTTCGACAATCATGATTTATACTAACACACTTATCTTTAACACTTTGGTATCTCAATGATTCAAAGTCATCGAGTCCGAGCATGCGAGCGCTAAGCGTAGCATATTGTCACGCAGAATATCATGACAGTGTTCTTCCTTGGTTGCGTCTCTACAGTAGCGTGGTCGTAGCAGTTGAGGCAACCGACTACCGCAACCGCGTCTCCAAGCGTCGCACAACAATTTTGAGGTCTGCCTCTACTTCTTTTTCATGTTCGCTCACATCTGAATTATTGCTATGTTCATGCCTAAACGAGTGGTATCGAGGCATCCCGTTGTACGCATACCTACCCCATCAGCAATCACGTCACGAAAAACGCGTAACCGGCGCGTCGCCGCGCTACTTGAATATCAGGCATCCAACCTTCGGACACTAAACCGGACTCATGTCTCATGTTCGGTCTATAGTATATATCTCACGTTCGGTCTATGGTATCTCATCAAACGGTATCTTCTCCTTGGCTGCGACGCGCATCTTGCTGTCCAGCAGCGACATGAGCACTTGATCTGTGCCCTGCTTCAACCACGACGCGTCGTGCGCGAGCGCGGTGTGAACACCAAAATTGGTTTCCAGCTGTCGTATCTTGGCAATGGTATCTTTCGCAGAAGTGAGGTCCGTATGAAGAGACATGCTCACTGCCCCTGGTCCCTGAAACTCCGCAATTTCTCGTAGGCCGTCCAACAAATCCCTAACCAGTCAGCAAGCGCCCGATCGTAACAACCATGACGGTCAGCATACGCCCAGCATATGGACAACGTACCGCGAATGACAGCCTAGTTTGCAGGATTAGCGAAGGCCAATGAAAACAATGCGACGCAACGTACAATCGCTACCAAGCATCACCCACTCGCCGCCTTGCAGTCTTGCTGCAGCAGCCATGTTGCCTGGCATATGACCAGGCGCATCGAGGACCCAGAAACTGCCGTCACCAAAGTAGTCCAGCGCTCTCTCAAACGGGCCAAAAGGTCTCCATTCACCTTGTAGCTCGTCCCATTTTTCGGTCGAATGCTCCGGGTCGAAGAAGCGGCCATCCCACTGCAGGCTCGGATCCTTCATATGCCCTGGCTGGCATGCTGCCCTTGTTCCCGGTCCGAAGTACGCTTTCGCATTTGGAAATACGTCGCTGATGGGTCGCGAGTGGTCCCAATGAGCATGACTGCCTTTTGTTCAGCAACATGCGCCACATTCAACTTTGAGCTCATACCTGAACAATACGGTATCGACATCTTCTGCGGACACCCCTCTTTCTGATAATTGCTGAACGATGGTCCTCCTAGGTCCAACGTGATTGACATGCTCTAGCATGAATTTATTAACCCATGGAGTATAACAACTTCGGTCCTTCAAAAACAAATCAGTCACAAAAAGACTTCGGTGTTTCTCTTCGCCTCCAGTCCACGTACCTCGTCCAACCCAAGATCCCAAAGTACATGTCTTCCCTGATGCGAGACATAGAATGCCCAGTTATACATGCGAAACGTACCGTTTTCGCCAGCATGCATACGACTCAAATCTCCTAAAAAGCTGCCGCCATCGAGAAGAGCAAGTTCAACGCAGGCATCGGTATGAGGTAGGTTAGCCTTCATAGCTGGGATCAATGGTGTAAACAGCTGGCTGCATATAACATGGACGTCGATAATTCCTTTTCTAGCCGTATACGTGCTGGCTAACTGCCCAGCTCAAAGCCCAGACTACGATGTCACTAATCACGACATTCTCGTAGATGCGAGACCTAGTTGTTGGATTACCCCCACATCGCGCAAGCCTTTGGTTGCTGGTGATTGCCCCACTGCTTGAGTGGCAGAACAAGTGCGGGGTAATTTGTCTGGTCGTCGTTACCCCACGGAACTATTTGCGTACGGACAGCTCCAATGATACGTATCCTTACGCTGCCGATCCAAGAACACGCTAGAATATACTAAACACTTTGTTGATCATTGGATAACCGCCAATTTTCTGTTTCGCACCATCTCTTCTCGCGCAACGGCTAACATGTCGGCCACTCTCAAACACGAACACCTGGGTGAATTGAAGGGCAAGAGTGTGGATGGGGTAGCACAGTTCCTTGGTCTGAAGTATGCTTCGATAAAGGATCGCTTGGCCGCACCAGAGCTTGTTGAAAGCTATGGAGCTGGCGCTACAGACGCCTCGAAGTTTGGGTATGTCGGCCATGGAAATTTGAACAATAATGCTGATTGAAGTAGACCTCCTCCAGTGTCTCCAATTGGTGCTATTGAACGTGAATTCGGTTTTATCCAGAAATCATTGCCGCTCCCAGAGGTCCCTGCGCATTCCGATCTCGAAGGCTTGAATCTCAACATCACTGTGCCAACGAACAAGGATGGCGCTATTGACCCAAAAGCGAAGCTTCCTGTCTTTGTCTTCATTCATGGAGGCGGATTCGCTGTCGGAAGTAGCTGGTACCCGCACTATGACCCGGCTCCCATAGTTAGGATGTCTGTCGAGAAGAAGAAACCCGTCATCGGTATCACCATAAAGTAAGTGTACTGGTGCTTTGCAAAAGTTCTATACAGGTGTTGATGTATACAGCTACCGACTGGGTTTCACAGGCTTCGCAACTTCCGAAGAACTGCGCAAAGCAGGTTACAAAGCAAACAACGGCTTTTACGACCAGCGTACAGCTTTCCAGTGGATCAAAAAGTTCATAGGCGGTTTTGGAGGTGATCCGGATGAGATCACCGCATGCGGAGAGAGTGCTGGCGGATGTATGTGGGCGAAGATATCCATGTAGAAGCTTGACTGACATGTGCAGTATCTGCGACAGTCTTACTTTGCTCCAAAGAGCCGCTGATGAAGCGCTGTTTGAGCACTGGAGGAGCCGTACTACTATTCAAGCCTATCCCGGAATTTGTGGCAGAGTCATCGTATCAACAAGCCATAGACGCGTTTGGTCTGAAAGACAAGTCACCAGAAGATCGTATCAAGGCCCTTTTGAGTATGCCTGTGGACGACCTTTGGCAAAAGATTCCCCCGACAGCGCCAATGCTACCTTCGATCGATGGCGTTACTATGCCTGGTTCACCCGATTTCCTTACGGTTTCATCTCAGGAGGATAGCCCAGCCTTCATGATGCCAGGCAGGAGGTGGTGCAAGGCTTTCATGATAGGAGAGTCAAAATTAGATGTAAGTATGACCATTTGGCACTTTCGATAGATGAGCTGATCTTATATAGGCCAACATTCTCGCATATCTAAGTCTCGATGGCCGCAACCCGGGCATCGCACAAAAGTTCATCGACTCCTGCAAGGCTACACTATCCACTCATCCGGATGTAGCGGAACAACTTCTTAAGGCCTACAGTATTACTCCAGAGACCCCAGACGACGAAGGCATTCTTTCGATTCTGCGTTTCGCTTCCGAAATCTCCTTCTACGCGCCTTCTCGTGCCTTCGCTAAAGGCTGGCCCAACACCGCCGACTCAAAGTTCTTCCTCTACCACTTCAATGAAGGTATACCTTGGGAGGGTCGTTTCCAGGGTGAAGCAGGCCATATTCTCGATGTCTCATACCTCTTCCAGAACTATAACGACCACCTGGACGATGCGCAACAGAAAGTGGCACGGGAATATGGAGAAGACTTCATTAAATTCGTCAATGGAGAGGATCCTTGGCCGCCTGTGCAGACTGAGAAGCTGAGTGCTAAAGTGTACGGACCGAGTGCTGATGGTGTTACAAGTAGGTGGGTTCCGGATGGTGATCCAGCGAAGATTGGAAGAGACGACAGGATTCTGAAATTGGGAGAGATGGCAGGATTTGATACTATTCAGGACGTTTTTCAGAACTTTTTCCAAGGAAAATAGGTAATATGAAATACATGTGAAGGTCTCAGCATACGCATCGCGACAAGATCATATTCAATTCGATATCACAATGCTTCAATCAGCAAACTCCCAGGATCCATTTTCCTGCTTCTTCGCTTTGTCTTCATGCCCTTTCGGCAACACACCCCCAACATGCAAGTAAATGCTACTACCGTCTCTATCTATACACCTCTCATCCTTCGCCGCACCTTCCCAAACCTCCAACGCTCTCTCTGCCATACTAGGTCTAATGCCCACCTGATTCGCGCTCTCAATGCCCAGCCCCAGATCCTTAAGCATCATCTGCGTCTTGAATCCTGGCCTATACCCACTGTTGCTGGGCACCCAGTATTCGGTTTGTACATTGGGTATGGGCATGACATGGTCGCACATCCAAGACTGGCCAGTACTGCTCTTGATCACAGAGTATAGTGCAGCGGGGTCAAGACCATGGGATACTCCTATTGCGAGCGCTTCGGCGGTTGCGAGAAGAACAGTGCCAGAGAGATAGTTATTGCATATCTTTGCAGTTAAGCCTGCGCCGAGGGTATCTAGGTAGAAAGCCTTTGATTTTGGACCAAGCATGGACAGCGTCATCTGTAGTCGGGTATCTGAAGAGGACAAAGAGGTCGGTGTTTGTGCTGGTTCTGGATGGCCAATCAACATCGCTAGAGTACCTGCTTCCGCAGCTGGTACCCCTCCGGAGACGGGCGCGTCGATGTATATTCCTGTTCTCGTTTCTCTTAACTTTTGGCCAACTTCTTTTGTTGTGTTCACATCGATCGTGCTGCATTCTAACATGATCCTTTCTTCGTCTTTCTTTGCTGCAATGACCCCGTCATTTTCGTCTAGATACACTTTCTTCACATCAGCTCCTCCTGGTACGATTGATATAAGTACTTTTGCGTTTTGCGCCGCTTCGCGTGCTGTAGCGACGATTTGTATGGGGCCGTACGACGAGTATTCATCATTGAAGCGAGAGCAAGCAGACGCGTTGATATCATTAACATAGAGGGTCGAAGTCTGGTCTATCTTCTTTCGGATGTTAGCAGCCATTGCGTAGCCCATCGCTCCGAGACCTGAACATTGTTAGTGGATCGATACCAGATAGATCTGTGGTCTCCCACTGACCGATGAACGCATAATTGTCTGCCAATGCCATGCTGCCAGATGATTCTGTTTTTTTTTTCGAAGATAGTAAGTTCAATCGCGAGATAGTCTCTTTGGTCAAATAGGTGACTTCGAAATGCTCACCATATTCTTAAGCGTGTCTGGTTCAAGCAGTTAGCGTCATCTGTCCCTGCATGTGCGTTTACCAATGCCCCACATTCTCCCCTCACTCCCCCAGCTTCCTTACCCCAACTCAATATCCTCGGCGCTACCACTCCGGCCTCACTGTCATCAGGACCCTGTAAGCTGTCAAAGATATGGGGTGATACTCATGCGCAGATTCCCATAGGTACTTCACTCTAAGGTTTACAAATCGAAGAGCCATCACAACATTGACATTCGATCGGATCATGTCATCCTCGTCGTTACGCGTGGGTGTAATCGGCCCTGCAGGGTTCGGCGGATCTTACCTCTGTGTCGAGCTATTAAACCGAGGCCATACCGTCTTTGGTATATCGCGTAACCCGGAGAAATTGGGAAAGCATCCGCGCTATGTTCCACGTCCCGTAGACATCGATCAAGTTTCTACAGAAGAGCTAGCAAAGCAATTTGAGGGTATCGATGTACTGGTCAGTGAATTTGGACCACACACAGCTGGTGCAGGGGCATTGTTGTACAGTACGCCTCCAGTTGACCACGGACATGTACAGAAAGTGACTGACGCACGACAGTGCCATTCTTGGAATCCGTTCGGAAGATTCTCCTAGCGCACAAGATATGCCCATCGTCTTACTTTCTCTTTGTCGGTGGTGCAGGCTCTCTTCACGTTCCTGGCACTAGCCTTCCGTGCGTCGACCATCCTGACTTTTTTCTCGCCTACCGCCGGGCGATTTCAACTTCTCTCGCACACATAGCATATATGGAGGAGCGTCTGGGTATCATGGGTACCTCTCTGCGACGATATCGCGAAGCCAGATTAGCAGAGAGCTCTGGGAGAGCCACGGAAGAAGACAAAACTGTGATCGCAGACTACGAGAAGCAGATCCGCGTGAAAGACAACGCATCGGATTTCATCAAAGCGGGACGGACGGCGTACATGTTTTTTGAAGACCGTAAGACGTTCAATTGGAGTTTTGTTTCGCCATCTGCTTTGTATCGCCCGGGAAAGAGAACTGGAACGTATGAGGTTAGCGTTGATGATATGGTGTTGGTGGGTGAGCAGCAGGAGGGCAAAGACGTGTTCGAGGGAAGACTGACAGGGATAAGTGTTGCTGACATGGCCATTGCGATCGCAGATGAGATTGAGCAAAGGAAGTTGGTTTGGAAACATTGGAGTGCTTCGGGGGATATAAGTGAGGATGTGCCAGCGCCGGCA